TATGAGTTACTACGAATGTTGATGTCTTCTCGAGTTTCATGGTGTTGCCCCAGTTCTCGAACTCTTTCGTTCTCGGGTATCACCTATATAAGATAAAGATAATAAAATGCTTAGAGGAGGTCTTTGTGTTAGCGAGTTCCTTATTAGAAGGGGGAAGCCTGTTTATGCCGAATTAGGAGGATGACGCCTAGATTCTCTTATTTGAAGGGAAGAAGCCTATTTTCTCTTATTTGAAGGGGAGAAGTCTTTATTGCCTGTCGTGCAGGTCTTTCGTCGATATGCAATTTCACTCAAAAGGAGAATAATGGTATTAGTAATATATGAATATAGATTCGAGAAACATATTTAGAAAAGGTTTGAGATATACCTCGATCTCGAGATAAATTAATTATTCGAGAAGGTGTTACCTCGATTCTGAGAATGTAGTTGTTGAGTAGATAAAAGTCGAGATACATCTTCTCGAACACTTCGAAGAGTATTATTGTGCTCGAGGTATGCTTGCCCCATCGAGGAGATATATCTCTCGAAACTTCAATCCTCAAAATTGCCCCTTGTTTCGAAGAACTTGAAAGCTTATATGGATTTGCACATCAAATCGACCCGATGATCATCGTAAAGCACCAATAAATTTCAGCTTCGTTTCAAGAAATTTATTTGGTTGTGAAGACCAAACAAATCGGTCACATTGGGCGTGCCACTTGACGAAGCATGGATTTGTATGGTGCTTAGGACGGGCGGCGATGATGACCTAGGCGGCGGCGAACGACCTAAAACCTGCAAGACAGAGCCTCGGGTGTCTCCCGAGGGTAGACTCTCCGATACTTAAGTCAATAAAGGAGTAGAGATAATAGAAAGAGAGAGATGTGTATCGTGTGTAGAAGGTGTAGAAGATAGGTAGAAGATATGTATTATCGGAGAGGCACCACCTCTTTATATAGAGGTGGTGTTACCTGTTTCCTGAAACCTAGTCGTATTAGGTTTAGGCGGTGACTTAATCTCCAAGTAAGCTAATCCTAGGCCCAATAGGCTTATGGTTAATTTATGACTCGTCAGTATTCAATTTCACTTTAGGTCTGACGAAGCACTTGTGACATGCCACATTTAGAAAGAAATGAAAAAGAAATCTCCCTAGGCCTCATGTTACTTCGAAAGCAGATTAATAACTGATCATGAGACATGTCAACTGGTGGAGTAGAAAACATTTCTCCATTAACCGTACATCGAGAGTTTGAAACTCGTTATTGACATGAACCAATTTAAAATGTTTTAGTTAGTTGTCTCATTCATCAAAATATCTATAAGTAGGGATTGCCCACAATAGATATATGTTATGGAAAAAAGAATATGGTTGATAGTTATTGCAAATTTCAAAGTACCGACTGAAGAAGATTGGCCCATTAGCGATCCTAGAACACTCGGAATGGGCCTTACAAATGTTCTAGCCTTTAAGGGTTACAAAAATGTGGGCTGGAGTGACCACTGTAATAACATTGCCGTATCACCGAAATGCTTATCAATTGAAGTAGAAGGCCCAAAGAGGAGGATGATTGGGAGAAACTAACACCAGGTCTTTGTCAAAATTGGAAACCAAAAAATTTGATTTGGTCTACATCCGTATGAAGCTCCAGTCTCCAGCCACCTGATTGATATGAATAAAACTAGTAATAGCTTGACCTTTCTCTTACCACTATTTACACTTCTAATACCTTTTTACATTTTTTAAAATTAAAAAAAGACTCATAAAAGAATGTTTCAAACACGCTAAATTTTGGTCTGGTTTCTTCTTCTTCTTTTTTTTTACTCCCTCCGTCCCATAATTATTGTCCAATTTTACTAAAATGAAAGATTTTATTTTTGGTCAAACTTAACTATACTTTACCTTAAACAACCAGATATACCCCTACAAAAGTAATTGTTTAACCACAAAGATTTTATGGATAATGTTTTTTACTAAGGACAAATGTGTAACTTGATCCATAAAAAGTCAAATTGGACAATAATTTTGGGACAAAATTTTTTGGGCAAAGTGGACAATAATTATGGGACAGAGGGAGTATTTTATATTTCGAACAGAAAAAAAGTATGCATTGAACAATTATTCTAATTAGAAACATTTATGATACTTCATTTGATGCATATTACAACTTTACAGATGTCGCTTAATAATCACAATGTAGACCATAAATATGGACGGTTAGACAACTTTGGCGTTATGCTTCAAGTTGCGTAAAAAGGAAGATTATCCGTGAAAAGAGAGAGGAAAAAAAATTTATAATATAACCCAAAACGGAAAACAAGTTTGTTCCTAACAAAAGTTCCTTTTAAAAACGTAATTTTTCATCAATTTAGTATGACCGGAAAAAAAAATCCTGCGGAAAGAAATTAAACCTTCCTTCGAAAAACAAAAAATAGTAATCCCTTCGTCCATAATTATTGTCCAATTTTACTAATATGAAGGATTTTATTTTTAGTAAAACTTTACTATATTTTACTTTAAACAACCGGATATACCCTTACATAAGTAATTGTTTAACCACTAAGATTTTATGGATAATATTTTTTACTAAGGACAAATGTGTAACTTGATCCATAAAAAGTTAAATTGGACAATAATTTTGGGACAAATTTTTTTAGACAAAATGGATAATAATTATAGGACGGGAGGGAGTACGACAAATTCCAACATTAAGAAACATATTTGTCCGTTTTGAATATCTGCCTCAATTATTATTATCGTCAAAAAAAAAAAATCTGCGTGAATTATAATCCACTCTCCAGTATTTTGAATTTTATTTTCTTAATAAATCCACTCCACTATTTGATTAGGATTAGGAATACTAGTGTCACCGCTGACAGCTGACGGTGCATATCAAGAGCCAATCAGAAGGGTCCACGTCATTTGAAGGAACGAATTAGATCCAATCACAAAGGTCACTGTGACGCGATTCTAGTGAATTCTCCCAATTTGGGCTGCCTATAAATATCCCACATCTTATTGAAAAGAGATTATAAATAAAAAGAGAAAAAAAGGAAAAGAAGACAAGTCAACTCGAGATCTTGGCGGGCCTTGTTTCTAATCGCCGGAGCTGTAGGTCACCTGAATAATCTCCGGCGTTCCTGATTTCGTTTGTTTCTAATAACCGCCGCCAGTCCAATTCCCTGCAAAGAAAATGGTGAGCTTTTCCATCTTAGTTTCCCTAATTTTCTTTTGGCGTGGAAAGTTAATTGCATGTCCTTTTTTTTTTTTTATATGTTTCGTAATTTCGGGAAAGGCATGCGGTATTTAGGTATGTTAAGTGAATTGCTCCGTTTCTTAATTGGATGATCGATTGTTATCTTATACGAATTCCTCTGTTTTCTTAATTGGATGATCCGTGGATCAGATCTAGAGGAACGGATACAGTTAGGGTTCTTTTAATTTGCCGGTGGACGAAGAGCCGAGAAAACCTTTGCTTTGTTTGAGCTGGCTGTTGAATTGTGAAATAAAAGGATTACTTTTTAACCGGGTTGTTTTAGGTCGATGTAGTTGTAGCTTCATTTTTTATGATCTGTAGGAATGTGAATTATTCCGTAATTTTGTGATACAGAACATTATGTACAATTGGGCCATTGGAGGATTTTCTTTAGTTTTCTTTTAGAGATCGGTATTTTCTGGGGTTGGTGTAAAGAAAGTAATTTGAATGCAATGGGTAATTTGTCGGCTTTTGCCATTTCCAGGATAAAATTGCCTACTTTTGTGTTTAATCTGATATCACACAGGCCAAAGATCGACTAGTAGCTGAAAGATAGAAGGCATTTTCAATACATAATTTTGCAGTTTCTCATAGTGAATGTATCCTTATTGTGTGGATAAGTGCTTTCATTATTATTGTAGCTTACAGGTGCGATTTTCATCTTGATTGTGATTGGTTACATTCATATTGTTGGGTTACTCTTTTTGGTTAGCATTGTGTATGATCAAGACTATACATTGAGTTTAGATCTGATGGGGATGCTTTTGAATATCTGCAGACTACATCTAGGCGCCTCGCTGATAGGAAGGTGGAGAGGTTTGAGAAGAACATCACTAAAAGAGGAGCTGTTCCAGAAACTACTGCAAAGAAGGGTAGCAACTACCCCGTGGGCCCTATCCTTCTTGGATTTTTCATATTTGTTGTCATTGGATCATGTAAGACTTTAAAAGACTAGTTACCTTTTCCTATTTCCTATTAAATGGTTTCAGATCAATATTAGATTTTAGTAATCTGATTACTTTTCTCCCTCATTTCAGCTCTGTTCCAGATTATTAGGACAGCAACAAGTGGAGGAATGGCTTGAAGGCAGAGAATGATGCAATTTCGACGAGAGGGGCTGCAGATTAGCTGCGGCTTTTCTGAAGTGTTTGTTTTTATCTTTGTTATACTTAGGTCAAATGTAGAAAGAAATCAAACCAGACACTGAACTAAGTTTTGGTGTCTTTTCTTATAGACCTGGATATGTGGAACATCCATTGTTGTTCTCCTCGTGTACTTAATAGAATTTTCTTTTTCTTAATATTCTTGTTTTAATTGGAATTTAGCCCAGCCTGTTGGCTCCGTGTTTCTCATGGTTCCCAAACGCACTCCTAAAAGTATCTTGGTTTCATCCTTCAACCCAAGTATCTTGGTTTCATCTTTCAACTCTTTGTCTGTTAGGATAGTTAAGCAAGGTGTTAAACTGATTTACCAACATGGAGTATTCTCACAGAAGCTAGTCGGGTTGTTATTCTCACAGACGCTAGTCAGGGTGCTTTAGACTACATGAAGCAAGTTTGCCTACGTCTTAACTAAAAGTCCATTATGTTTCAGTACAGATTGCTTTGGAATGGAAAGTCCATTCCATTTCAGTATCTGGGCTCTTTATGAGCGAGCATCAATTCACTTGAGCTAGAGACTATGTAAGAGGTAGGAAATGCACATATGTTCGATATCCATTACCCGCTAATTGGTATTCTAGGATTGATACTTGGAGTTTTCTAACCAGGTCATCAATAACATTCATCAGAAGTTGCCGGAATCCTCAAAATATTGTTACAGCTCAAATGAAGGATGAATATAAAACTATGAAGGTTTCAGGGTTCTGAATTTGCTTGCTTAATATCAAAAAAGGGTTGATAAATAGATGTTCATACAGATACAACAATTTGAGATAAGTGTTATTCACTTACATCTTCACTTAAGTGGAAAATATTTGGCTGCAGACTATGGCAATGGCAAAAAGATTGCAGCCCATTCAAACAGCCTGAGTTTGAAAATGTTGATCAAAACAAACTTACCGGAGTAAACTAATACATCAAGCAACAGCGGTCAAACAAGGATGAAACGCTGTTCCACAAGCGATCCACTGCCTTTTTCGGCCACGGGGTAGAACACACCCAGGAACCTTGAGCCATTCCCTGCTTGATAAATCATAAGTAACGAGTCGATTCATTTGTCTTGACCTAAGTGATAACATGAGCAAACCTTTGTTACCCAAGCATGTCATCCTAACGTGCTTTCCATAAAAGTCCAAGCACCATATGTTTGGCATTCTGTCAACCTCCTTCCACAGCAGAGTCATCTTCTGCAGCTCCCATATGCAGACACATGTGGCAGCATTTTTTGTCAGCAATCCGACCAGCATTATCCTCCCCCCTGACTCTGCAAGTGTGTGGTCACTTAAATGTTGAGGGGCCGGAATTATGAACTGCTTCCAAATCCCAGAAACCATATCATAAGACACAATCCCATCAGGATCCGAACGCATGAAGTAAAGAGTGGTACCAATGGACACTGCCTGTGACCTAAAATTGAGCGCAAGTGGGAGTTTAATATGAGAAGGCATGTTTCCGGGGCGTGTCCAATTGTTCCCAGTGGAGTCATACACTTCGAATTCCCCATTACAGCCGACCCAAAGAATTTTATAACCACCACTTATGCATTTCCCATTTAGGGTCATGCCAACAGCGACACGAGACCAAACCTTGACGGATCTACCCGGCAGCTCCCGGAAAGATCTCGTCAGAGGGTTGCAAACATAGAAACTTCGGTGCCCTATATCAAGGAAACATACAAGGCCACCCACTGAAGCAACTGGCAACACAATAAGCTTAGTTGGCAATGCTGGAACTGTCGGGTGGTGCCATTTCCTTGATGTTGGGTCATACATTGCGCCCGTGTTCACATTTTCATGTGTGATAGTGTAAAACCAAGGTTGAGCAGGGGGGACTTCAGCACAATGCTGAGAGAAACTTTGAGAAGAAAGCAAAGAGTTCCATTTCTTGCAGACTGACCGAAAACGGAAAAAGGTCGCGATAGGGAGCCTGGCTATAACGGCATCAAAGAGGTCTTCTGGAAATTCTTTCCAGATAATCTGCTCCATATTTTCACTGCAAGTAATTTCAGTCAGTCTTCCCCGGGCTCGCTCCTTTCGAGCCTTCTTTGCAGGTGGAGGCTTGCCTGGATCTAACATTTTCAGATTTTCGGTTTTTCCGGCAGTCATTATAAGATTGTAGCAGTTATCTGTGACAGAGGAATCATTGAAATTCAAAAGGCACCAGCTGCATGCAAGGATGGTGATAAAAAAAAAATGAGAATTTACTTTTAACAAGCTTCTGACAATATTCAAGAAAGAAAAATGTAGATCGAGTCAACAGTACAAGTTAAATGAGGAATCAATTAAAGCCTTCTACCAGGTATATTCGACAAACCAACAAAGGGAAAACGGAAGCAGTCCAAATATTATGAACGATGTCAAACCACTAGTTGAAATACAATAACAGACTATTTTTACCCCGAACATGAGTCACTTTAATATGCAAACTATTAGAGGCCGTGACAAGTGTAATAACAAGTGATAAAAGCAAACCGTAAACAAAATAAATGACGGAGAAAAGCAACCGTTGTTTCTAGAGTTTTCTACGGTAATCTAAGATTTCTGTCCATTGCAACACATACATCATGGGCAGGAGCTCTGAATAAGCAACGTAAAATTTTAATTTTTTCAATGTCATAGAGAGTATTTGTATAAAATCAAAATCATTAAACAATGTACATCATAAATGTATGAGTTTTGACCAGCAATTAGTGTCATTGGAGACAACATGGCCAATATGGAGCATGAGCACCCAAGAATTGAATGAACTCACAAGGAATAACGATAAACCAAAAGAGAGGATGAAAATGCAAAAATTCAGATATTTTATCAACATAAACTTCTTTTAAGAGACCCAAAACAAGTTGGCATGAACTGAAACAGAGCTATAGTACGTTAATCTTATCTCCCTTTTTTGGGGGAGGGGGAATAGTGTAATACTTTCACATGCTGATAAAGAGAGTCTCCACATTAAAAAACCAGAGTGAAACATATAAAGTCAGAACACATTCTTTCTTTTAGTTTCGTAGTTATCACAGAACAAATATGTCGAGTACTGCAGCTTCCGCACGTCAGTTTGCTCATTACATATTGAGTCAACAAACACAGCATAATTGTAATCATCAAGGACACATCAAGCTCGAAGCCAAGACTGACAGATTCGAATTTCAAAGTAAACATTTTTAACAACATAAAAAGGTGAGCCACCAACCCAATTCACCTTGATGAATTACCGAACATGGATATCTGGAAAGTAAAAAAACCATGATTGTCCACCCTAAGAAGTATAAAGTTCAGAAAAGATCCAAACTTGATCAGAAGGTCTTAATCGATAAGAAAACTTCAATAAAACAAGAGGTTTTCCTATTTGCTTTTCTGTACATTCAAAGGAAGAACTTGGCTTCAGAACACAAACGTTGGAAATCCAGCAATCACATCATTCACTTAGCCAGAGCTTCAATTGGGAAGTTGGGATTCGATAACCAACCAAGACAAAAGCCATGTTGAACATTCTTTCTCATAGACTGAAAAAACAGAAGACTGGCTTTGAAATTCCAGTCACAGGAAAGCACAGCTCAAATCTGAGTTGGGGAGTTCATTCAATTTCCCGCACAATTTTCTCCCATGTTGTATGACTCAACAAAACGGACAATTCAGCTAATACTCAACCAAACAGATGTACCAGAAAATCGAAAGCCAAACACAAAAGACAAAAACAAAAACAAACAAGCACGCATACACGCACACACGAACACGCATATCAAGGCAATTCAGCTGGGCAATTGCACCGTGATGCGAGAAGAAAAGTTTGAAACTTTAGGCTAAATTCGGGACTGACTTAGGAGAATAAGCAAGAAAAAAACAAAAATCATCCCAAATTCAATTGATTACAAATGTAGAAAGAGGTACCTGCGATGATGACGATGAGGGTGGTGGTACGGCGGAGGAGGCGGAAGCGGTGGCGGTGGTGGAGGAAAAGAGAAAACGAAATTAGGAGGAGGAGAGGGAGGAAGAGAACCGTAGAGTTCAAAGAGCTCTTCAATTTGTCCGATGAGCTGCCTGAGCATCGTCAGCCCACCAACTTCCATGCCCCTTTTGTTAAACTTACCTACTCAGCTCAGCCCTTACTCCACCGCCCCACCCATCCTTCCTCCCGCCCCGAAACCCGAAACCAACCCAGCTCTTCCTTTCTCTCTCTCTATATATGTATCTATTCTCTCTCCTTATCTTTCTCTCTCTATCTCTATCTCTGGGTCTCTCTCTGGTGTGGGTCTGTGTGAATCTTTAAGCAAGTGTAGCAGCAGCAGCAATGAGTAATGGTTTGTTATTGTTGTTGTTAGGAGGAAAAGGCATTTTGGTCCCTCATCTTTAATTAGTATTGAATTTTTGGCCTGTTGTCTATTACATTTTCGCATTTTCTTGTGTTTTATTCTTAAGTAAATGGTCATCACCTTTAATCCAAGATGGAAACAACTTACAAATTCATGCTTGACTTCTAAGACGAATCACAAATTCAACGATTCTTTCTTAGTGTATTATGTTTGGGTGTCTGTAATGTCAAATGCGTGTCATCAAAATAAATAAATGAAACTTTTTATTCGTGTGTTATATTGTCAATTTATCTAAAATAAGAAAATCATTTGAAAATTTGAATTAGTAATTGGGTCATACAATGTTATTGTATGTTTTATGACTTTGATATTATGGTTAAATAATCATCCGAAACCTTATTAAGTTTAATTCAGTTGATAAATGATCGTGAACTTATGTATTTTTGAAGTATTATATGAGGTAAAGTTAATGATAATTTCGGAAGTAAGGACCAAAAAGAAATAAGTTAAAAAATTGAAGACCGAAACTGAACACTACGTAAAAGATGAGGAGCCAATAACAATGAAATTGTTTTGTTTTTCAATAGTGGAGGGGAGAGAGAAGGCTGGAGAGAATGATATGTTTTGGTGTTGCAGTTGGGGGGTTACCATTCTTAACGTCCACTCATCTTCTTCCACGTCACCATTTCACCCAATAATACGATGATTCTACTACTTGAGTAGTATTGACCGTGTACGCAACACTTTTTTGCCTCTTTGGACTTCTCCTCACAGCTCACACTTCATTATGTGTTCATTTGTTTATCAACCACATCCCTCAATTTTGTTCTTTCGTTCATTTAATCCTCATGTTTAAGAAAGAGTTCCCAATCCAATAATCCATGACATTTGATGTGTGTGTGAAGTGAGAAATAATCTATGCTATTGATGCTTGGAATGAAAGTTTTGCAAATAATGACCTCGACTTTCTTTTTTTTGCCCTAACGCTTCATTTTTTTTCTCTCTATTTGCACTAAAAATGGTTTAAAAATGTAATAAGTATTTAAAACAACAATTTATTGCTTGTTTTAATATATTTTAAAGATTTAGAACAACATAACACAAAACACCAATCTAGTCCATATACAACATAAACTTATTCAATTAACTAATTTTGGAGCTTTAACACATGGTATAAATTGATGTGTTTAAAATCTAACTTATCAAATAAGATGTGAATGATTTGTACGAGTTCATCAAAATTGATAGGCGAAGTTGAAACTTTCTAAAAAAAAAAAACTGAGAGGAAGGTATTAATTTCATGACTATTCTATATGGACTACAACGCAAATTTGTCATTATCATGACAACTTTTATTTCTCATAGGAGGTCAGTCGTGATAGTCATAATTTTTCATAGAGTACATTTGGTGTACTACATACTACATACGGATAAAGTATAAACCCCTAAAAAGATAATAAACCTTTTTGAATTTTCCTTTCCATTTTCCTTTTCATTGCCAGTAATTTTACCTAGTCCCCCTTTGGCCCTTTTTAATCTTTTGGACTAGTCTTTAGCCCTCCATCAATACGAGTAGTAGTCTCTGGTAAATCCGTAAATGTTACAGCAGAATCATTATTACATCTAATGAATTCTCCCGCCCCCAAATTGTATTCCTTCCGTCTCAAAATTATTGTCCAATTTAAGATTTCACTTTTAGTACAATTTGAACTAAAAATGAAAACCAAATTGGATAATAATTATGGGACGGAGGGAATACTAAAAATAATAATATAAATTAGACAATAATTTTAGAACAGAAATAGGTGTAACTTCATTTTTGTGGACCGTCATATGCTAATAGTACCACAGTGATTTTCTCTACCACGCGTAGGGGATATTTTTGTACATGTTCAGAGGGATATTTTATGTGGAAGTAGACATTAAACCGATTAGTCTTTTTTTTTTTTTTGTGATAAACAAACCGATGAGTCAAATCATAAAGAAAATTTGTGTTTGTTTTTTTTTTTTCCTTAACTCAGAATAAATAAATTTTGGACGTTTTGATTTGATATGGATGTAATATAATAGGATTAGTAATCAAAATGAATAAAATTAGTGTACTTAATAAAAATTTTATGGGAAACCCAAAAATACAAATTGCTTCTTAGAACCTTCTTTTGTATCTTTGCCTTCTGGACAGAAAGAGAGAGTTCAAACACAATACGGCCTTTTAGGCTGGGGATCAGTCTAGCGACAAACGAGCAAGTACCTAGATAAGTACGATATCATCAATCAACGTTTCGTAAGGTTTGGTCATCACGAAATAATTCTAATCGCAACTTAATTATCAAATACTCCAGCATTTTGGAGTATAATCCAAAATGGCATAAATGGGAAAAGAAAAAGAAAGGAAAATAAAAAATACTCCTTCCGTCCCAAAATTACTGTTTAGTTTGAGATTTCACTTTCAATACATTTTGAATTAGAAATGAAAACTTAATTTGGATAATAATTATGGGAGATGGAGTACTAAAAAAGAGAGGAAAATCATCCAGAATGATGATGGAAGCCTGCAGCATGGCATCATTCAGATGTCATAGTATTCATGGCCAATGAGTATTCTTGTGATCACGAGGAGAACCATCCAATTCCCACACATACAATGAGCTCACAGTCCCTCACTTTTTCACTGATAATCGCTTTTCTCAAATTAATTACATTCTCTATTTCAAAATAATTGTCTTGGTTATCCTGTTAGTCAAAGTAGTGTCATCGTTAAATCAAGACTTGTCATATTAGATTAGGTACTATTATTAGTGCCATGGTGGCAAGGTTATTGGATTTATTAAATATAATTTTTATTTGAAGTTCGAGAACTATTTTTCGAAACCAAACTACACAATTATTCCGGGAAAAAAATGTATGTAAGTTTTTGTATGGTTCTCACATGGAAGTTCCATGCCTATGCATGGAGATAAAAAAAAAAATTATGATTTTTTTTTTTTTTTGTACGAGATACTAATAAGGTTGAACACCAAAACCCTATGTCCGGGTTCAAACGTTCACTGGAGTAATGAAAAGAAGTAACGTATGAGTAATTTACATAGGAACCCCTAAATCTAACAAACCAAACTACGTATTTGGTATGCAACTATGCATTATAGTAAAGGAGGGTGATGATGAAGGTAAATCATGAATAGACGTGATGAGTTAATATAATATTGATTCAAAAGCAGGTGTGAGAATCAAAAAAATAGGGGGGAGAAGGTTAATTTCATGATTATGTTTCTTTCAAAAACCAAGGGGAAGGGGAGTGATTATGGAGTATGGAGTGTAGAGAATGAATGAGATGGGGTAAGTAATCATTTCTATACATAGGGAAGAGAGGCTTTTTGGTGGAAATTTCGATCATAGCTCATTATGTTCATCATTGTTAGAATCCTTCTTTTACGTGTGCATTTTTGGTTTTGTTTTTGTTTTTTTTTTTAATATAAGTTTTAATTGCTTTTTGCTTCCTCTTTTTCCAATCTTTGATGCTACCAAAGGCATTAGGTCATTGTTCTTGTTTTTGTGTTTTTTGGCTAGCTATTTATCTTGGTTTTTTTTTTTTTTTTTTGGTTGTTTTCAAACTAAGATGACCATTCTTCCTATTCAATAAAGAGACTGGCATCATGACTATCAACATTGCTCGAGTCTTAATTACTATCATTAGTCTCATGACCAGTTTCGGGATTGGTCCTTTTTAACTTCTTTTGCAGTAGTCATCTTAGCCTACTTTCCAGAAGTTGGATATATTTCACAACAAAATCTCTTCACTAACCCAAAAGACAGAAATGTAAAGGTGCTCCCAATTAAACGAGATACGTTGCAAATTAAAATTTCGGGTCTCAACAAAATACTGTATTGCAACTCGCAAAATTTGTCCGTAATTAAAAATAAATCATGACCACTGACTTGGTAACAAGATAATATTTGTGGCAGGATGACTTTATTGAATTTATATATATATATATATATATATTTTGACAGTAAACAAGTATTTTGCATTTCATTCAACCAGATCATTGACAACGTCCATTTGTACATCATTATTTATAGCAACTAATAGTACAGTCTGCGGAAAATTATCATACCACAAAATACTACCATTCAGTTTTAAAGCTAGTTTGGCTGTTAAACGTGCAACTCTATTACAAGACCTTTTTACATAATTAATTTCAACGCTAGCAAAGTTTTTCATCAAACTTCTAATGTCCTTAATGATATGACCAGTCATTGAGAGATCTTTGTCCTTGTTCAAAATCTTATGTACAATGTTGACAGCATCTCCCTCGACTATGCAGTGCGTGATCCCCTGGTCATGTGCAAAATCCAAAGCTTTAAGAAAAGCTAGACATTACGGCATCAGCAACCTGGTTCACAGGCTCAGCCATCAAAGCTTCAACAGCCCCTTTGTCATTTCTTACAACTATCCCAATTCCTGCCTTGTCATCCTTGTATGCAGCCTCAACATTTAATTTCAAAAATTTGTGTGGTGGAGGATTCCAACTTGGCCTCTGCATTTCTTTTAGCTCTTCCCTATCTTCATTAAACAGTTTATATTCTTTTACCAACTCCTTGGCAACTGATATGATTAATCTTGAATCCCTCTGTAAACCTCAAAAGGTGACATCATTCCTCCCCTTCCATATTAACCATAGAACTGTAGCTTCTTTTTTTTTCCAACTTCCACGGGTGATATAACTTCGTCATGCCCTAAACCAATCTAGGAAATTCGTAGTTTTTTTGAAAAGTTTTACTTCTGCATACTCGTCCTCATTCCAAATATCCTTAACCCAATAGCATTCCAAAAATAAGTGCTTGTCCGATTCAACTTCAGTTCCACACAAGCTGCATTTTGTTTCTACCCATTTCAACCTCTTTTTCATATTTTGCTTGGTAGCCAAAATTCCTCTACAAGCTCTCTACGGGAAGACTTTAAAATATTTTCGGGGGGACTTGTAAGTTCCACAATTTCTTCCACACCCGCTCTGCTTCCTTTGTCGAACAAGATTCTTCCAACCTTTCCCTTTTAATACCCATAGCCAAGTGATATGCAGATTTTACTGTGAAATCTCAGTTTTTATTATAGTGCCAGACCCATTTATCTTCTGGCCAGCTGGATGACAGGGGAATTCTTTTGATTAATTGTGCTCAAACTCCAAAAAGTGCTGTTGCAATTTCTTCATAGACCATTGTTGAGTCTCAAAGACTCAAAGTCTATAAGGTCTGCAACTTTTAACTTCCTGTATCTCCTGATGTCGGGGCTTATAGGCTTCAAAGAATCAGGCTTAGGAATCTATGGGTCCTTCCACACATTAATCATTCTTCCATTTCCGACCCTCTATCTTAACCCTTCTTTGAGTAGTTCCCTGCCGTTGAGAATACTCCTCCAAAGATAAAAAGGACTAGATCCCAACTTGGCCTTCAAAAAAGTTTGTTTCATTATAGTATTTTGCTTTCATGACTCTTGCAGCAACGGACTTTTCCATTCTTTAGCAGCCTCCAGCCTTGTTTCCCTAGTAGCGCCAAATTGAAAGATTCCATGCCTGTAAAACCCATTCCACCTCTCGCTTTAGGCTTTACATAAATCATCCCATTTAGCCCAACACATCTTTTTCCCTCCCTCTTTACTTCCCCGCCAGAATTTCCTTACCAATACCGATATTTCATTGCATATGGATTTTGGCATATGTGAAAACATGACATTACATAATTTGTTATGGCCTGTATCACTGATTTTACTAGGATTTCTCTCCCGGCCATAGTGAGAGTTATCTCCTTCCAACCTTCTTCCAGTTTCCTTCTAACTTTCTCCTTGACATAGGCAAAAACCTCTCTCTTTGATCTGCCGATCATAAACGGCAATCCCAGATATCGACCTTTTCCTTCATCCATTTTCACCCCATCTTATTAGCAAACTGAGCTCCAACCTGAGGATCGACATTCTTCCCACATTATAATCTTGATTTATCAAAATTAATTTTCTGCCCTGATGCTTCTTGACATACTTTTAGGACTTGTTGTACAACCTCTTGCCTTGAAAAATAAAATACAATCATCAGCAAATAGCAAGTGCGAAATTCGGAGTCCCCCAATCCCTATCTTTATCCCATTCCACAGTGTAGTTGCTTCATATTTTCTAATGATTGATGACCACCCTTCAAAGCATATGAGAAATAGATACGGAGATAGGGGATCTCCTTGCCTCAGTCCCCGACTGGGCACAAAAAAAGGTGCTGGGGTTCCATTTACAATCACTGAATAGGAAACAGATCGGACACATTTCATGATCTTCGACGTTATACTGTTGGGAAAGCCTAGTGACCTCATCATATTCTCCACAAAATTCCAGCTCACCCTGTCATAAGCTTTCGACATGTCAAGCTTGAGTGCACAATACTATTTCCCTTCAATCTTCTGCATTACATGAAAAGCATCAAATGCTATCAAAATATTGTCCGTAATTAATCGCCCTTTAATAAAAGCACTTTGTGCCTCATCAATGATATAAGGCAGGACTTTCTGTATACGATTCACTAAAACTTTAGCAATCACTCTGTAAAGTACATTACATAATGCAATGAGCCTGTAATCAGCTACTTTAGAGGGGTTTTTTATTTTCGGAATAAGAACAATATAGGTTTGATTAACGACATCTATTTGTGAATGGAGGGAGTACCTTGTATATCATGTTCATCGTTTAGAAAAGAGAGCACCAATTTCTTTACATCTTCACCGACAATCCTCCAGTAATGTTGATAGAAACCTGCATGAAGGCCATTAGGGCTGGAGCTTTCCAAGGACTCATCTCTTTTAATGCTTCGTAAACATCCTCCTCCTCGAACTTTTTGTTTAACTCATCTTTCTTGGATTCTGGAATTCGGTCATCAATGAGTCCAGTTATTCCATCAAACGCATCCACTGTCAGCTTTAAATAAATCTATGTATTATTTTAGAATAATCTCTGTCAACTGTGCCTCATCATCAATCCAAACTCCTAACTCCGATTGGATTTTGTTAATATAATTTATCGCCTTCCGCTGGCTCGCTTTTTTGTGAAAATAACTTGTATTTCAGTCGCCACCCTTGAGCCAACTAATTCGTGATCTTTGCCTCCAATAGGTTTTTTCCTGTTCAAGCAGATAATCCAATTCTTTTTTCATTCTAGCTTCCTCTTCCCAAGCCACCCCAGGCCTATTTTGGACTTCTTCTAAACTTCTATACAATTCATTTATCCTTTTCCTTCTGTTGCCAAACTTCATTTTCTCCCACCTCTTCAAAGCACGAAGAGTTTCATTTACTTTGATCTTCAGTAGCCCCGCATTAGAAGCTCTGACGGATCCCCAAATCTGCTCAATAATCTCAGTACACTCATCATACTTGGTCCACAATTCTTCAAATCTTCAAATGGCTTTCTTCCCTCTACCTCTAATCTGTCGAGTATTTCCATCTTCAACTTCAATTCTTACAGGAATATGATCTGAGTAATTAGTTGTCAGGTGAGATACTTTGGATTTTGGGAACATAATTCTCCAATCCGAATTTGCAACACCTCTATCCAATCTTTTCAAAACTCTCTCTTGCCCCATCTTACCTTTTGACCAAGTAAATTTGCTTCCAGTAAAACCCAAATCTTGTAAGCCTGCAGCCTCCAGTGCATTTCTGAAGTCATTCATTTGACTCCAACACCTTTCGGCCCCTCCATGCTTTTCATCATTTGAAAGAATTTCATTGAAATCCCCTGCACAAAGCCAGGGCAAAGAGTACTAACCTGCTAACCTGCGTACCAGCTCCCACGAGAATTTCCTTTGATTCAAAAAAGGATTGCCATAAAATCCTGTGAATCTCCAACATTTGTTTCCCAAATCTTCATATACAACTGCATCTATGTGATCTGATGAATAGCTTTTAATTCTGACATCAATATTGTCTTTCCCCAACAAGAGTAAACCACCACATCGATTCCTTGCCTCTACCCAGAAACAATTTTGAAAACCAGTAATCCTCTTAATTTTCTGTACTCCATACTTTAGTTTCCGACAAAAATAATATTTGGGGACCTTCAACCCTCACAAGATTCTTGAGGGCTCGAATTGCTCGGGGGTTCCCAAGCCCCCGACAATTCCAAACAATGGCTCTCATTGCATTCGGCGGGATGCAGCCTCCGCCGCTTCAATATCTAAGGAAAAAACATCACTCACCTTTATTTTTTGGAAGACCCGAATCCATCCACGTTCCTTTCTCCCGCTAAGAGGTTTCCATCAACCTCTTTCCTTTTTCTATTCAGCTCCAACCCCACTTCATTCAGATCCGCGAAGAGATCCTCATTCATTTTTGTTAATTAATTCTTCTTTGTAGTGTTGTTGGGTCTATTTTCAATATTCTTGAAGCTATTCGGAATGAGCATATGGGCTGCACTCTCCGCCAAGTCTTGATTCGTTGGACTATTAATGTTAGAGCCCAACGTGACTACATTATTATTTGTAGCCTCATTACTAAAAATAAGTCCAAGCCCATAACTAGAATGAGGTGGGTTTGCCTCGATTTTTTTCCGTCGTTAGATGTCACGTGGCCAAAATATGAATTCTTCGGTGCCCCTTGAGCCACGTGTTTCTCTATTGTGGATGATTGACGTGCCTGGTTCCCTTGGCGGCTCATGGTTGTTTCCGACGACTGCTCCTCCTCCTGTCGATCGGAATTCTCTCCCTCAGTCATGAGCCAAAAACTATAATTGTTGCTGATGTTTCCTCCTACACCGGCACTCAGCTTCTCACAGTTTTTCACCCATGTGTCCCAAGCATCCACAACTGAAGCAAAAAACTGACAATCTTTCATATCTTAATAATAGCCCCATGAATTCAGCATTAGCTGGTACCTTTATTTTTATGACCCTTCTTAAAGGAGATTTGATGTTCTTTCCTTCAATTGTACATGAGAGCATGATTTAAAGCTTGCATTCACCTTTTTCGCTACCTCCACGGTATAGAATTCCCTAGGCAATCCAACAATGTTTATCCAGAAATATACTTTGTCGAAGTCCATGTGAGAATAAGGAACACCAGGTTGCCATCTTCTTAAAATCAACAACCTATCTCCAACGTTCCAGGATCCCTTATCCAACACAAATTGCAGAGCATCTGGTGAAGAGAAGAAGCATTGATACTCTAAAGACCTTAAAGTCCTTAAAATCTTCCAAGCTTTTAAAAGACTTCTCTGATGCCCTTCAAATTGAATCTTTCGATGCAACGAAGTTGCCGAAACAGCTATTTCTACAATCAACTAGCCCTTGGCTGATCTCTTCTTCGGATATCTCAACTGATAGTTGTTACTCTTCCTCTAATTGCACACCTTCCATGTGTTTGATAATCTCTTGTATGCTTCTCATATCTTTCCGATCTCAATTGCCTCCAAAAGATTGATTCGCGATGACGAAAAGTTTAAGAGTTTTTACTGTTAACACTCACTTAATGAGAGAGTATTTGCCCAACACAGTAGGGAGAAATCTTATGTCAATTTTTCCTCTTACTCTTGAATCTATTATTATTATAAAAAAAAAAAATAAAAAAAAAACGTAGTTGCTGCATTCTGCTGCCACAGGCTAAATTCACAAGCCCAACAGATGACAGTGCATTTGGGCAATGTTTGGTTCGGCTCTTCGATAACTAGATTTAAACGCTTCAAATGTTAGGTGAGGTGAACGGTGATGAACCCAAATAGTAAGGCCTTATAACTTCCGAAACCCAAACTAAGAAATGGTTGTTGAGAAGAAAGACAGCAAATGAGAATTGACATACTCTCCCGTGTCTTTATTATAAGTCATTTTGATTTCGTTTTATATTTAACTTATAATGTGTTTTTAATTGAAAAAAAAGACCTTTAAAAATATATTTTCACATTCGTTATGTTCTTCTTTACAAAGACAGTTAAGATAGGCTGTACACTAATCTAACGTCCTCACGTACAGTTGTAATCCTTTGAGCCAAAATGACTAGAAAATCATCTTCATTATAATTTTGATCCTACAAATTTGTTTAATTTCACTTGGATCTCAACGCGTAGCAATTTCCGTAATAATAAGGTGCTCAAGCCATTTCATTTACCACGTTTGGGCTGAATAAGTGTAAAGTGTAAACCAATCTGTGCACGGCATTTCAAAAAAGGATGCTCGATGGTTATTTATTATAATATTCTTTTAAGAAATAAATCATAGAAAAATTTACCTCTGAATATTGGGGATATCCAAATTTACCTCCATTCACTTGCAAATATTTTTACAAGGACCAAGGATCCATTATAAATTAACTGATACATACAAATGTTCAAGGGCATTTCGTGTACCACACCAAAAACAACAAACACGTGAGTTAACTAGCAAAACTCCGACCAATAATAAAGAGAATCAAATCAACTACATGGTCATCGATAGCAATGGGAGCAAACAAACAGAAAACTTTGTGGACCTTTTTGTTATTCATGGTTTTTTTTTTTAATTTTTTTTTTTTTAAGCAAGAAACTTACAGGTCTTTATTATCTCCATACAAAAAAGTTCATATTCATGAAAAATTTACCTATAAAGGTTAACAACAAAATCGCTTTATAAAGGAAGTCTGAAGGTAGATGAGCTAAATACTCTCCCCAAGAGCCAAGCCATCAGATACGCTCACGTGGTGAAGGGTCGTTGATTTAGGAAGAGAATGAGAGATCTTGGGATACACTTTGGAATTGGGGAATCAACAAAATTAACTGTTAACTGCTGCCGAGTTTAAAATAAACCTTAATTTTCACAAAACTTGCGGTTCGATTCGTTTAAGAAAAAGGTGTTGTCAGAATTCAAGTTGCTGTTGGTCTGCCACCATATTTTATTAATTGTTTTTATTTATTGACAATAAAGGCTTAGTAGTATGAATTACATTAATTATTCCGCCTACCTAAGTAGTTGTTATTCTAGGACAACCAACCTAATTCTTCTTCTCGTTTTGGGACCGATCTTACTTCAGGTTTTGTGGACTGTGTTAACTGTTGATCATCCTCAGAACTTGGAACAAATTAGTAAAGAGTGTATTTGATTGGTGACCCAATTTTAAGAGGGAAAACAAAAGTATATTGTGTGTGTGTGTGTGTTTTTTTTTAAATGGTAAAGTATATTGTGCTATGTAAGCATAATTCAAGTGTCTAAGTTAAAATTATAACATAATTTAAGGCATTTTGATTTGTCATAAATTTCACATAATACACATTTTTATTTACTAGAAAACCTTAAAAATATATTTTCACATTCATTGTATTCTCTTGATTGTTATGAAATATTTTAAAGATTTTTTTGTCAATTAAAAATACGTATTATATGAAATTTAGGACAAATTAAAATGTCTTATGTTAAAAAAACGGAAGGAGTAACTTATAAACAAGTTCGAGAAAGTGTAATTAGTTTTTAACATTCTTCAACATTTATACGATCGATTTCGCTCCGGCTAATCGATCAAAAAAAGTATTTAGATGTTAGCTCAAGTCTCAACCATAAAAGTCTACGAAGCAATGAATTGAGTTCTCCATTGAAGAAAAGGCTCTCAAAAGTTTTTCTTGGCCATAAATTAGTACTCCCTCTGTCTCAAAATTATTGTCCAGTTTGAGATTTCACTTTTAGTACAATTTGAACTAAAAATGAAAATTCAAACTGGATAATAATTATGGGATGGGGGAGTATAAAAGTAAGGCCACGACAACATCCCGATCTCAAAGGCCTCAATGTCAATAATGTAGCTTTCGTCTCCTGGATGTTAATGTAATCTATATTATTATTTCAACTTTTTAAAACAATTACTAATTCATAAAAATTCCTCAAGCTAGCCTCCGACAAACACATTTGTTTAACCCACTAGGCCATGTTGCCTATGGGAGTTAATATTATTATACTTCTGATGAAATGCTCCTTAATTGAGTGTTATTGTGTTAATCACACTTTTCTTTATTCCTTTATCATTATTTTTCATCTTTATGGGCTGCTCAGGAGATGGCATTTGATTAATATGGTCAACTAGTAGGTTTTGATGAATAAATTATAGAAGGGAGCACGCTGAGATCTGAGAAATCCCTCAACGGTTGCTGTGCAAAACTGAAAAATAAATTAAATAAAAAAAAAAATCCCCAAACCCACACTTCTCACAATATTGATTCTGCTCAGGAGATGGCATTTGACTCTGCATGGTGAAATATGGCACTAAGCAGAATCAATACGCATCGCCTTATTTCCCCATGTGTGTTTATTATGATTGTCACTTTTGCTGTACATTTGCACGTTTGATACAGATCCACTTGATCCATTCCATCTCGATCGAATTGACTATTGGGATTAATTCCAACTAGCTATTTTGAGATTCAGTTCCTACTATAATTTGATGCGAATTGCGAGCATAATGCAAAATTATTTGTACCGTATACATGTCTGCAACGTAACAGAAGTAGTGTTCGTAAATTTTTTTTTTTTATAGGTATGAATTATAGGATACAAGTGTATCGTATTGGATTTTATCTTCTTTTGATTTTTATTTGTCTCATATTTAAAAGTATTACTCCGATTTATCATAATTTCGTTGTTTCTTACATTAAGACCCTGTGATTACATTTGAATTCTAACTTTTTGTGATTTTCGCGTTTCGCCTTGGTGTTAAGGATCGCGTTCATCTTTCCGCAAGTGCGAAAACGTAAGAGGTTAGAATAATAATTTGTTTTTTCTAAAAAACAATCAATATATCATTTCAATTCGTCTTCATCTAACGTGATGTTGTTCTTGCTACTTAAAAATTTCTTCATTGCAAGACTATGAGACACATCTCTTTCAGTTAAGTAATTATAATGTCATGATCGAAATTCACACTTCATTCTGGGATGGCAATGGCCTGACTCCTAAGATTGCCAGAAGTTCAAAATTTTATTCTCTTCCGTACTTGATATAAGACATCTTGATTTGTTCTAAATTTCACATAACACATATTTTTAATAAGAAAAAAATCCTTAAAAATATATTTTGACATATGTTATATTCTCTTGATTGTTAAAAAATATTTTTGAAGTTTTTTTTTTTCAATTAAAATGCATATTAAGTGAAACATACGATAACTCAAAATGCCTTAACCGGAGGAGTATTTCAAAATTTTAGACCTTAATTAAATCATTTGTAGCGAGAGGCGGTCATGATTTTTGTTTCTGGTTTTTTTTCTCGTCCATACAAAAAACCATAATAATAAAATACATTAATAACCAAGCATACACTTTATACGATATTAATATCTGATTGAGAAAGTATCTTTTTGAACTCAATAAGCTTTTCAGTTCATTTAAGTTCCACGTTGAAAGATCGAACTAGACTTACTCTGCACAGTAAATATATCATCTGCTATATATATTCTTTATTACACATTTGTGGATATAGATTAAGTTGAAATTACCCGGAAATTTCTAAATCTTAAACGAGACTCATGGATAACTTTTTGTTAAAGGAAAAAACATAATGTAGAAAACCGACGATAAATGATTCAACCTATGTACAGAAGTTCATGGAGTTCCACCTCAAAACCAATTGGCAATGAGGGGAGTAGTACATGGAGCTTATATATTGACACTCAAAGTTTCCCAACACCGATGTGGGATTGAGACTCTTTAATACTCCCCCGCAAGCCCAACGTATTTTTTGGGTTGAGTTTGTCCTATTTTTTTCAGTCCAGACACCGCCTCACGTCTCAGTCATATTTTTTTATTGGGTTTTTTTGGAGTTCGAATGTCGGCAGGCTGGCTCTGATACCATATAGAAGTCTATGGGGTTCCACCTCAAAAGCAATTGGTCATGAAGGGAGTAGCTCATGGAGCTTATATATTGATACTCAGAGTCTCTCAACACGGATATGGGATTGTGACTCTTTAATACTATGAAGATACATGATTAGAATCGAATTCGTACGGTTTGTCAATTCCCAACAAATATACTACTATGATTCAACCAGTCCTAGAAAGATTGTCTTCCTTTGACCGTATAGAAATTCCTTCGTAGGAGTTGTGGTGTCCGATACACTCTATTTTGTAGTATCAGACTATTAACTACGCAAAATGTTTTATTATTATTTTCTGGTATTTAAGAAGAACAAGGAATTAATAATCACAAGTCAACACATATGATATTCAGACAAGTCGTCACTTGAATCGGTTTAAGTCTCGCTCATCCAAAACGTACTGCCTGTTATATTTTAATTACTGTATATACATGATATCAGCTTTAATTATAATCAAACTTGTAGTCCTAGTACGTTTACTAACTAGATGCTTGTTAGTTGTTAATAAAAAGACAATAAATGTTCGATGACTTTTAGATACATGAGTAGTAGTATGTTGTTGTCATCGGCAAAGGGAAATTTTCTTTTTTTTTTTTTGTCATAATAGAAAAGGATTCCTCATATACTTGATCAGTTTTTGCAATTGTTAGGATCTCACATGCGCTCAAAAAAACTAGCGTTTTTTTTTAAAAAAAAATATGTACGATTCTAAACAAATAGGAAAATCACAGTAATACATATCACAATATATAATGACGTTGATGTAAATTGTATCCTCTTCGTGTATAATTGATTCCCGTATTTGATACGATGGTTGTATGTAATCTCTTCACTTTACATTATAAATAAATCATGAAATGTTGTAATAACTAAAAATATTTATTTCTCTCCTAAATTATATATTTATTATACTTAGAGCCGATCAAAATCGATTTCGGCAAATGTGTATATGTATATATATATATATATGTATATATATATGTATATATATATATATATATATATATATATATATATATACTAGATGCTTGGCCCGGACAGATGCCCGGACGCCCCCTCTAAATTACTATTTTATTAAAATCTAATTGAATTACTCTTTTTTAAGGAATTAATTTGGCGTATATATCATTTATGCTATGGTTTGGGGCTTAAAAAAATATACCTATAAATCTGAGGTTATAAGGGAATAATAAATAATTAGTTTATAAGGCATTATTATTAATTGCTGGATTTAGGTATTTTTATTTTTTGTTTATATTAAGCCTGCAAAACTATATGATTGGACATTTGAATTTGAATTAATATATCCATTCGTTTGAAATGTAACTGATCCTTATTTGTAGTAAAACATGTGTTTTTTTTTTTTAAAAAAAATTATATAACTTCTAATTAAAAGAGACTTACACGTGGCAAAAAGACTTCTGAAATCTGAAATATGGTGCATTGGAGCCAAAACAGATGCATACATGGTTGCCACATAAGCTTCATGTCTTCTGCTTTAATAAGGTAAAAGGGATATGTGTGTGTATGTGTATATATATGGTATATATATATATATATATATATATATATATATATTCCTTAATAAAAAAGTAAGTAATTGTTCAAATCCAATCCAGTAATGTATGAATAAGGTGATCTTATAATTTATCGACTCGATCTCTTTGGTTATAAACTGAAACTTCATGTCCATCAACAAACGCATAGAATTATCTTCAACACGACTTATTTATTTTCTATTTTTCCTTTTTTCACTTATGATTTTGTTTTCTAAAAAAAGAGACAAAAGTTTATGCCAACAAAAAATGCATGCAGAAAGAATTGGAACATGTTCTGAGCATGAACTCTTGAAATAAAAGCATCTTGTTTTTTTCATTTAATTTTTAAACACATAAATTAAATCTTTTAGTGATTATTATATTTTTGTATCAATATGAAATATGTATGTATTAAAGGATGTGAAAAAAATATTATGTTGACTTTAAAAATAAAAATGTTAATAATTCTTAATTGTTGATAGGAGATTTGTTTTTATAATGTTAATATTTATAAGTAAATATAATATTAATATTTTTTTATTTTTTTAAGTGAATTTTTGTTTTTCACTTTCGTATAATCCCCTCCCCCTCCCGAACTTGTACTTCAAACAAGGCATACAACATATTTACCAGAGTTAATTAAATTACTTCCATGTTTTGAAATTTTTAAATATAATAATATCAAAAAAGATTTTATTTTTAAGTATATGTGGTCACTGAAGTATTTTTATATTAATTAGGCTAAACAAGAAATTAACTTTCCAAATATTTAGATTCATATAATAGGATTTTATTAATAGCTAAATTTAAAGTTAATATAAAGAGTAGCCAGCTATGGCTTCTTATTCGTTTATACACTCTCTCTTATGCATCTTTTTCTGAATTTGTTGTTTGAATTTTCTATCTTAATTTTGCTGTAATTTTTATGTTTTGGGTTAAAAAAAAAGCTAAACTTAAAATCATGTTTGTTTAGATGAATTGATATGTCCTTAATATAAATTAGATGCTTGCCCGGGGCGAATGCCCGGGGTGTCGCCTTTATTTTTAAATTGATTAAATAAAAAATAGGAATCATTCTTATAAGAATAAAAAGAAAAATTAGAAGAATAAAAAATCGATTGAAATGACAGAAAGTGAGCTATTACACATAAATCTGTGCCCAGATTTACAACATTTAATTTATAACAATTATTTATGCATGGGTTTACATAAATCATAAACCAATATCTACAACAGAAGAATAAAAAAAATCATACTTAAAAAATTAAATTTCTTTCATTACAACTTATTTTTTCCCTGTTGTAGAAAGAGATGGATTGATAATTGATATCAGATTTTAAGTAATTGATTTAAAGGCTCGGGTGTGAGAGAGAAGCGGAATGGAAGAGATTCTTTGAAATTGGAGATTGAGAAGACATTACTGGTGTTTCACTTTTTTTAAGGGGATATCTAAGTATTTGATTTTATCAACTAAATATTGTTATTTTAAAGGATTAGTATATACTTATAATTAAGATATTTTTATGTAGCTATAATTAAAGGATTTATGTATTTATCTATTCTATTCTTTTTTTCTGATTAGTTAGAGTGCCACGTGTCAAAAATGATTTTGTACTGAAAATAACTTTTGGCGGAAAAATTTTCATTGTAGTGCTAACACATGTCCTTTTTGTTTGCTGCTTTAATTAAGTATACTATAGATTATTCAAAAGTGTCCATTGCCCCTTATCCAAATTCCCCGAATAATTATACAAGTCTCCGTTGATAAACATGCACGACTAACTTTCTACATTTCACGACTTCAACGTGATAGGATATGAGTAAAGGGAATGCAAAGGCACAAATAAAGCATAATAGTAGTATTGACTCTTATTATTGTTATTATTATTATTATTATTATTATTATTATTATTATTAATTTTACAACAGGAATAATTAAAAAAACGACAGAATTAACGATGTGACATTCACAGAGAATCACTGACTCTGGGTTCTCAGCCTTTTGAAATTTAATTTATCGAAATTTGGTCAATATGTATGTGCGTTTCACTCCGTAAAATGGTGGTAATTCCAAAAAAGAAAATCCAAATGGTAAAATTAAGAGAAATTTCACAAGAAATGTTTTTTTTTTCTGTATTAATTTTGTTGAGAATCAAAAGTTCATAATTTTATTTTTTTTATAATACAAAAACTGAAAAAAGGGAAAATATATAATGATAAAAAAGTGGTAAAAATTTGCCCCCCCATTCTGTTATGTCCTTTCTCCTGACCATTTCGATGCTGCCAAAAATATCAAAGAGAGCCAGCCAGCAGCTACTACTACTGCGGACTAAGCTGTCATTTTTAACCCCAGTCAGTCCTACAAGCTTTATCCTCATCCATCCACGTGTCCCAATCTCAACTCCCCCCGCCTCATTTCCCTACACCGTCCTCCACCTAATCTTTTCCCACCACCTGACCCCCCTTCCAGACGGCCCTACTTCACTTATACCCACTCCAGTAAAAAAATAACCTTCCACACTCTCTATCTCTCTCTCACACAGTCACGCACTAGCGTAGCTGCCTGCCTATTCTTTCTTTCTTCATTTAGTAAAGGCGAACATATTCTTCCTCCCCAAACTTCCCATTTCTCTTCTTCTCCGTCGAAAATTCATCCCTGAAAAATGGATTAAATATGCAGTCTTGTACAGTAAATTGAGGGAAATAAGAAGATTTGCTTTGACAAAGAACTGTTCTTCGTTTTGTCACCGTTAGTAAATTCCTTGCGGCTTGACAGTATCAGTTCATCAGTATGGGAGCAGAAATAAAGTAGAGTTTTTCGTGATTTGGGTTTTCCTTTTTTTGGCTAAACAGCGGAGGTATTTCGGAGAATGGGGAGATGAGGTGAGATCATAATTAGTAAACTGAGTTGAGCCACAGTTTTGGTAAAAATGGTAAATTCCCTGTTCTGCTTTTCTTCTTCCACAGTGATTTTTGGGAAACTTTTTATTACTACTGCGTTGGAAAAGTAAAAAAAGCAGAAGCAGAGAATACTGTTGTAGATTAGTATTTCTGTGATTTGATTTCTCCCCTGCTTTTCTTTTTTTCCCTTTCAGTTTGTAGTGTTCTGTCTTCTTTGGGGTTTTTTTAATTGAAAATGGTTCGTTGTCAGCGTGTTTCCACGTCATGGAGCATTTGCGTGGTTTACGAAGTGTATAATGGAAGAACGGTGCCGTTTAGTCAGTTTTCTCGGGAATGATTATTGTTTCATTATTTTTTGCTTGCTCTGGCTCCTTTTTCTCGTGATAATTGAGAAATTTACCCCTCTTTCTTTGGCTTTTATGATTTCTTTTTCTTTTTTTTTCCCCCCATTATTGGTGGAACTAATTTGGAAAAGATTCTGTTTGCCTTAAAGGCTAAAGCCCACTGTTTCGAATGTGAATTTAGTTTGGACACGAGGTTAGTAATGGAAGTTGGACCTTGTTGAAATGATAAACTTTTTTCTAGAGTATTATAATCTGGTCTTTGTTTATTTAAACTTATTTCTTTATGTGGTCATCGTCAACTATGCTCCCTGAAAGAAATTTTTTATTAATGGAGATGACATTGCGCATGTAGGGGTGAAAAAGACGTATACTTTTCTATTTAAGTACAGTATTGTATTCAGATAGATAGATAGCCATGGAAAGGCAAAAAAAGGTGGAAACAGATGGACTTATTGTATAGAAGCTATCCAGGAAGGTGAAATTGTTGGCCTTCGGGATAATTTTCTTTTATGGGGTTGATTTTTGGTGGGGTTGCATGAGGAATAGTGACTTTTCACATCTGGGTTTTTTCAGTTTTTGTGTGGTAGCTGTTGAGCAGAGGTGGAAAGTAGGGATCGTTTTTAACCTTGCCCTTTTTTTGGGGGGATGAGTACTTAAGGAATTGAGGTGATTTTTGTTGGGTCTGATTAGTTTGTTACTATTTTGATTATGTGTTTCTTGGGGGAGCAGAGCATGAATCTGATGCTAAGCAGTTAGTTGGTGGCTTTCCTGGGTCGAAATAGGTGGGTAATTCTAAGGCTTCAAAGAAGCTGTGGCTCTTGATATTTTTTTATGGATTCAGCTGCCTTGTTAGTTGGGTTGGTGGGTTTTTTTTTTTTTAATTTTAAGCTGATTTGATCTACTTAATCTCAGCTCTGTAATTGGAGCTGGTAGTTGTTTCATCAAAGTCAATTAATCCCGGGCGTCTTCCCAGTGTGTGCTATAATCAATCTTCTTTGGTGTGTTTTGTTTTGTAGCTGTTTTATGGGTTGAGTCTAAGGTGAGGTTTGAATTACTCTGCTGTTGTTTGATTGTTGCTTGTTATAAATTCTCTGTAAAATTTTTCTAATCTGTAATGATATTCTCTATGTGAGTGTACCTGGATTTTGTTTTGCTACCCATATACTGATGATCTGACTATTATTCTCAGTTTGCCTGCTGGACGGTCAATGCTGAGAATTTTGAGTGAAATAAATATATGAAGTTCTTTACCGAGATGGAGTGGAATGCTGCTAAGTGGGACTGGGATAACATAGTTTCATTTAATTCAAAAGCAAGTGACAGCCTGAAAATGTTGCAACTAACGGACTGGGGGATTGTAGATGGCCATGGTGGGGAAATGGATGCCGCCAGGTCCTTTGATCTGTCTGGAATTGGAGGAGGCAGCAGTAGTGGTGGTTCTGGCTCCGATTTGGGGAATGGTTCTTCTGTCAAAAGCTCAAAGTCAGCTGCTTCTACTGATTCCTCGCCTAAGGACGAAGGAAGGATAAACACATCCAGAATCTCATCACCTATGGAGCCTTTATCCGGGATATCTGTTGAACCAGTGATTGGATTGAGACTTGGGAAAAGAACCTATTTTGAGAACTTTTCTGGAAGCAGTACTATTAAGGGCAGTGCAGTTACTGTTGCTTCAGTTGGTGCTGTGGCAAGGAAATCAAAGTCTACCTCCAGCCAGAATGGGAATGGAACTATCCCTCGCTGCCAAGTTGAGGGCTGCAACCTTGATCTCTCTTCGGCTAAAGACTACCATCGTAAGCATAGAGTCTGTGATAGCCATTCCAAGTGCCCAAGGGTGGTGGTGAAAGGCATAGAACGACGATTTTGCCAACAATGTAGCAGGTATAAGGTTTTGATGTGAAGAAATTTTTGTGTGTTTTAGGGAAAAATATATGTGATTGATGACTAAAAATGCTTCCAATACTGTCAATTAAAGTTCTTTTGTTTTAGATCAGAAAATGCTTTTCTGCAGAGTTGGTGTTCATGATTTGTATATATGAGCATTCAAGAGTCTCCTTGTCACAGTAAGATTAAGGTTTTGATGCCTGATGGGCTTGTTTTGATAATTGAAGGTTTCACAGCTTAGCAGAATTTGATGAAAAAAAGCGAAGCTGTCGTAGAAGGCTTGCTGATCATAATTCTAGACGCCGCAAGCCTCGACAGGAGACTATCCAGTTTAATTCAGCAAAGATTTCATCATCATTTTATGGTATTGTTCAGCAAAGCTTTCATTATTGTTTACGGTGTTGTTGTAGTCAAATTCTACTTGTGCTAAAAGATGAGCTGCTAAGAGGGAAACCATATATAGTATTAGAATCAGAATACCTACTAGGAATGGTTGTGAGAACTAGAGTCTGAACTGGACAATGTGCATCTTTAGAGCAGTATCATCCTTCCTGAGTTCTGGAACTGTTTACTTACTGTTTGTCAGCACCATCATTGCTTATCATCCTACTGAACCATTTTGTCTCTTTGCGCTAGCTAGGAGGGTCATTTTATGACATACAAGCTTATATCTCCACTTCCTTGTTTTCCTTTTGTTTCTGTAGATGGCCGGCAAAACATGAATTTTTCACTGAGCAATGTAGGAAGTGCTGGTAATTCAACCTGGGAAAGTATATGCGGATCAAAGTTCACTATAACCAAATGCTCTCCGCTGAAGTCTGATAAAATTGCACAGCCACCTTTGCCAGGTGTTGAATTGCCCTATGCCATCAGTTTTCATGGTAATTCACCCAATGAACTCTTGATCTCTAAGGGTGGTGACACAACTAATGTTTTGAAACCAGGTTTGATTTCCTACCTTCTTAATTGTTTATCACATACCTCCTTTCTGCTTGCTATGCTTTGATGTTAAAGCTTGGAAATATTCAATATCTTCTCATGTCCTGTTGTCCCATTATATTCATTCAGTAGATTGCTTGTTATACATTTGCAGATTGGGTATTAGTTCCCGAAGCCTTATGGTATCATCTTTTTAGTGCCACTCATTCAACCAGTGGTTTTTTGCCTTTTATTATTATGTTCTTTTGCCTCTAATGTGTGCTGCCGTACGTAACTGTGTGTCCTTGATCATACTTTTCAGTAAATAAATGTTCAAAATACATGCTATGATCAAATTGGTGCGAAATTAGACAGTATATCAGTTCCAAAAGTTACCCACTTTGCAGCACTGGTGGAGTAGTTCTACATTTACCATGTGTAACATCAAAATTTTGTGGACTGACGTTATGTATTATGTATTTGTGGACCTGGAACAATGTTCTTAATTCTTTGGATAACCTCATTTGTTCTGTCTGACAATGTGATGACTTCTTAAAGAATCCTGAATTACAGGATATTTCACAAACTTGAATTTCCTAAACCACCGGGGATTGGAATTATCTTTACCCAGAGTACTGAAAGTGTTAAATGTGATGGATTACAAAAGACTGCGCATGTGAATTGTGAACTGTGAGTTGTGAACTGTATTGAAATTACTCGTCATGTTGGTTTTAGTCATATCGGAGATTGTATGTCAAGCTATTAATTGGGCCAGATATCAGTTTCCAATATGTGTAGGTGGATTGAGTGGCTTGTTTTTTCCAGTTGGCTGCAGTCAACTATACCTTGTTCTCGCTTAAATGATATATGAAGTACTAGTAAGATGTGCCTTAATTGAAAGAAAAAGAATTTTTTAACAAAACATTGCACTTATTAGGTAGGAGTTCCATCACTTTCACTGAAGTTGGTTTAAGTACCTGAATCCATGCATGCTAATTTAGGACATGTTCTGCCTAAGAAGAATCATTTAAATGCTAAAGTTTGGGTAGAAAACGATTTTGGAATGAGTCTCTAGCTGCAAGTATATCTGTATAGATCGATTGATTATACTAGCTACTCCAGTGGTCCTAAAATGTTTGCAGTCCTCTTTGTAACACCAAAATCGTTTTAGAAATGATATCTGAGAGATGTTGAATCTCTATCAAGAAATGTTACTAATATTTTGGTATAATTCAACGAAGTTGAAGTTGTATGTATTTGATGATCGAAATATCTGCCATTTCAAATGAGAGATCAATGTGGCAATTCTGTCAAGATTACTGTTTGTTCCAACTCTCAAGACGTTTCTGCTTTTTGTTTCCAGGGTTCAAGGAATCAATTTTCTCATCCAATCTAGATGGCGCACCAGAATTTCCTCGTGCTCTCTCTCTTCTGTCAACAAATTCATGGGGTTCATCAGAGCCAGAATGCATTTCATTTGATCAACCCTTGCACCATGCAAATCCAGCTGCCGGTAGCATGCCTTCTCTTTCGGTGATCTCTCAAGGCCTACCATTTACTTCTTCTTCGGAATACTGGCAGGTGGAACAGCAATCCAGCAGTTCACATTTGAATGCCTTCAATACCTTCACAACTACAACCGGCACTAGCAGCATCAACACAGGTGGCCAGTTCCCTGGTGTTCAACTTTTTAAACAGCAATATCATCACCATGGCATTTATTAGAAGGAGAATGCTTGTGAGCTGCGATCTGAATTCAAAACTAATGTTTCCATTATTTCCTTTTTTTCCAATGTGGTCGGGGTTGTGAAAACTTGCAAATTGGTCGTAGCAAAATAGTAATTAAGTAGTTTCTGAAGGCACATATTAAGGGCATAACTATTTAGGTGGTACAAATTCTTGAATGATTTCCACTTTAGTACTCGATTCAAATCTGGATCTTGGTATCTTGCCTGAGGGATGTTTGAATCCTCTTCAGTTATTATGTCTTTGAAGTATTGTACATTCTGAGTAATTATTCATATGCTATGGAAAAATCCAATTTTCGTGGAGAAGTCTTTTTTTTTCCCCCTCCCCTTTGTGTGTGATTTGATAACCAGGTCTTATTATACACACCGGTGTTTATGTTAGATGATATACTTGGAAATTAGATGATATACTTGGAAAGAATTGTGGAACAGGAATATGCCTGTTTATTTTGTAAACCATATATACCGGAAAGAATTGTGTACAACGTAACATGTAGTATTATCGAAATGAATTGAAAGTACAATTTAAGCTCAAATCCCAAATCCCTCAGTCCCACGTTAAGGACAACAGGCAATTGGCGAGGCCGGATTCGTCGACAGTTGAATCGGAAGTGTAGTCCAAAGACTTACGCATAAATGCAAAGTGGAATGGCCGATTCTTGTCTGCATCATCAAGCTCGGACCAGCAAAAGGACCATAACAATTGCACCGGATCTGATCGGAGAAACCTCCTTTGAATCCTTCGTCCATCTGGAAGCCTGAACCCAATTCGACAAACCAGTTTCGCGTCATCAATGTTTGGTTCTTCTGGAAGAGCAGGAAAGCCCAACTCCGTAACCTCATCATCATCATCAGCGGCATCCTCGTCTGTTTCCTCCTCTGTTCCATGATCTTCAACAACAACAGGATTGTTAGACTCGGGAAGTTTGTTTCTTTTACGAGAGAGATTGATGAGGTATTCTAATGGGCTACTTTCCGTATATTCTAACAATTTCTCCAGCAAGTGTTCCGGCGGAACCATTCCGGTCAAATTGCGAATAAGTGCCCCTGTCATGGGCTCAATCACCATAATAGCGGGAAGCGATTCTTGCTGCTGTTTGTAAAATCTGCAAACTTTAAAACCTTCTGAGGCATCATAATAAGGATAAACAACTTCCCGCCAGAATATGAAGCTGGATTTAACGAATTCGACCACGGTTTTATGGTTCCAAGTATCCCTATCAAGCTCTAAAGAAGCCAAATTCTCATTGTGTTGCAAGTTCACCAAGAGCCATTTGTTCTGTGATCGTGCGGCTCGAATTGCATCATCAAAAAGGCCCGAAAACATCAAATCAGCTGGAGGAGGAAACAAGGAGCTGTCGTTTTGCGTAGCAGAAGAACCAGCGTCTAATTGGGCAGCATAATCACCGTATCCGGCTAAGGAAACAGAGTCTTCTGGATAATAATTATAGTTGGGACCATTGAGAGAAGAATTTAAATCGGGTTCAATTTCGCCAGCGTCAACAACCTTGTCGAAGGCTTCGTCCGTGAAAAACCGATAAAGAGCGTTGTCAACATTCCATGCTGAAGCCTCAAGAAACCAGCGGGCAGTTTCAGAGGTTTGGCCCTCTGCAACGCCCAGAAACGCTGAGATCATACCCTTCTGCTGCTCTTCTTCTTCGCTGTTGGCCATTATTCAAACAACAATAACTAACAAAACCCAAGCTTTTTTTCTTCTTTCTATCAATAAGTCAGAACAGAGCAAAGCTATTTATAGCACACTCAGAAATCCTAGAACCGGAAGGAAAAGGGTTTGATTATATTATCTCAATCAGGGAGATTTCCCTCAAGTTAAAATATACTAATAATCAACTAATCAATTAAATTATGGCTCTCTCAGTTTATATAGAGAGATTATTAACCCTTATTCTACAACTAATAGGAAACTCTCAGCTCTGAAGTCAAATTGCCTATTCCTAAAGGATCACCGAAAACCGAAACAATCTCTGATATATTTGGGCCGGATCATTAAGCCCAATGTACAGGCTACTTGTGATCTTTTAAGAATCTTCTGTTTCAGCCCAAATTGATTTCACGGCATTGACTGATTGACTCGATCGAGAAATACCGATTTCACCAATTGTTTGTCCCTCTTTTCTCTCGTGTTTGCCCTATCACCGTACGGACGGCAGCCTCTCCTTACATCCCCACCGGAGCGAATAAAACCTCTTCGATCGATCTCGCTTTGTTTCGAAGGGCTTACCGGCGAACATGTCTCAGGTTTAATTTTTGTTTATCTGTTGTTCTTTGACTGTTTGTTTTCTGAGTATAAACTCAATGAAATTTCCGTTTTCGTTTGATTCCGGCAACCATTTATTCCTCCTTTTCCCGCAATTTTTGTTTTGGTGCCGTAAAGATTAGGTTTTTAATTGATTAAATTTTACCTTTTGTTCTTTAGTTTCTCGCTTGGTTGAATTCGAGCTTTTACCGTTCAGCTATGGCCCTAGGGTATTTACTTTCGGTAAACTTATGCTTTGCTTCAATGTTTTACAGGTTGATAACAGAAACTCCTCGGCAGCCAAACGTGCCCGAACTGATGGTACGCAACTTCATGTTTTGCTTTCCTTTTCCTTCTTTTCTTTTTTTCTTTGTCATTCCGCATCCCCGTTTGCTGTGTAAAATTTTTCTATGATTCTGTTATTAAGCTGTGATGAATAACTTCTGCGAAACAATGTGGAATTTGCTGTTCTTGGATAGAATAATTGAAGAGACAACGGCACATGAAAAGTCGAGAATTGGGTCTGACCTTGGAGTATTTTTGTATTAGTGACTGAGAATTCTCTGTTTCTCTATCCCCTTGTCCTTGCTATTTTGATGTGAATCATTCTTACCTACGGCTCCAAAGATGTTCTTTGAACATTGGCCTCCTATAATAACGTGAGAAGGAATTAAGTTGGCTAACTTAAGAGGCTCTAGTCTGTGATTTTCAGATATGGTCCGTATGATATGGCAATGTTGCATCCACAGTTGGTGGCTAGTATGTAACATTGGATGAACTTGATTGACTCCCCTTCTTACTCTGTAGTTTGTTCTTTGATTAAGAGGGTCTAATTGGATTGGTTGGGGCATAAAAGTTGTGCTAGTTGTTTAAAAGAAGCATCGGTATCATTTGTCAATTTGTGAGATTATGTTATTTATTTATTTATTTATTTTTTATTTTTTATCGAGATCTTGTTAAGAGTTACGGTGCGTTTTAAAAGTTTTCTATCATTTCTTTGTTTCTCTGGCTACAGAGTTGCTGATTGCTACAATTATGTTAATATATCTGTGATTTGTTCATAGGTGGTCGCAGGGAAGATGACTGGACTTGTCCAAGCTGTGGGAATGTTAATTTCTCTTTTAGAACAACCTGCAATATGCGCAATTGCACCCAACCTAGGCCTGCTGATCACAATTTTGTAAGATACAATAACCACTTTCTGTTGTTTCAATTTTGGAGGAGCTTCTATATCATGTTTGTTTATATGACTTGTAGATTTTTATCTTTTTTTTGGGCTTCCCCTCTGTGCATCCTCTCACTTAACCTGGTATTGTTATGAGTTGCACCAATCTTGGATGTTCTCTTCTCTTCGTGTCCCTACTCCCTAGTTTAAGGATAAATTCTTTAAGTTAAGAGGCTTGGTGGAATTCTAAGAAATGTACTTTGTTCTTGGTTATGGAGACACCATTTTTTTTTCCCCTTTTTGTTTGTAATCCTTATGTTCATTTTGGTTTTTTCATCTGTCCTCCTCCCCAGGCTCCCCTTTCTCCATTTTCATAGGGTATATTGTTTGATTCTTAATGTTAAAATGTCTTACCATGTAATTTTCTTTTCAGAAGTCAGCTTTAAAGCCCCTTCAAGCACCACCCAGCTATCCTCCCTCAGCTCCATATGTAAGCTCTAATCCCCCGTCCTCCATGTATATGGGAGTGCCTCCTTATGGATCTTCTCTTTTCAATGGGTCATCTGTTCCCCCTCCTTATGATGTTCCATTTACTGGGGGATCCGCCTATCATTATAATTATGGCAACCGCCTTAATGGAGGCAGCCCATATCGACCACCCTTGCATATACCTGGTCCTCCTCCTTTCTCTGGTGGATCTGTGATTGGAAATGGTAAACTTTGATTTCTTCTTAATTATTAGGCCACTGTTGAATTCATGTATTTTTTTACTTTATATTTTTTTCTCTTATTTTTGATAAGTTCACCTTGTGTGTTGGTGTGGCATCTAATTTCGTTATATCTTTTCAAGTTTGGGAACTTCTCCTCAAATGATTTGCTCTTGAAGACTTATTTTGAAGCTTGCTGCATATGTACCCTTTGCAGGTGGAATGTATGGTGTGCCACCTATTGTGGACCGTTATGGTTTGGGGTTACCCCTGGGATCTCCTTCTATGGTAATTTATTTTGATTTTTTTTAGGTGTTGAATATTTCGCTTGAGCACGTTACTTTGCTTTTGTTTTTATAGTGCTCAGAGTTATACCCCTTGAATTATTATTTTTTTCACCTTCCAAGATTGATGTCTATTAGGCATCCATTTAATGGTTTCATTTTGTTGATAATAATCTGTATGCATGAAAGTATTTGTCCATCTATAGAACTTTTCTTCTGCATCAGCTTGTTCATAAAAAGTTTGTAGATGGAATACCTTCTGGGTGTGAACATATGAACATTCAAAATTTTAAGATTTTATAAGAACTGCTTTTGGTGTGCTTGAGATTTGGCTGTTGAGTTGACAATGCGAAATCCTTTTGATGCTTTGGATCACAATTAAACTTGGGAGTTAAAAATGATGTTTTAGTGTGCAGAAAATTGTTGATGAAAATATATGTTAAGTGATTTATCCTCTTTATTTTCATTGGACATCGTGAATCATAGAACTTCTTTTCCAGGGGCCAAGACCAGGATTTTTCCCCGATGACAAGTCTCAGAAGAGAGGTGGGTTGATCATCCTTTTTGTCATTTTTTTTGCTCAATAGCTTTTTGAAATTTAAATTCTGCACTGCCACTCCAAATTCATTTTGTTTATATATTACTGTGACTTTCAGATGGAACACGTGATAATGACTGGATATGTCCCAAGTGCAGTAATGTAAACTTTTCATTCAGATCAGTTTGTAATATGAGGAAGTGTAACACTCCGAAGCCTGGGTCACAGGTATTTCAGGATTTCTGTTTATATAGGAAATATACTAAAAGTAAATGGTGATCATTTTAGTTTATGGGCTTTGTATGTATCAATGGAAAAAAGATGCATCTCTTAATTTAACATCTTGAATCGTTTTTGTTCTTAAATCATATCTCATCTCAATTATACTATGTTTTACTACTCTCTGAGTTTATTGGCTAAAGGAAATTTTTCTCCTTGTGCAGGCTGCAAAACCAAATAAAAATTCTAGTAAGTCCTTTTTTAATCCTTATTTTACGTTGGTTGTGGAATATATGTGCTAATATTCGTTTGTTTTAGAACCAGATATGCCAGAAGGAAGTTGGAAGTGTGATAAATGCAACAACATCAACTATCCCTTCAGGACAAAATGTAATAGACAGAACTGTGGTGCTGATAAACCAAATGAATCAAAAAGTTCACCATCCAAACCTGCTGATGAAAATGATCAGGTCCGACTCCTGTGCTTTTCCCTGAACTGTTTTTAGGAGTTGCATTTTGGCCTCTGTATGTATGTGCTTGTCTTAAGGTCAAAATTTGTTAATGTCAACAAGTACATCCTTATTGAGAATTTAAGGTTACACGCTTTCTTTACCCCCTTCATATGTTTGATGGATTCTGTAAATTTTTTGATGTCTTGTTTGCTTTCCTTTTTGTGTTGCATTCATTAATTCTCAGTTGTCTAATGTTCCAGTGAGTTCTAGGGCATGTTTGAGGTTTGAGAAGGTCCAGAGTTGTCGTCCAGCATTGCTTCAGTCTGGGTGTCTGAAAGTCAGTCTGTCACCTTCCTGTCGCAGCAGTTTTCGAGTTGTTACTCTACCTTCTCTTCATTCAATCGTGTCCAAATTGTTGTATTTTACTGGAATGGGATACTATGGGTCTGAACTGTTTCTTATTTAGTCTACCGTCTGTCTCTGATCTACTTGCCAGCTGATCCTGGCTAGATTTTTACCTGTTTGTGGTTAACTATTTCCTTAGGGGTTTGTACCTAAGTTTGAAGTCATTTTATTAGTAGTTATGGTAATATGCTCTTATGCTATGCTTCTGGTAGCATGTTTGGTCCCCTGTTTTCCGGTGCGTTGTTTCAGCGATTGCAGTGCTTAGTGTTGTGTCAACTAACAACCCTGGATTTTCACATTTCAGTGGGTCAATTAATAAGTTGACGTCAAAACAGAAGTGTTTGGTCCTCAATTAAATGTTTGGTGTAGAGTTACCACCGCGTTTACAGAGTTTAGCACTGCCATCGCCGCTTTCTTTTCTATGTATGTGGCTTCTTTTGATTCTATGTGCTTCAAATTCATGTTTGCTCGTAGAGGTGGGATCTATGATTGGAGTCATGGTAGTTTGTCCAGATTCTGTTATTTCATTCAGAGCTCTCATATTTATTATTCAAGGGTTGTGATCTCCATTGATTTTGGTACATGAAGTCACATTTTTGTGACATCTTAAACAACTTATCACTTCCAACTTACTTTGAAGCGTTTACTTTGAAAACGTGTTTTTCCACTAATAACTGGAAACCTTGATTATTTCGTTGTGGTTTGGGAAAATAAGGTTCAGTAACTATCATGGATGTATTGTGATGTTTATTATTGTTACTTTTTTTCTTTTTTTTTTATGTTTCTATCATTTTGATCCTTTTCTGGCGGAGGTGGAACTGGCATCGTTTTCTTGCCTGTTGGTGGAAAGGAAATGATGGAAGGGAAGAATCTATGGAAGTTCATTTCTGGAGTTGATCGAAGAGGAAGTTCGGTGCTCTCTTATTGTTAAGGCTCCGGTGTAAAATGTATAGGAAGATGCTGCCTGCTAGGAACAGTTCAGAAGATAGAACGGGTCTTTTGGTTCCTTTTTCTTTGTGAGGGGTAGGAGAGGGTTCTGAAATTGAAGTACTTTTTGCTGTTCCAAGTTTTGCTGCTTTTCCTGTTATTCGTTTAGAAACAAAAAAAGGACAAGAAAAAAAAAACATTGCAAACATTCCCAGTGGCAAATGAATTCGGAAACGGTAAATGCATATAAACTCTTAACACTGGGAGAGAGAGAATGATATTAAGACATTTATACGACTTCTATAGTTCACTTTGTTAAAATTAAATAATACTATAACAATTTTTTAAAAAATTTAAATAAGATAACAAAATAAAGTTTTTCCTGATGCAATTTTTTGAGCAAAGACTAATGTTGTTGGTAATTGTGACTTCTATCAAGTGTCGAGTTGTTAAACGACGTTATGCAAACAAAACCCATAATTTGCGATAGACAAGAAAGAAATAGCTAAAGATCAATGCTGCGCAGTTCTAGCAAAGTATCTACCTGCCGTGGGCATATTACATTTGCAGAATACTTGGGGAAACTACACAGAAGACAAAAAGGGGAAATGCGAAAAAAACAAGAAATAGAGAATTAACAGAATGATGGTGAAGAAGAAACTCTAGGGGGGTAAAGGATCATGAGATTTTATGATGATCAGATAGAATGGATGGGCTTAAGACTTCCAGTAGGGAATGCAAAGAAGGAGATGACGAAGAACATTGCGATCACCACAGCAGCTGCAGGGGGTGTGTGGGCTCCAGTATTAGCATTATCAGACTTGGTGGGTGAGGTTGTGGTGGTCGGCGCCGCGGGTGTTGCGTTGCTACCTCCTCCGGAGGTGCTGTTGCTGGTAAAGATTGCAGCATCAGGTGAGTTTGGAGGCAGCCCCAGCAACTCTGCAGCACAGCAATAAATTAAAATTTAATATAATAATAATCCCAGGTGGTTGTTTAATTAGCATCATGCAATCAGAGAATTTAGAGTGAAGAGAATATTTTGAATCACGAAATCAAATATTGACAAATGATGCGTAATTGTTAGGTTATGTGAACATAATAATAGAGTTCAAACAAGAATCAGATTGACTTAACTGACTGACTCGTTCAATGTAAGGTTTGGATAAACTTTGAAAAGGTGGAGTAAGCCACGAGACACAAACGTGAAACAGTTAGGTCATTTTGGCACTTTTAACATCATTATTAAATTTAAATTCAATAATTTAGATAACTTGTGCAATTCTACTGAATTCCCAATTTTATTTTTTATTTTTTTTTACAATAAATGGAATTTAAAGGTACAAGTAGCATTTTTCATTTTACTTAGGTAGGCATTTGCGAATTTTTTTTCGTTCCCCCCTAAAAACACCTCGCGTGTATCACACATTTAATAAATAGCAGAGGTAAAAAAAAAAAAAAAAAAAACCAGCCTATTAATTAACCAACAACAATTAACAACACTTTTAATCAATGAACGTTACGTTATCCTCTCTTGTACGTTACCTAAAAATCTTTCATGTCCTTAATATAAAGGATTTTAATTTGTCCTAGATTTCATCTAATATGTATTTTTTATTAAAAAAATCTTAAATATATATTTTCACATCGCTTATGTTCTCTTAATTATTATGAAATATTTTTAAAGTTTTTTGTCAATTGAAAATAAGTTTAATTTAGAAAAATCAAAATGACTAATAGTAAGGATCGGAAAGAGTACTAGTAAGATTTCATTCTTGCATGCATCATCTGGGAAAACTAATCCCATCTCCTAATGCACACAAAATTACTTTTATAGAATGAAAAATAGTTTATCATGGTTGATTCGGTACTAATCCAGAAACATAAACTGAGGGAGATGAACGGTAAAATAATCCTGCCAAATTGTGAACTTAATAACATAATAAAGTTTCAATAGACATGAAACCTCTCTAATGCATGTTATGTTATGAAGAATTAAACCCAAAAATCAAATAGTGCGAGAGAAACTATAAGAAAGCTTACTAGGGCACTCGGCGGAGCTGGCGTTGGTCAACTTGCAGGCAGAAGGCAACTGAAGCAAACGCCCCTCCTGGATCCCCATGCTCTTGATCTGGGGATTAGTGCCGTCGTGGATCTGCTGGATGATGTAGCACAAACACACCGGCTTCCGCTGCTTCAAGTCGGATACCGACCCGCAACATTCCTTGGTCGGCGTGTCCGCCTTCCCCGTCGCAAACGTCAGGCATGTCGTCACCTTCGGGAACTCCTTGGCGCAGTCGTCTTGCACCGTGTCTCCGGCGGCAGCCACCGCCATCGCCACCAGCACCACCGCCACCACAGTCATGATCTTCCCGCCTTTCATTTTTCTTCTTTTTTTCTTGGGCTGGTGCTGGTTTTCTTTTCTCTTTTCGGCTTCTTCCTTTTGTCTTGGTTCTTTCTTTGCTTCGGTGTGGGAAATGGAAAGAAGAGCCCAAAAGGAAAGAAGATGATGAAGTGAAAATGGTTAGTGGTTGGGCTGGAGTTAAAGTTGGGGGGGAGGGGGTGCGGGGGAGCATTAAATATAGGGTTGTTGGGCTAGCGAACTGTTGCCTGTTTTACTACATTTTGTGTCTTACGTCTTAAATGAAGTTTGAGCTGTCTATGCTGTACTAATACGAGTTTGACGATTGTTTCTTGTCTTCCCACGTGTGAAGCTGGGTGGCTCATGGCTGTGTTTTCTTTTCATTTTTCGAAAAAAAGAAAAATCTTTCTTTCGTGTTTTCCCACATTCATTTTCTCTTTGTTGTTGTCTTTACTCTCTTGCTTTTCCCACTGTTTTTATGTCAAGACAAGAATTACGAGAGATAATTTTCTGCCAAATCCGATTTCGTGGAATTCCGATAAGAGTGAAACTTTTTACAAATGTCGTTTTCAGATTTATGAAAAGTGTTTCGACTTTTCAAAGATGTTTATTTGGTTGTCTAAGAAATGTGTACTGATGTGGTCTTTTTTTTTTTTTTTCTGTAAAAAGCGGTATTCATTTCTCATTAAAAAACTGAAACATAAGGTAAAAGATTTACAATTGACTAAAACAATCTGCCTTAAATGCTAAGTCCATCCACAAAGGGGGATTGTTGATCCAAATTTGTGAATTTTTGTTTGACAAAGCTAACTTAACGAGATTGTATCGCGAACAGTTCCACTCTTTTCGAATATACAAAAATTTATAGTTAACAAAGAGTAATTTCAGCAATAAAATGTTCCTGACTAGAGTAATGACATGTGAAACAGGTGCAAATCTTTCCTATAACCAAACCACTATAGTCTTGTCATTCAATTGGATTTCCACTTCCTCTGCTCTCCTCTGTTGCATCTCTCTCATGTGGTCTTAGTTAGACATATATCTTCTACTCCTTTCTCTTTCGTTCTGATGATACACTTTATTAAAATAACACAAATCTTTTGACGAAGTTAAAAATAGTAGAGTGAGGGTAAAATGAGAGGGAAATAACGTGCGATGTGGGGAAGTGGAAGAATATTTATGTGATTCATTTATAATTTTGGGATGTAATTACGTTACACATAGTTTGTGATTTATGTAGTCTTCATTTGATAATCAAAGCTTTAGTCAAATGTCTTCAATGTGAATTCTCTAGTTCGGAAAAGGTGGGGTGTGGAGACGGAATAATTTCGTTCTTCTTAGGATCCATTTCTTTAAGGCTTTGAATGCTTTCAGGTTTCAATGCGTTCCTACTTACATATTTCTAACAGCATCATCCCTTCTCCATTTGGTAGGAATTGAAACTTGGAAGTCGGCAACTCATCTTTAAGGACATTTTATTACTGGTAGTATAAATTTATTTACATTGTCCATCATGAAAATAGTGACATTGAGTTTCAAAATTTCTACTCTTTTCCATATAAATCTCAAAATTTTATGTGGAATATCTCTCCAACATGGTTGTAAAGTAAGAGTCGCGTGTATTCTGTTGTTAGTGTCACAACTTACACCCTTATATTACGACCCGGAAAGTCACTCGCCAAGACTATCAGCTGGCTATGAGCTAGTACTACTAGTCTCCTACGGGTGCATAACTGGACAGATGCATCAGACTTGAAGTTCCTAAACATTTGGACTTAAAGCACACAGAAAGGAAAAGGCTGTGGCATTAATTACTGCATTGATGGAATTAGCTGGTTCAAGAAGAGAGGTTCGGTGGACTTAAATGGCCCTTTTCTGCTCTCTCACCTATCTTCTTCACCACATTACTCTCTGCCTTTGAGAGCTGCTTACAGACCGGATGCCGATGTCGTGTGCTATGTCGGTGCTAATTAGTAATTACTGAAGAGTAACGATATTCTTCTCTATAAAGATTTGTCCTAGGTTTAACCTAATACCTATTTTTAATTGATAAAAAAGTTTTAAAAATATTTCAAAACAATCAAGAGAATATAACGAATATGAAAATATATTTTAAGGTTTTTTCGTTAATTAAAAGTACGTGAAACTTGGACAAAATCAAAATACCTTATATTAAGGACCGGATGAGGGAGTATTATTTTTTCATTTTACTAAAAGGAAATAATTTTAAAAGAAATTTCATCCTTTTCTTTTTTCCCTCGGTTCTTTTCTTTTCTTTTCTTTTTTCTTTTTTCTGTTTTACCATCGTAAACGGGGGATTCCTCTTCATGAAGATAGTCGCTCACCAAAATTCCCCAAATTCTGAGAATTATCATCGCATTCTGATTCACCCAAAAAATCGAATTAATTCAAGTGATGCAGAATTAAGGGTTTGTTGCCATTGTGGGAATCTCTTGGACATTGTTTTATTAGTCTTGATTCTAAATCAAATCCTCCCATTGTTGGGGTTCTTTGTCAAATCTCCTAAGCAGTGGCGAAAAGGGGAAGTGGATGAAACAAAACTTCGATTGAAATTGGATACTATTTTTCACAGAAAAGAAAAAATAATAGATTTTATTTTTCAGTAAAAAGGAAATTAATAATTAAAAAGATGATATGGAATGATAACTAGATAATCATGTAAGTAGAGTTATGAGTAGAGTTATATTTGTAGAAAAGAATATCATTATTCTTACGGAGAATGAGATCTTTCGTGCTGTATTGGTTCTGTTCATTTCATTTTTTTCTTTTTCCCTTGGAAATGTAAAACTGTGTCTTATAAAATTATAAAATAATATATTATAGTAAGAGTACTGATACGTGCACATAAAATTTACAGGATATTCTTATAGAGAATAATGTGTCCGAATATTAACTATTTTTTAATCTTAGAGATAAATTTATAAAGATAAGTTTTAATTATGAACGGTTAGTATTTATTCTATTTATATTTTACTTATAAATTTTTCATTCAAAATCATGACTCTCATTGTAATCATTAAAAATTTAAAATTTTCTTTGCTAAACACTTAAAAACAATAAATTAAACAGATCTTAGATATCTCAATTTGATATCCAACGTGTATTAAGAGACCTAATTCCCAACATAAAAATGGAATCCTTTAAACCAAATCACTCGATGCACAACTATTCATTCATTAATTCGGTGACATGCTAGTAGTATAAAACCAACTCCGCCTCTAAAATGAGTTAATTCGGATCACTTCACGGTTTTTTTTTTTTTTTGTAAATATATGTATTTGACTTACTAATAATGATGAATGCTTATGCTGCTGCTGCTCAGCTGCTGGCCTTGAGCCCTTGACATCTCATGGGCTTAAATTTTACTAGCAATCCAAATCCCAACAATATATTAAGGTCTTATGAACAGCTATCGGCCTAACAAAAAGCCCATTATTGAACTTCATCTTGCCCCTACGTGTATTAATGTAATAGTTGTTAGGGAAGCTGCATGTATAGCGTCTAACAAGTAACAAGTAAGTGCTTGTTTGGACGTCATCTTACATTTCATTTTATCACTTAAAAGTAAAAAGTATTTTAAGTTGAAAATTAAATAAGAAATGAAAATGTTGTTTGGATGGTATTTTGAGCAAAAAGTTGTTTGGATGTTAGTTTTGAAAAAAAATATTTTGAACTATATTTTAAAAATATCAAGTACGAGTCATCACTAGACAATTAAATACTATCAATTACAGTCATTGCAAAAAAGAAATTTTCCAAAAATAATCACTCAACAACGGAATCCTGCCAAATTTGTCACTGAACTATTTGTAGTTCTAAAATGGTTATTACATTAACAAAAAGTGTTTCAAGTTGGAATTTAAAATGTAAATCAGAAAGTTGTTTGGATAATGTTTACTTTTCCATTGAGTTTTGTGTTTAAGAGATAAAATGAGTTAAAATATAAAACGAGTACTTGTACAAATAAAGCCTAAAGTTTTAGTGTGCTTAACAATAAATAAATAAAATAAAAATGTTCCGGTACATGATATAATGATTTATTGAAAATTCTCTTTATAGCCCTCTCTTCCATTATATTCACTTTTATATACTATCTCCGTCTCACAAAAATAATCCACATTGAATTTTCAAATTTGTAATAAAAACAGTATAAAACTCAAAACTCAATGTGGACTATTTTTGTGGGACGGAGTGAATATATATTATCAAAGAAAAATCTTTGTGTTGAAATTTTGTACAGTACAAACACCAATGCCTCTGAACTGTTTCTTTGCTATACAACTAGTCAGCTATCAATTCTGTCTGATTCCAAGCATTTCTAATAAAAATTTAATATGATCGTTGCTACTAAATCTATCGTAAAACCGAATTGTCCAAGTAACCTCTCTTACAAGTTACAACATCTATTTTCCTTTCATCCATAGTCGTATGTTTTTCTCCAAACTTTCTACTGTTGGGTTCTACCTAAATATGATGAATTGCTGCTGCAATAGTGGCAAATAAAGTCATTTACCTTATTTGCTTAAATTTCCATATTTTGAGCAATATGGGAATCTGATTCCCAAGACTCCTTATTGTGATGTCATTCCCAACCATTTCAAGAGCTTTTGAATGAGTTCTTTTGCATACTGTCAATAAAAAAATTTTAAAAAAAAAGGTGTTTTGTATCTTCCATATTTCCAGAGCAAAGCTCACATTTGACAGGATCCCTTAGAAGTATGAGTTTTTCAATCTTCCTTGTATAAAGAGTCTATCTTTCACAGCAAACCAACAAATTAAATTTGTTTGGGCACAACATAAGGACTCCAAACTAGTTTGTATTCCCTCTCTTTGGGTTTATCTCCTATAAACCATTTATAACCACTTTTGGTGCTATAAGTCCTTTCTGCACTAGCCATCCATTCACCATTCTACATATCACCTTTTAGCTGGTCTCTAATACTCATAATTTTTTTCAATGCTAATTAATATTTTTCGGTAATGGATACTCTCATATATACTTATTTTTTATGGGAGAAAAATGAATTAAAAGAAAACCCTTTCCTTGAGTATAATGTATATTAAAATTTTGACATTAATTTGTCGTTGGAACATTCCAGTACGGATAGGTTCTAAGATTCGGTAAAAGATCTCCGACATTATAATATTGCTTCACATCCTACATTATTCACTAAGATTTTGACACGTGACTTGTTCATCTAATGGTGGATTAGAGTATTAGTAAAATTCTTAAAAAAGAAAATAATAATTAAATTGAAAATATGTGATTAATTTATATGGTGATCTAAGAAATGTTATAAGATTGTGTTGAAGGATATCCTTAGTTGAAACTTATAGAAGGATTCAACAATTTTTGTCCTGTGATTGGGAAATCCTTAGTCGAAACTTTTATATATATATATAGAGAGAGAGAGGGGGAAAATTTTATAGTCTAGTCATAAATTTTAGACTGAACTATCTTGAGTCCATTCACTTAAATTTTGACACATCACATGTTCTAATAGAGTGTGCAACACCGAAACATATCTACATTGATGGGTAACCTGTTAATAAGGTAATTTTACGGGATTCTTTTAAAATAATTACCAAGATAAAATTTAATTAACTTTACTAACCATAATTGAAAGATTAACTCTAGAGATATATCTGATTATTTGTTTTACTTTTAATTTTTTTTTTTGAAAGGTAAAATCTGATTATTTATTTTATGATAACGAAAATTTTCACCATTTTATTTTTGCTTTTACTTTGTTGATGATGTGTAAATGAGAGTTTTTTTTTTTTTCTCCAAAGAATCCATATCAAGTTTTTTTCTCCGAAGCACTTGAAACTTCTCCAGGGTACCAGTCCAATTTCCAAACAAAAAGCTTCCTACAGGCTACAGAGAACTACATACATACGTTACATTTGATTACTAGGTGATAATAAAAAGTTATCATCATTATAAGAAAAAAAAGGAAAAAAGAAAAACAACAAAGAAATGAGAACACTAACAGCAACAGTACTACTAGTCTACTGCTTCTTCCACCGCCAGTAGCACTATTGTCACCGCCACCGCCACCCCTTCAGAGTTCAGAACCTTATCACTTTTTCCCCTTTTCAACTCCTCTGCAATTTCAGCAAAATATCTTATTCGTTTGAATGTGGGGATTATTCATTTGAAACAGAACACGAATTAATGCAAGAATTATCATTTGAAATCATCTTGTGTAATTCTTTAAGTTTAAGTTACACAACCCTTTGATAGTATGATACAAGAAACATACACAGATTACATTACTAAACAACATAAGAACTACATCATACGCATCTATGAAGTTTTGGCAGATGCATATAATGCTGCAGAAAGTGGCTCATCTCTCATCAAAAGCTACCTTATATTAAACCTGTTGAGAATCCTTCTTTGTATTTTCAATTTGATAATCGTATATTCAACTATGCCATTGAACCATTTCGACTTATGAGCATCGAACATTGAAAATCCTATGAATGATCCAAGAATTAATCCACTACCAAGAATTAATCACCTCGCCCTTCCCTTTACTTCTTCATCATCACTGTTTTCTTCTGCGTCCATTTCTTGATTATTTTCATCTTCTTCTTGGTTGCCGCCGCCGTCATGTTCGGACTCTGGGTCTTCACTTCCCAGGAAATATATCGATTTGTTCTCTGATGAATGCGTTACGGTCATACAAATCAATCCCGAACTCCTCCTCAAGCTGGCGGCGGATGGAGCCGGCTGTGGCGGGCAAATTGAAATGTGTTCACAAGGCCAGGTAAAATTTCTGGTATTCATTAAGAATTTCTTTCTTGTTGCAAATGCAACCGGGTTGATAGCTTACTAGTGGTAATCAGTAATTAGGTGTGATGAGGTGCTTTTAAAATTTAGTACACCTTATTTAAATCCAATGGTTGATGTTAATTTTAGTCGTCTAACGGTTATCAAAGTAAACTGAACCATTCAGTCGACTTGACTATAATCACTCCCATATTATATATATATATATATATATATATATATATATATTATACTTTTTTTTCATCTTGCCCCTACGTGTATTAATGTAACGGTTGTTAGGGAAGCTGTATATATAGCGTCTAACAACTAAAGTTTTAATGTGTTTAACAATAAATAAAATAAAATAAAAATGTTCCCGTACATGATATGATGATTTTTTGAAAATTCTCTTTATAGTCCTCTCTTCCATTATATTTACTTTTCTCTCCCACCCCCCCTCCCTCCAAAATAATTTAATGATATTATTTTCTCGTCTAAAATAATTATTTATTCAAAATTTCTATTTTTCATGTAATTTATATTAAAAAAATTCAAATTGAACAATCATTTAGAGACAGAGAGATTACTTAATTTCGATAACGTGAACTATTGAAATGGGAGATGAGATGGTGAGAGTATTGTGTGTACTCTCTGCAACTAATAGTCTCGTTTCTATACCGTTGACAATCCCATTTGTGTAATATTTAATTTTTTTATTCAACATAAAATACTTCATCCAATCCTTAATATAAGACATTTTGATTTATTCTAAGTTTAACTTAGTATGCATTTTTAATTGACAAAAAAATCTTAAAAATATTTCATAACAACTAAGAGAAGATAACGAATGTGAAAATATATTTTTAAGATTTCTCCGTCAATAACAAACACGTACTAGGTGAAAATTAGGACAAAATGAAAATACCTTATATTAAGGACCGGAGAGAGTAAATTTTTTTTTAAAAAAAAATCCACCGCAGTGGACCCCACTTAAATGTGGGTAAAGCCTCCCTTTACAACTCCTGGTGGGAATCGAACCCTAATTTATTACCAGGAAAGACAACAACCTAACCATTAAACTCTCATTCAATTCCGACCGGAGAGAGTAAATCATAAACTACATTAATAATTTCTCTATAGCTTTATGTTAATAAGAATGAAAAAGTTGACACTAAAAGACACAAGAATAACACAATCTTGTTTCGTTAAAAGAAATAATTGAAACATTGTTTTAGCAAGAAAAAAATGAATATTATATGTTAAACTCATTGAGCTGATTTTGAAGAGCATAATAAAAAAACAACAGTGGCGATAAAAAGAAGACAGGTACCTTGGTGCAGTTACAAGTCCTTTGTTTTTAGTACCAATATTTATTATAATAAACTAGTTTTCTTACGGTCTTTATAAATCGTGTGCATGTTATGTAAAATTTCTTACTACATCACCGATGAAAATGGATTCTCCCTTCATTTCAATTTGTAGGACATTTTAGGTTTGGAGAGATTTTTCAAAATGTAGGTCGTTTTACAAATTTTAGGTAAATTAATGACTATTTTTTCAACTTTATCTTTAATAAATAATGTTAATATTTTTTTATTTTTTATTTTGTTACAGAAAGAGAGGCAACAAGCCTAATTACAACTTAGCATATTTCTAGGGTATGCAACACCTAGTATCTCATGTTTCAACCAAGGTTTAACTCCTGATGGCGAAATATCAAACCGTTGTAAACCATCCGATCCTTGATCTGCTAATGAAGCCAAACAATCAGTCACAAAATTGTCACATGTTTAAGCTCCACCATCCATTCTCTATTCAGCAAATCACGAATGTCATAAACTAAACCAGTATTAAGGCCAACAATTTCCTTCATGCTTTGTACCATGGAAATAATGCTTGAATTATCAAGCTCGGCAATCACTCTCTTGCCGCCCATCTCCTACGCAAGTGTCAATCCCTGAAATGATCCCTACAATTCGGCGCTTGTAATTATACAAAATTCGATATTTATGATAAATCTTCCCAACCAGCGAATCTCTCACCACACCTCCGGTACTTGCCATTCCCGAATCTCTACTAAAGCTCTCATTCATGTTAATGAGGGGTAAAATAAATAATTAACACATAAATTAATTATTAGATAATTGTTTTTTTAGTTTACGTGTAAAGCTTAAAATGATTTAGATTTGGAAACGAAGAGTACTAAACATAAGTGTTGTGATTTGGGCGTTCGTATCTGACATTGGGTGGGTTATTCTTTCATTATGGAAATCAATACGCTAAAAATGAGGATCTAAAAATGTGTGTTCCAAAAAAAATAATAGCAATACTCTATGGTTGATGCATCCCCTCCTCCCCCAACGATGATCCAACGTGAGATGTAAGATATTTGTCTGGGATGGGGACTTGGTTTTTGGGAACTCTTCTCATTTCTGTGGGTAAAGCAAGCAAACCTCAGAGGCTCAGAAGAGCTGAGACAGAGAGATCACGTGGTTCTGACTAAGGTTTTGACCACTAAAAAATATTCACTCCTGTTACCGATCTTTAAAAAAAAATTAAAAATTAAAATTAAATTGAATAATGATTTCAAGCGGAGAACCGAAGTAACATGATTTTGCGAAATAGACGTTAATTTATTATTCACGGTGGGATAAGCAATTCCTTTTCCACATCTCAGCCTTATTCTTTTTATTAGGTTTTTTTTGAGTCCGAATATTGTTGGACTGGCTCTGATACTATATAGAAGTTCATAGGATCCACTTCAAAACTAATTAACAATGAAGAGAGTAACTCATAAAATTTATATATTAATACTCAGAGTCTCCCGACACTGACGTGGATTGGGACTCTTTATATAATAAGTTGATAACTACACTGTAATCTTTCAACTTTATCGGTTTTCTCCACTACATTACTCCATTTTGGCCCAAAATGGAGCTGAAAAGCAGCAAACGCCGCCAATTCATCAGCTCTGCAATTAACCGGTGGCTCTTCAGCATTACAGTCGTCGGCTTATTTTCCGGCGCCTTGCTCGTCGCCTTTTTTATCGGTTTAGCCGTAACTCCTCGCTCTTCCCTCTGCAACCACCACCACCACCCCAACAAAATCTCGCAAACCAAGAAGACAAATCTAAAATCCAAACCCGCACAACTCAGCCCGGACTTCAACTCCACCACCTCATGGACGGAGCTCCACATGGACGCCGTCGTTCATTACGCCACCTCCCGCTACGTCCCACAGCAATACCTTCACGAGATCCAGGTTTCCTACCGGGTACTCAAGGCCCGATTCCCATGCAATTTCCTGGTATTCGGACTCGGGCATGACTCCATCATGTGGGCCTCGCTCAACCCGGGCGGCACAACTCTGTTCTTGGAAGAGAATCCCAAGTGGATGGAGACTGTACTGAATCGGGCCCCGCATCTTCGGGCCCATGCCGTCGAGTACCGGACTCAGTTGTCCCAGGCCAATGAGCTTCTGGAACATTACCGGGCCGAACCGGATTGTTGGCCCGGCAAATCTTTCATACGCGGGAACGATAAATGTAGGCTGGCGTTGAACATGCTGCCGGAGGAGGTGTACGAGAAGGAGTGGGACTTGATCATGATTGATGCTCCGAGAGGGTCTTTTGCGTCGGCCCCGGGGAGGATGGCTCCGATTTACTCGGCGGCGGTCATGGCGAGGAACCGGAAGGGACCCGGTGTGACCCACGTGTTCGTGCATGATTCCAACCGGAAGGTGGAGAAGTTTTACTCGGATAAGTTTTTGTGCCCCAAGTATTTGACGGAGACCGCCGAGAGACTCCGGCATTACGAGATTCCGGCGGCCACAAATCCCGACGACAAACAGCCGTTTTGCTGACCTGTTAAACGTGTCTTGTCGCGTAGTAACAACTTGTAGACTATTTTTGTAGTAGTATGGTAAAATGTCACATGATTTTCAGTAAGTTGGGTAAATTGTTCTTTTTCTCCTTCACTCATTGAATGATTTGAGAAATCGTCAAATTGATGAAATTCAATATCTGTCCGTTTGTTCCTCTGATAAACATTCAATATTAATTGTGCTGGATCGGCCAAAAGGAAATTAATTTGATTTAAAACAAATAGGGGAAACCTGTTGATTTGTTGTTTCATTCTATGCAATATGCATCTATAGCCCCCACTCTTTTCTGTAATTTGCTGAGAATGGTGGAGCGATAAGGATGATCATATTCAAGTGTAACTGTTAAGGGAGTTATGATTTGAAACTTGAAAGTAATCCAATCCTAACGTTTTCTTCGAGAGAGTTGTTAGTGATCGGATAGTTTAAAAAAAATAAAATAAAATCACTAGTCACAAAACAATTTAAGTTCTGAGGACATGTTTATAAATATAGGTATTCCATGCATTCAATCTGCAGTGAAGAAAATAAGCACCCAATCCAATGTTCTCTCCTTTAGTCTCAATTTCCCATTTTCTGCTTTACTAAACTTCAGAAAATCGTTAAAATTTTACCCGTATCCCTCTTTTCATCCTTGTAATGGTGACATTTACTGCATTAGAATCGGAAAATGTCATTCTTTGATTCTATCAGCAGAAATTATGATCTCACGACTAATTAGAGAATAATATGAATATAAAGACAGTTTATTCTAATCCAAAATATGATGTTGACCATTAGCAAAATAAAATGTCCACTTTTGCACAAGGATAATAATGTACAATTCACCAAATACAATTCAATTTCCATGTCACTTTATTTAGCAGTTAGCAACTTAGCATTCACCCACCATTCAAAATTTAACGATTTTCTTCTTCTTCTCCTTATTTTATTTTTTTTATTTTATTTTTTGGTTTTTTATATTACATCAATCACCCGAATAAGACATGTACATTCCGAAATTGGGTAAAATTTCCCTGCCTAAGATGGGCTACCGTGACCTTCAAGCCACAGCTGGCCTAATGAAGAGCCCATATAGTCACCTTTCGTGTAAAATTTGTATCAAATGGGGAAACAAAGAGAATACTACATCTACTTAAAAATCATGGGTCGTGCTGTTGAGCGCCCTAATTTTTTCATTTGAACGCCCGAAAAAGACGTACACGCCCCTAAAAAAAAATATATGGCGAGGGATAAATGAGCCACCCCCTTAAGGGGTGGCGAGAAAACCTTCGCCGCATGGCGAAGGTGTGGCGCCCTTCTGGGCGCCACATTTGTGCTGGTTGGCGAGCAAATTTCTCGCCAACCAAAGGGTGGGTGGCGCCATTTTGTGCGCCACCCACCTTAATTACTTTTTTTTTTATTTTATTTATTTAATAATCTTTAATTTAACTATTTTTAATGTATTTAATTAATTTCTTTTATTTATTTTAATTATTAGTTTAATGAATTTATTTAATTCATGTATGTTCTTAATTTATTTATTTATTAAATTTTATTTATTTGTTTGGTGGTTAAACAAATAATTTTAACTTAAATATTTAGAGAATATTGCTTAATTATGTAGTAAATTTTTATAAAAATTTATCATTTAGTTATGTAAAATTTTTTAAACGTAAACAAAAAATTATCATTTAATAAAAACTAAAATTTATGAATTTACTATCAAACAAATTAATTATTCATCATCGGTGCATCTAGTCATTCTGGAAATATTTTTTGGAAAAAATATAAAATTTAAAATACGTTGAAACGAAAATTAAAAAGCATGGAAAAATATAAAATAATTTTATTTATTTTTTAATATTTTTAACTTCCAAATAGATAAATAAAAATAAACTTAAATAAATAAATAAATAAAATAATTAATTAATTAAATAAATTAAAAAAGAAAAAAAAAAAGTAATTCGGTTTGGCGAGCAAAAGGCTCGCCAAACCGAAGGGGTGGCGCCGATTTTGCGCCACCCCATTTTGGGGGTAGTTTCCTCTCGCCTCCCTTAATTGGGAGGCGAGAAATTGTGCGCCACCCTTTAAAGGGTGGCGCATTTCTCCGCGCCACCGTGAAAGGTCAAGCAGATCCATCGCTTATACCCTTTTTTTTAAAAAAAAATATGAATTCAGGGGCAAAATAATCTTTTTGAGATTTTTTAGGGCGTTCAAATGAAAAAATTAGGGCGTTTAGTAGACTCCCAGAAAAATTATTGGTATGTGGACTTTTTGCACACCCACAGAAATGGTAATGGAACTGCAGATTCGTTGGTCAAATTAGGCTTTTCTTTTCCAACGGGGAAGCATGTCTTGAAGTTACCCCCACCTTCTACATTAGAACTATTACATCTAGACAAAGCCTCCTTTGTTCCCGATAGGTCTTTGTAAATCTTAAGCCTCTGACTTCCCTTCGTATATTAAAAAAAAAATGGAGAAAAAAACGGCATAAGAAAAAAGAAAAAAAAAAATTTATCCAGTTGCGCATAATTGGTTCTGTTCGTTTCCTTTTTTTCGTGGTTTTTTCAGAATAATATATTAATATCAGTCATATTTCAGCATACATTTTTACATTTCCAATACCCCTTTTTACATTTTCAATACAAAAATTACCTAAAAACATATACTTAAAAAAACGAAACAAACATTCATATTTATATCTTTGGCGCTTATAGTGATTTGAATGTAACATCCTACCCTGGCGCGAAAGTTTATAAAAAATAATTGTACGAAATGTTGTCCATTTGTCTTAATTTGAAGTCTGATCCTTGAAAATGCTAGAACGGTTGGTTTGAGGTTCCATTGCACCGATCGGTTGAGTGGTAGAGAAGCTTATAAACTATCAAGAAAAGAATCAATTATTTTCCTTGATGTCTGTTTTTTAAATTATATAACAAATAAACTCCTATTAGACAAATGATTCTCGCTTTGTTTCAAAAAAAAAAAAAAAATCGCAGTATAATATCGTAATATTATACTAGATGCTTGTCCCGGGTAAATGCCTGGGTGTCGCCTGTATTTTTAAATTGATTAAATAAAAAATACGAATCATTCTTAAAAGAATAAAAAAAAGATTAGATGAATAAAAAATCGATTTAAAGGATAAAAAGTGAGTTAATACACATAAATCTATGCCCAGATTTACAATATTTAATTTATAACAGTTAACTTATGCCCGGGTTTACATAAATCATAGACCAATATCTACAACAGAAGAATTAAAAAAAAATCAGCCTTAAAAAATCAAATTTTTTTCATGATAGTTTATTTTTGCTTTGTTGTAGAAAGAGATGGATTGATAATTGATGTCAGATTTTAAGTAATTGATTTAAAGGCCCAGGTGTAAGAGAGGAGCGGAATGGAAGAGATTCTTTGAACTTGGGGATTAGGAAGACATTAATGGCGTTTCACTTGATTTAAGGAGATTTCCCTATATTTAATTTTATCAATTAAATATTATTATTTTAAGAGATTAGTATATACCTATAATTAAGATATTTTTATGTAGCTATAATTAAGGGGTTATGTATTTATCTATTCTGTCTTTTTTTTCTGATTAGTTAGAGTGTCACGTGTCAAAAATAATTTTGTACTGAAAATGACTTTTAGCGGGAAAATTTTCATTATGGTGCTGACACATGTTCTTTTTGTTTGCTGCTTTAATTAAGTACTATAGATTAAAAAGAATACGATTCACAAATTGTGTTGGTGAAATTTTTTTTAGACGGAAGTAGTATAATCTTGTAGTATGGATATCCATGACAAATAAACTCGTGACACATGATCGGTTGATGGAATTTTTTTTTATTTTTTATTTTTTTGTGTGTATAAGTAGAAATATGGTGACGGATAATGAGAATGTTTCGGTACAACTGGAGATCAAGAGGACTAACAATTTTATTTTATTTTGTTCTTTACAAGTAAGAAACATTAATGTTTTGGGAAACTTGGTTGCATAACTCTCTCAAAACAAAGCAGCTCGATTACTTGAGTTGGAACAAATCAATAAAAATGATGACCACCACCCAAAATCATATCAGTAAATGACGTCTTTAATCACTAGTCCCACGCCGTAACGAAGAGAGAGAGAGAGAGAGAGAGAGAGAGAGAGAGAGAGAGAGAGAGAGAGAGAGAGAGAGAGAGAGAGAGGTCTAATCACTGCTAAATGAGACTTTTTCCGGCAGTGCTACCTCCGACATATTGATTCTTTTAGGCATTTGTCGATCACAAATCGATGTCAATTAACTGCAACACTTTGACCATTCTCTTATATAGTGTACTACTAATTAAACTCTAACCATTCCCTAGGTAACTAACATGCTAGTCATCATTTAATAATTTCATTCCAGTTCGAAATTACTGTAAGACAAAAAGAAAGTCATTCAATAGACTTTCCCCCTCACGTACGTACCTACAAATTCATCTTTCTCTACCCTTCTTTTGTTTTGGTACAATAAATAGGAAATGCCAAACGAAAGTCTTTCTCCACGCTTGATTTCTGTTAAGCAATGGATCAGAAAAATAAACGCCACATTGGCAGCGTATCAAATAACCGGTTTCTCGTCGGCATTACCGTCGTCGGATTATTTGCCGGCGCAATATCCATCATCCTTTTCATCGGCATTGTCGAAACTCCTCTCTCTTTCTTCTGCAACAATACCATGAACTTGCAAGCCAAGAAATCAAGTACTAGTATCAATCCATCCACGTGGATGGAGCTCCAAAGGAAGGCCATCGTTCATTACGCAACCTCCCGGGTGGTCCCACAACAATCTCTCAAGGAGATCCAGATTTCGTTGCGGGAACTCAATGCCCGAACCCCATGCAATTTCCTGGTGTTCGGACTCGGGCACGACTCCATCATGTGGGCCTCGCTCAACCCGGGCGGGTCCACATTGTTCCTCGAAGAAGATCCCAAGTGGGTCGACACGGTCCTACGTGGCGCTCCGCATCTCCGGGCTCACACCGTCAAGTACCGTACTCAGCTGTCGCAGGCCGACGAGCTCCTGGATCATTACCGGGCCGAACCGGAGTGTTGGCCCAACAAGTCTTTCATTCACGGGAACCAGAAATGTAGGCTCGCGTTGAATATGCTGCCGGAGGAAGTGTACGAGAAGGAGTGGGACCTGATCATGATTGATGCTCCGAGAGGGTATTTCCCGGAAGCCCCCGGGAGGATGTCGGCGATTTACTCGGCGGCCGTCATGGCGAGGAACCGGAAGGGATCCGGTGTGACGCACGTGTTCTTGCACGACGTGGACCGGAAGGTGGAGAAAGTTTATTCCGACAAGTTTTTATGCCCCAAGTATTTGAAAGAGTCCGCCGGGAAGCTTCGGCATTTTGAGATTCCGGCCGCGAAAAAATCGGAGGACAAGGAGTTTTGCTAGCCGAAATTTCCAATTTACGTTCTCGATAATTTACTATGCCGTGATATATGTTTTTTTGTTCTCTCGTTAGCACTAAAAACACTTTTGATCAAAAAAAAAAAAACACTTTTATACATTGTGGGATTTCAAAATGTCAACTTCACTTTTTTTCATTAACTTGGATAGACCAATACTAAGAACTTGATTACGACAAATGTGCAACTTCTAAAAGCTGTGTTATTCCATTTTTCATTTTTTATTTTCTATTTATTGGGTTGTGGCAAGTGGCAACAACTCTCATCTCATCCATCAAATTTTAAGCTTTGCCCATTTAAAATCAGATGCAAGATTCTGCTTGGATTGGTATTCTTTCAAAAGCATTCGTCGATATAGTCGATTGGAAATATTCTACTACTCTATCAGATTCAGATCTGAGTTCATCAGAGAAGTAGTTACGAACACTGCTTCTATAATATCCTAAAAATAAATTATTTACGTACTGTATTTAGTCTGTTGGGAAGCTAATTTACAATGCGAGCCTTGGGAGAGAGGAATCCCATACAAATGAAGTCGAAGTAGACGAATACCGAAGTCAATCTGGGATTATTCAACTGAAGTAAACCAAGTCAAACGTTGGGTAATGGGAAGAGCTACTAATTTGAGTCAACATCAGTACACTAATTAATTAATTAGGAAGTTGCAGACGATGAATACTATCTCTATCTAGTACTGATGCAACGCCTCTCGATATTAGCGACTAGGAAGGATTAATTAGGGTGTGTTCGGCTACATGTTTTTGAGATTCAATTGTCATTAGAATATTTTGGAATTCAATTGGCATTCAAGATATTTTAATTCAATACTAATTTGTCCGTTCGGCAAAATCATGGAATTGGCCACAAATTCAATTAGGATTCCAAATTCTCTGTTCGGATAGTGAAGTAATTGAGTTGGTTTTGTCTTTTACTTATTTTTTACAAAAATAAAGAAAAAAGAAAAAAAATTGATTTCGAAATTATTTCAACTTTTTATTTTTGTTTTAAATAGTATCATTTCTAGAATAATATATTTTGTTTTAAATAGAATCATTTCTAAAATAACATTTTTTGTTTTAAATAGTAACTTTTAATTCTATCATAAAATTATAACAATAATGCTTACCCACTGGAACAGAGGCAGCAGAAGAGAACAAACTTTACTCTTCTCACCATCCCGAATATTGTACTAATATCGAACTGTAATGTTAAACAAGAAAGCAGCTCTGTGGTAAGGTAGACTTGAACAAATAATGTGTCTGGATGATTCTTCAAATAACAGTTTTCTCATAAACATATTACTTTTGAAAAAAAAAAAAAAGGGAAAGGCGGCATGATCTCCCCCGCTCAGATGAAACAGTCACGAAACAAGAAACTAAAAAGAGAATGTTCAATCTCTACTTAGGAATTGTCTAACACCACTTGACACATCAAACACAAACTGCAGCCAAGTTATGAGAGCAACATTTGGATCTATAGGCAGTTCTTAAACTACTCTTGGGCATGCTCTGGTGGTGTCCAGCTTCAACAGAGGCAGCTTCTATTTCATTTCCAACAAGTCTTTCGTGTCTTCATTATCAACGACCATCGTCCACTTCCCATCAACTCCAACATGGTAAGCTTAAAATGAAGATTGAAATAAACTCATCAAGGTGGGATACAACAAACACATAACAGAGTAACCGTTTGGACCATTTTTTTAGTTTTTGCATTGAGAACTATGTAACAAGCTGATTAAACAACTTGAAAAGAAAAATTACAAAAACTCTTTACTGTGTAAAACCAAACACAGGGTTGACAAACCATACCACTAGCAAAACCGCAGTACTCTTTAGCTCCCATTGCACCCATGCAAATCGCCCTTCTACCAACTTCTGCACCTTCATCAATGGATATATCGTGACTACCACTAGAAAAGCAAGGATTGACTAAAAAATAGGATGACTAAAATGACTATAAAGTGAAACAACAAAACCACTAGCTGATCATATCAAATTCGAAACAAGCACAAGGAAAATGGGGCATACCATAACTGCATAAAGCCAAAAGCAAGATCATGACTAGACCCAACGGCAAAACCATTCCCTTGAAGCACTTCCCCCTTCCCATTCACATGATACAGAACAGGAACCTACAAGAAGCCATAAACTCATTGTTTTTCTTACATAAAGTGAGGTTTCAGCTCAACCTAAAATCAGATGGCAAATAAAGAGTGCTGTAATGATTACCCCTTCGTCCCACCCAGCAATCAGTACTCCAATTGGCAAACCTTCAGAGTCCTTAGTGACATTAGAAGAAGACAGGGTGCTGGCCACCCTCGTGGTTGCCTCATCGACAAATATTCCTCCTGTAATTTAGCATGTACATGAAAGTAATCGTTATGTTGTTTCAGGAAAATGAGAATAACAAATCTATCAACGAAAATTAAAGTTGCAACATGTTTTCCTCAATCTAAGAGCTAAATACCAATATTTCTCCAAACAGTCAAGACCGAAGTAGTATTGTTATAAGATATAAAAATAATGCAGAATAGTGAAGGGACATGGCAATAGTTACCTCCTCCCTTTGCAATTTCTCCAGAAACAATGACAACCAAGCGATCACTAAGTTTAATAAGGTTATCAACATTGCCTCCTAATAAACCAAAGAGTTAATCAGTACCAAAACTAAAACATTAAACTATAGACAAACATCTGAATTTTCAAACAGTAGTTAAAAAGCTCACGTGGATGGTCAGCAGCTACGATAAGCCCATATTTGAAAGTAAAGCCGGATCGTGATCCCCTTCTTTCCTTATCGTAGGAACACAAATCTACCACCTGAATAAAGATCCCCTCTTTCCTTATAATAGCATAAAGATCACCACCAAATAAGTCCATTTCGAGAACAGAGGAACATCTTTGCACAACCCAGAGTACGAGCATTCAAAGATCGCTAACAAACCAAAGATCATTATCAAACAAGAAACCAAAATCAAGACAGGGCTCATCAATACTAGCAACATCAACAAGGCATTTAATTCCATAAAATTCAGATTTTTCACTCCATTGGTTTAACATAAATTTCTCCGGAAGATTTAAAACCTCTGATGTTTTTGCAATCATAAGAACATACTCATTGTCCCCATTTTTCAGTATACACTCCTAAAGAGTGACACAAGCAACACGAAAGGTGCAATTCTCAATCAATGTAGCTCTTGGGAGCTCATATTTCATTCCTGGTAAAACACAAGTTGCCCAGGAATTTCCCACCTTATTAAATAATTTCACAGCTTCATGGATTTCGAAAATTCCAGACAAATCATCTCTTTGAGAAATACTGTCCCAATCAAGCTGCAGGTTTCTGTCAACTAGATTATGTGTAGCCATTTTACCAGGGTCAATTGCAAAAATACTCAGACGACTTCCATTATAAAAATGACTTAGCAAACTATCATCAACTTCCACTAATTGCACTAAATGATTCAATTGGATTCAAAAGTCCACAGAAAATCCATAAAATACACAGAAGATGTGACCCCTTTACACATACACGGACTGTGAAGTACAAATGACATCTTCACGGCATCAAAACAGAAACAAAAGCCAAAAAAACTTAGCATGACAAAAAAAGAACGTTCATTTCCAATAACAACGAAGTAACAATGGCCATGAATAATACAATTAATCCAAAGCAATCAAACAAAAACCCTGATCAAAATATATTGTGGAATTAAGTTCAACATACCCTTTAGAGCAGTAAATTGAAACCCAGTTCTCGAGAACTTCCCCAGTGAAATGCACACGGAATGATGATGATGATAACTTAAAAAGGGATACGAAATATAAACACACTGTATGGAAAAGATGATGGCTACCCAATAAACCTTTGCCAAAAAAAGGAAAAAAAAGGAAATTATATAAAAAACTAAACTCATGAACCAGAGAGGACATCTCCAAACAACAAACATCAGAAAATGAGTTGAATGGAAGATCTTTTGCTTAGATCTATACCAGAATTTAGTCTATCCCTCAAATCATCGGAACCCAAAATTCAGAAGGAAGAAAAGAAAAGGAAGGAGAAGAAGAAAACATACAATATGGTAGCCAAAGCCGCTGCGGTGACGGAGATTATGCTCCGGTAATTCCTCACCGCCGTTCAGTACCACCAACTTTGTGTTGTGTTTCTTGTACTCTTGAAGTCGAACCCTCCACCGCCGCCCTTGTTCTCTCCAAGTACCCTCCCTTGTCGCCTCCGCCGCCAACTCCTGCTCCTTCAGTCTTCTGTTCTTCTCCTTCCTCCTCCGACGACGATGAATCTGTTTCCCTCCAAATCACGCGTTCTGAAACATGATGTGTTTTCTTCTCTTTGCCTCTTGTTATTGCTATTAATCACGCGTTCTGAAACAGGTTGAGAGCTATTCAGATTGAATTGATAGATGAGATATTTTTGTGATTTATTCATCAATCTTAAATGGGCTAGCTGTAAAATTGAGATGGAAAAGTTTGTCTCATCGATGAGAGGAGAAGAAAAAGAAAAATAACAAATTAGGCCGTAAAAAAATTTAACAGATCCGAATAGCTTATAACCCGGTATTGACCCGATAAAAACCCGCGTACTGTTTAAGTCCATGAGAATTTGGAATACCAAATAATAGTTTCAAACTCGGAATTAAAATCATGGTATTGGAAGCCTTTTGGCATTGGGCCAATGCCAATGCCATCTTATTTTTAGATAGCCGAATACCGGATTTGACATTGGGGGCCCAAATTCCAAATCCAACCCCCAATGCCATGCAAACAAACAGAGCCTTAATGTAATTGAAATTCCAAACACTAATACTAAAATCACGGCGTAAATATATATTATGTGTCTTGTGATTTAGAAACACATAACCCCTTGGTAGCATTAATCATGGATCTGAATTTTGAAGTGACGATATGTACTCATTCGTTCCAAAAAATTATTCAATGTAAATTTTTATTTTCAAATCAAAATTGAGTAATCATTTCATGATAGAGGATGTACAATATTATTATTGATCAGATACGTAATTGCCGCGCCAAGTTAATGAAAAGTGAGCAAGAATTATTATTGGTCAATAAGATCTAAAATGGGTATGTTGTTAATCCTAGCATGGTTTTTGAACATAAATCCCCTTAGTTCAATACTTTCAAACTCACATCAGAACAAATCTATTGTACTTGCTTAAAGTAGCAAATACGAAAGACACATGTCAGTTCCAAAATTAAAATTTTTCCTCTAAAGCTTCTCAGTGCAAAACTGAATGCAGAAAATTTTAGTTCTGAGTCATGTTTAAATGTGTAAATTAAACTGAAAGATTAAAATTTCGAAATACTTTATTTTAGGGAAGAAACTAATTATCTACGTCTGACTATTCGTATGGGTTAAATTTTCCTATAAAACAGCAGTATAACTTGAGCATGTAACTGAATTAAATAATATATATCGGCCACAAAATTGAAACATCAAAAAGTAATCCGTAAATCTTTAAGATTTGATAGTCTTTTACTACATATATTATTCTTTTCACAATAATCATCCCATGATTTTATCAACCATCTTTTCATCAACTTCCCCAGAATCAACATAGTTAACGAATTTCCATCTTTAAATTCCTGTGTAAAAAAAGAAATGATCACATCATATCCCTTATTCAATGGGATAATATCATCAGTTAACACAAACTGAAAAAGAGCATACTTTGTATAATTATCACCATATCATTTAATTTATATGGCGACTTATGGAAATTGTAATGCATTTAAAACTCTAAACGGATTTCTCTGAAAGGAATTATATTGGAGATCAAAAAACCAATCAATATGTATTTTACACAGACTTATATATCTGCAAGCTTTCAGTACATATCAACAACTACTTTTCAATCACAGAATAAATTTCAAAATCTTTACCTTTCAGTAACCATTATCATCACAAATTTATAAATAAATACGAATGGGCTATGAGGCAATATGTTACCTGTATAAATACATCTACTCTCCTCACAGAGCCTGCACCATACCATTCCTGTAGTTCATAAAAACCAGTTTTCCAGATTCGTATATTAGCCATATTTTACTAATGGCTGAAACAAACCAAATTGCAATTCCAGTTGTTGAACCTGAAGGTTCTGTTGAAACTGTGAATGAAAATGCTGTGGATAATCTAATTGTCAACCCATCTAAAGATGTCATTGTTACACCCCCAAACCAAAAAAAAATGCCAGTTGTTGAACCATCAGATACTGTTGAAACTGTGAATGAAAATGCAGTTGACAATCCAGTGGTGAATCCATCTGAAGATGTCATTGCTACACCACCAAATGATGTTGGTGCTACAGGTATTCCCATACTTGCTGCACAAAGATACATCGTTGACACCAATGGATTGATTGATACAAAAACAACCATTTCACCATAGTTGTCAAAGTGATGACACTTTGGGAGGTTTCAGAAGTATCCAAAAAAAACAAAGTGAAGTATGTTGAAATGTATTTGATTAATGCTCAGGTATTCACTATTCTACCATAATTGGTTTTATAGTTTTTTCATGCACAATTATTTTCTTGCAGTATATGTTATAATCTATTTGTATGAATTAATCAGGGTAGCAAAATTCAAGCAACCATCCCTGGAAGAATTGTGAAAGATTTTGCAAATTCTTTCAAAGAAGGTTGTATTAGAAGATTATCAAGATTTGACAGTTGTCTCAACATTAGCAAGTGATTCAGGTGTGCTAAGCACGAATACAAAATTGTGTTCATGTCAAACACAAATGTTGAAGCTGCATTTGATTTTGGCATCCCAGATCATGTATTTGAGTTCACACCATTGGCAGAAGTTACAAACTTTGTGGCCAACTTTGATTATTGTTTTGGTAAGATGCATTTAAAAATGTGGTGAAATTCCCGTATACAAATCTGATACAAAAATTTAAAATATTTTCAATTATGTAGATTTGATGGGCCACATCATGGCTTACAGCGATCCAATTGTTGAATGGAAAGAAGGGGATTTCAGTAGAGCTTGAAGATGAAAGGTGAAATTTAATTTTTTTTTTTTAACAGTGTAAACACTAATTATTTATATTGCATTATACTGTAGGAATTAAAACATACATACTAAAAAAATATCTTGTGTTTTACGGGGCTGACGGGCTAAAAGTTACTTTGGGGAGGGGAGGGACACACTGATCAAGTCACTAAATACATGTCTAAAAATCTCCCGTTTCCTGTGGTCCTGATTGTTCAATATGTTAAGTGCAAAAAATACTACTGTGAGTAATCTTTTTCCTTTGATGTAATTGAATGTACTCCTATTCAAGGGAAATTTCATAAACTGATATCATCATCATGTACTTTTTAAATATGTAACAGCAAAAGCTTCTGTTACTATTAATCTTTTCAATGTAAAGATATATCTTGATGATATGGCAATATTCGACATATCATAGTACAAAGACAGGTATAGTTATTCTTACGACCTAATATAACTTCTATATAGTTGCATAAGTACTGTTTTATTCTCATTGTAATTAATTGGAAACAATATGTACAGAAGTAGCGCCAATGAAATGAAAACTACAAGTATCCATAAAATTTTAATGCTATCATCCATTTCTGGATACACATCTTATGAAAATTTCATAAATGGAGCAAAACTTTTGTCATTAGGTGACATAGATGAACTTGATGAGGTAACATATTAATAGTGATAATCCCTTAAACAGTATACATTAGTATTTTATCTCGATGATCTATGAAAGTATAAACACATGGAAACATATTTTTCAGGTAGGATATGTTGTGATTTTTGGCAAGATTACAGGTTTAGCAAAAGAATATGAATGGTCATACATTGAGTGCAGAGATTGCAACAAGAAGGTGGAGGAAATTGAAAAAGAAAAAGGTACCCGTATTATACCATCAGCAAAAGGAAGAAATACGAGTGACAACAAGAAATTTGGACTTAAGAAAAAATAGTTTTGTGGTAATCATGGCCCTGTGTCTGCTGTTGGTCCAAAGTATATTTTAATAATTTATAATCTGTTTTTGTAATTAGATTGATTTAATATTTCGTTATCAAACTTCTTAATGTTTTAGTTACTTTATTATTAATTATTTTCCTACATAATTTTATCAGTACCAGAAGAAGTACTGATAAGAATCTAAATTTGCATTAAGTAATTTATCAGTAGCTCCTGGAATGTTAGCGAGTAGCTTACAGAGTTTTAAGATGTTAAAAATACAAGACTGTGTTTGGTGCTCGTCGGACCTACAGGTAATGAGGTAAAGTAATCTTTGGCTAAAGAAGTTGAAATTGAAATCTCTCGATTGCCAGCCCTTCTCTCACATGGTTGGCCCAAGATGAACCCTCCGGATTTTGGGATCAGACTGGCGCTACATTTGATGAAGTTGACGATGGCTTGCTGCCGGTATGTCGTATGTGACATTATTCTGTCATTAAATGTTTTCCAAAAATTTGATAATCTATATATGTACACATATATTTTGTTTGTTTGTTTGTTTTTTTAATTTTTTGGCAAGCAATGACCAAGGAGTAATCATGACCGCAGAAACATCTATCGATTGTTGTTATGGCAGAGACGAATTGCAGGGGACATTGAGAAATAAGAATTTTTGGTATCCAGTATCCAAAACCAAGAGCTAAGCTTAGAAGCTAGCCTTTTGAGTCTTGCAGTGACTAAATTGGCAAATTAATAATCCTCTTTTTATCACGAATTTCATGTCTTGCTTCGTTTTTCTTTTTTAAAATTATTATTTTTAGTACTCTATTTGTGTCGTAATTCGGATAAATGTGATGAAAGAAAGGAAATGAGAATACCAAGTTTATCTACCTGTATGATGAAAAGAAGAACCCCCATGCCTTACTCGATTGAGTCATACAGGAAAATAACAAAATACATATGTTAAACCGAACTTCTGCAGTATAAGACTCTCCCCATGCGCGCACTTCTACATACATATAACTAAAAATTCCAGTTTGATATATGCATGCCCATTTTCATGGCGTAGTTGAAACTCCTCTCTCTTTCTTCTTCAACAACAGTCATGCACAAAAACTTGCAAACCAAGAACTCAAGTATCGATGCCGACCCCAACTTCATCAACTCCGCAACATCCACATGGATGCGCCTCAAGTATTTGAATGAGTCCGCCGGAAGGCTTCGCCATTTTGAGATTCCGGCCGGCTGCGGATTTTTCAGACGACAAAGACTTCTGCTAGCTTATATCTCAAATTGTTTGTGAGTTCTCTCGTAAACACTGCACCTTTTCATTAATGTGGATAGATCAGTAATAAGATCACTTGATTACAAGAAATGAAATGTGAGTAAAACTTGGAAAACTGTGGTCCCGTCTCCCCCAAAGAAGAAGAAAAGGGAATTTGTAGTATTCCATTTTGTGTGCGTTTGGCAACAGCTCTCATCTCATCCATCAAATTTTAAAACATTGTCCATTTTGGGAAAGCAGATGCAAGATTTTGCTTGGATCGGTTCGGAATCCTTTCAAAAGCATTCACCGATCAGCTGTCACAAATATAGTGGATTGGAATTATTCTACTACTCTATCGGATTCAAATTTGAATTAATTGGAGAAGTAATTTCGAACACCCCATGCATAATATACTGAAAATAATTTACTTCCCTAGTTCTAAAATTATTGTTCAGTTTGAGATTTCACTTTTAGTATAATTTGAACTACAAATAAAAATCTAAACTGAACGAAAATTATGAGACGGAGAGAGTATTTAAATATTTAGTTTTGTCCGTTGGAAAGCTAATTCAGAAATGGGCCTTGGTTGAGAGGATTAAAAATATTAAAAATAAGCTATAGGAATCAAGAAAGAGAAGCTAAGAACTGAAGGGTGTAACCTCTGGAATGTACGTAACATGCCTATACAAATTCTTAGCCTGATCGAATTCAAAGTCAGAACAAAATATTCTAATCTGTTCAGTACTACTTCCTTCATCCTTAAAAATTAATAACCTAAGTATTATTTCCATGACACAAGGTATGAGGGACATCGTTGGGCTTAATGCTGGTATTGTTAATGGCATTCAAGATACGTTGAGAAGAGATTGAAATATTGAAATTAAATATGTGTTTTGAGAAGTTAAATTTGTTGCAGACTATTTAGCTTCTTTAACGGCACAAGAGGCAGGCATATTACAATGGTTGGAGGCTCCACCATTAAAAATTAAACTGTAATTAGAGTATGATGTAATAGGGATTGCATACCTTCGGAATGTTTTAGTTTGAAATTAGGTTTCATACCTTTTCTACTGTAACAAAAAAAAAATAATAATAATAATCCACGTGGTAAATTATACTATAAATGAGTAACTCTGTGAAAGATAAATAAATGGAACATATAAGGGGGGACAAGTTTACAATTAAATTAAGGATTCTGTCATATGATCTTCTTTTAATTCCTGATCGGAAAGAATTAAAAAAAATAAAAAAAAAAAAAAAGAGGAGACAAGGCAACTTAAACCAAAACCAATGGATCCATGTTTTCAACTTAGATCAAGCAACAAGAAGTGTACATGTTAACATTTTCAATTGCATGGACATCTCAATACTGACGAAAACCAAGGATGATGAAATGACGTCTAAACTTAGTTTGGGAGTAGTAATTCTCTCCTGTACATTCTTCAGATTAAGCATTCAAATGATCTGGTCCAAAATCGCCGTTGCAGAACTTCAAGATACTAACAAATGACTTGCTAATTCTGCGTTACAAGAACACAAAACACAAGGTGATCATTTATGCTATAATGGATCCTAAGCATTAGTTACGAAAAAACTTTTAAGAAGGTATATTGGCAATTTTTTTTAAAAAAAAAAAAACTACAAAAAATTAAAAGAATTGTAACAAGATAGTGAAGTACATTGCACCTTAACTCAATTGATCGAGCTTGTACGTGTTCCAACTCTATATTCAATGAGTTTTGATTTTACATTTGAGATTAGAGAGCTCGACCCTTTTCATTTTTTTTTATTTTTTTTTTGGAAAATAAAGAAATTTTATTAACTGTCGGAACTGTCCAATAACCTCCGAGATCGACAAAGAAAATACTATTATCGTTACATTATAAGACTTGCTAAGTGAAAGTGGGGGCACTAATGTCAAATGACTTTCTTCTCACCAGAAGGCAAGTGATCCTGGATGGTTGCGCATTCTGTGGATTTTCCACGGAGCACAACACAAAGTCTGGCCTGTGTAGAGCCAAAGTTAGCCGATCTTTTCCCAAGTCCAGTCCAGTTGCATCCAGAAGAACATGCCAAGAATTCCTGTGGGCTTCTGAGATCCAATGCATGGAGTAACGTGTCTCATTTACATGAGCTGGGTAAGCAAATAGGCCCTTTGGACTGTATTTACATTTCTTCCTGAAATATTGACTCAGTTGGGACCCTTTGATCCTTAAATCCAACCATTTTTCCGGTGCTACAATTACTTTGGAGTCCTTGGACAACACAAATCCCCTTATGGAATCATACTCTTCCCCAAGGATTGTCATGTAATAATTCCCTCTGAAAAAAGGGTATGATTCACCTATTAACATGGTGGCTTCTTTTGGTGTTGTAGCAAAATGGACCAAATATTCCTCCTCGGATAGCCCACAATGCTGTAAGGCCCGGTTTCGGACTTGGATTTCTGGGATGGAAATGAAATTCCCTTGAAGGGATGCCTTCTTATTGAGGATGTCAAGTAATTTTGATGGCTCAAGCTGGGTTTTGTCCAAATCAGAGGTGGGAAAATTACCAAAAGAAGGTGACGACGACGGCAACGAAGAAGACAAATCCCTTGAGCCATGACTTTTTGGGGATTTTCCTTTTTCATGATCAGGGGTGTTTGTACCAGATGATGATGAATCCTCATTGATGCATAGTTTGTACAGATCAATCTTGTCTCCTTCCTCTACAAGTCCATTGCAATACTCTGGATATTTTGCTAACACATATTGCTGCACATATTGCCTTTCGCTAGGGGTGATTGGGCCTGACCATCTTAGATCCAGTCCATGCAGTGTGGATATGGCTTCAGCTACCAAGTGGGCTGGAATCACTGTGTGTGGTTTCTGTTTGTTTTTCACCGCATCCGAATTCATTTTCAATAAACATCATTCTTATATGAAAAAATTAGCAATTCGAAATTATCCAAAGAAAACAACCACCTAAAATATGTTGGATTAGGATGGTAATAGCCGATACAGATCAAATTTACTTCTTTTTTTTTGAAAGGGGTACTTGTACTAGATGAGAAAGAAATTCGTAAACTATTACAATGCATCCAATGATATGTTAGATTATGTAGTTCGTTTATATTCGACATGTCTATTTTAATCAGTTGACAAGATTCAAACGACTCAAATTTTCTTAGTATTCAGAATAATAGAGAAAGTTTTAGGCCTGTTGTGAATATCACGGCTTTTCATGAGTTTAAAACTAAGAATTATAAACGCCTAATTATTATGAGTTTGAGAATTTTCTTTTACAAACAAATATGGTATGGTAAAGGCGGGAAATTAGAAGCTTTGATAATTAGTTACAACTTGCCTTGAACACCATGCTGGCTGGTCTGCTTTGATTTGGTGACCTTGTTTCTCCAACTTCGCCTTCTAGCACCAAATTCTAATACCCAAAACAAAACCATTTTAGAATAGTATTCATCAAAAACTAAAAGAAAAAGAGAGAAGAATAAAGATACTGAAAGTCTTGAACTTAGAGGAAGGATTGAGATCCAAAACATACAATTAAAAAGAAAAAAAAAACCCAGAAAAATTGATTAATCCCATATATACCTCGAATTCTGCGCTTAGGCTTGTACTTAGAGTTTGATGGCCATCGAAGTTTCCTCCCATGTTAACTCTGGTCAACATGATGAATACTGCCGAGCAAATTCTGGGTTTCAAAGCTAGAAGAAAGAGGAAGAAGGGGAAAGGTTTGAGCACATAAATAATTGTGATTTATTTATAATCATCAGCGTTTCTTCTTTGATGCTCTCATTTGGTCATCACCATAATTCACAAACCACGCGACAAATTGAGAAATGACGAATTTGACGATAGCCAATGAAGCACACCTCTAGGCTCAAATCTAAATTAAAATAAACACTGGATTCAACAATTTATCATAAATTAATTCCACTAACACATAAATCTATTATTTTTATCAAAAGATTAAGATAAAAAATTAAGTCTTGGCACATCAGGGTTAAGTTAATTAAGAGGTTGAGATTGTTGAGATCATCTTCTATACTCTTTTCTAGTTTAACCATATATTAGTACATCACAGCACTGTACTAAAGGTGTGGAAACTTTTTGTGCAGAAAAATGACCATTTTCTTTTTTTTTTTTTTTGAACAGAGAGAGTATCTAAAATAAATCTTTATATTTTAAAGAGAAGTTAATTAGGAAAGAAGAAAAAGCGAAGCTGCGATAGCCGATACTTATTGTTTTTTGTTTAAGTTGAAAGACCATTTCTAAGTATGTGAATGCATTCAAGAAAACAAAAGGGAGGACTAAATAAATCAACAAAAATGAATTTTAAAAAAGGTTAAATGAAGGACCAGCCTGACCAATTATTGATCGAAAATTAATATTAAAAGAAGAAGAGTTATTAGTATAACTCAATGATCCCCAAATTCTCCCCAGTTTTTGTTACTTTGCAATGGAGATGATTAGCCATCCAAGATTAATGATTGTGATAATAAATATATTTAAATGACGGTGACCATTAAACCATTTCAAGACGTTGATAATATTTCAAGAGTAATACTAAATAAAATAGGTCCCTACTAGTGGGGAGCAGTTCGGAATCTTTTGATGCAGAGTTGATTATATAATTTTTTTCTTAATTAACAACTAAAGATAATGATCATAATATGTATTAAAGATTGATAATCGAGAATATTCTTAAGTATTATTCTAACCTATAAGATGAATCGACCTCCTAAGGGGTTTAATCAAAACATAATTGTTATTGAAAACAATTAACTTAAGTTTTACTAAACACAATTTGGTGTTATCAAATTAGTTTTGTTATCTTCAAAAGGGGAAAAAAATTAAAATATTCGTCACAACTTTGGCCCCTTTTTTTTTTTTTTTTTTTCTCTCTCTTTCATTTTGATAATGGTTCGATTGGTTTTTGCATGCAGGTCGACGGGCGCATATATTACCTCAAGCAAACTGTCGGTCGTTGAACCAAATATCAAAATCACAAACGACGTATGCCATTCAACAATTTTATAATTCTATTAATTAATGCCAATTAGTCATAAATATATAAAATATAATCGAAGAAGGATCTAATTGGTATTTAGTGAGACACTTTCTTAGCAGAAACAGCCAATTGGCCAAAATCTTTCTTTAAAAAAAAATGTTTATTCCACTATTTTAATTGAACAAATCCATTCCTAATGAGAAGGGAAATAAACCATTTCTGATGTTTTTTCTACATTTAAACAGTGTCCGTGAGACTCAGCATAAGACATTTACTTAGATATCATTCTAGAACCCTCAATCATCTTTATTGCCAAGAGATAAATATATCCATGAGGACCATGATCCATCCTTACTTTCACTTGGTGTGTGTGTGTTTTAATAAAACATGGTAATTTCGCTTTGTTATGCTAGAAGAGTTTAGACTTTTATTATTTTAGCTGATTGAACTACAAATGCTTTCAGTTACACCCACTGTTCTTAACCTTCTTCCATCCATCCCTCCCGAAGACGAGAGTTGGAGTGTTGTATTTCCCCAATTGAAACATTCGACTTTGATTCACGACGTCAATTTAGGGACATTCAAACTCCTGACATAGATCATAAACCTTCATGCTTCAGTTAACCACTATGGCAGACACCAAGCACCTTTTTGATATGTCTAGTACCAGTTTTCTATTAACTGTAGTTATAAAGTAGTACTAGTAGGTAACTACAGATGCCTAACAACACTTTTGGCCCAATCAAATTCCCCTTTGAATAGGTAAAATGAAGGAATGAGCAAATGCAAATACATTAGTATACTTACTACATATAACAGAATCTACAACTGGATATTAACAGATTATAAAAAGTATTTCATCCGGTCATCCCTCCTCATCGCGTTGTACACAGCTTGAACCTGCAAACAACAATGAGATCAACTCGTCTTTATACTATATATATGCTGGAAATGTGTATCCGAAGACAACAAAAGCTAAATATCATTTCAGACGCACAGAAGAGGATGGAATTCTCCTCTTTGTATACAGGGTTAAGTTACCACAATATCAAATTTGATTCAATAAATAGACCCAATTTTTCTTTCAAGTTGGTTAAGTCTACGAAGTAACTACAGCATCTTGTCTCAGGGGGTAAATATACAGGTTTGTTTCATCGTGTGACAATTAGACCTACGTACTAAATTGGCAAAAAGGGTTGTTATGCGGAAATGAAAACATTCACATATGAGGGAGAGGGACAGACAGGCCCACTGACCTGCTCACTCGAAACTACTTGAATAGGTCCAATGTTTACCGACACATATTTGCCTCTTGAGGAAAGTTTCTGTTTCACCTGGCCCTGCTTGCAGCAAAACAGAATCAGTTCCGTCAACGGGAATAACTAGGAAATGTTTGCAATCAATTTGAATGGACAAAAGCAGCAGATTATAGAGGAAAAACTTTACTAGAAAATAAATCAATTTAAGTAATATTATTCTACTGAATAACCCCCAAGCACCTTAAATAAAATCTAAAAAAGGAGGATACACAGCCCAAAATCGATAACCATTTTAAACATAAATACCCCGAATAACTAACAAATGCTTTCCTTGACAATCTATCCTGGTAAAAAAAATGGTATATTACCTCCGGAATTGGCTGTTGGATTACGGATTCAACAGCAACAACCATAGCTTGAACAAAATCATCACCTCCAGTTCCTATAGCGGTGAACCCTCTGACTGTTGGATATGAGTTCACCTGCAAAAAGAATATCCATATACCAGTTAGGTTCAGAAAGTCTTCAGAGGTTCTTCCTAATACACAACTGTCAACTTTATCAACAATCATTATCTATCCCCTTACAAACCCGATAGCACATATTATGCTCGTGATTGAATTAAATATCAGCTAAACGCATCAGCTCATCCTTTCCAAAATATTGCTGTCTTCGTGCATAAAATACATTAGCATTGTTCTGAGAGCACTGTTGATGTTAGTTCTTCAATCGCTCTTGATTGACTTGTATAGGGGCTCAAAGCTAAACTTACTTCTCCCAAAATCGTTCTCGGTATATACAATGACATTATATACATTGCAACGTAAGTGTAAATCCTACAATGAACCTCTGAATTGATTTCTATGGCCCTGAAATACATGCGGACAAGTAACTAGAGCCATGAGCAGCTAAGTCAGTCTACCTTCTTATCCAGAGCAAGCCACTCATTAGTGGAATCATCTGTGACGGTGCCTCCAATAACCACATTTGTTGTCTGCCCTACCCTTCCTTCAGCCTTAGAAACTTCTGAACAAAAATTCAGACCAAACTTGAAATAAATAAACTTTCACCACTACCAAGTAAGATTGAGGCTTTAAAAGTGATAAAGACGCAACAATATATAAACTTGGAAGGGAAAACGCCTAATTAGACATCATCCTAAAAATACAAACCAAAATAAAACAACACACCATTATGCCCACCTGCAACTCACTAACCAAAAATACTATACATTTATCAATCTTGCTCAATCCCTCGGAAATTTTAGGCTACATTCCGTAACCAAATAAGATTAAAAGAGCAGATAGAAAACCACCAAATAGAATTGCAAATATCACGAAACCAAGGACAATACAATCAGTGCTTCTATTTTCAGCTAAAAAATTTCCTTAATTTCTACCTGAAATAGCCTTGAGAACGGCTTCTTGAGGAGGGTCTTGGTCTCCATCGTCATCTGAAGAAGGGTTTTCGTGGTTGGAGCAATTGACGTGGGGGATTCCCTTACGAATGTGGAAAGATCGAATCTTTGGAAGATAATTATGGCAGAGTCCACATCTCAAATTCTGTGGAGTCGAAATGGAAGAAGAAAAAGATGTAGCGCTTGTGCTGCTTTTTCCAGGCAAAGGACGCCATGCCTCCATTAATACCGTCCGGAATACAGCCCTGCACCCCATATTTCTTCTGCTCGATTGATTCCAATCTTTTTGGCCTTAGGTTCTTCTTTGTGAGTTTGTAGATTTTCTTGTTCCGTCTCAGTGTGTTTTTTCCCGTTTTGATTAAGTGTGGTTTCAAAGGGCTTTGTGGCAGCTGAACAGTTGGCGCAAGTTAAGATCGGGGAAATTGGATCGGTTCTCTTACTTCTTTCTTTGTGCTCAGATTTTTTGTGGCTTTGGTCAACATTATGTATGGGCCTTGTGGCGGTTCATCCCGCCCTTCTTCATAAGACATCACTACCCTTGGATATTGCCAGTATTACTTCCCGAACCAAAGTTACTGTCTAGTTTAGATTTTTCTTTTCTAATTTAATTAAATTAAAAGTGAAAATTTAAATTGGACATTAATTTTGAGACACAGAGAGTATTTGTATTTTCTATTTTTTTCCCCTCGAGAAAGTAAACTAAGTACAAGTAGTAAAATCATAATACTACTATGGATTTTAGTAGTGCCAAAATGTTCATCAATGTAAGAAATGGTAATTTGAGATGCTTAAAACATTATCTTCCATTTAGACTCATGCCGCTAATTAAAAATCACAAACAATTTATTGATTAAACAAAATGCTGACATTAAAATGCAATTTTTAGGGAGAACGAATCGAGGATAACACTCTAATTTTGGGATTAAATGTTGAAGTAACGCTGACTGACTCCAGTGATGAAATTCTAGCAGACATTTGGTAAACACGGAAAATTCTTATGGATCAAACTCAGAAGAGTTTATGCCTCGCAATAGAATGGACATTGCATATGTACAGAGTTGTTGGCAAAGGGCCAGAGCTGAACAGGCCCGTGTTCATATCTCTCTAGGCCCATAACCTGAAATTTTGTTTTTATTTTTTATTTTCTGGAATTGCATTATGATTTTCTTTTTCTTTTCTTTTGGGTGTGCATACAGCCTATATTCTGATATAGTATCAATAAGCAAGGTATAGAAAAAAAAATTTGTTCATATATAGGATTGTGATTTATATTAATTTTAATATAATTTTAAAAATTCAATATAAACTATTTTTTTAAGACAAAGAAAATAATGTGTATTGCTTGTCCGACACTCTTTCGCGATCTGAAGGTAAGACAGAGAAATTTCAATGATTTTTTTAGTTAATACTACGGGGTTGGGGATTTTAGCCTACTCGAAGCATTGTCGGACAAAATTCTTGACATTAAATTCTACTGTAACATAATGTACTTGGGTACTACTAGTATATAGCGCAATTCATTTTGCTTCTCGAAATCTGATGCCATTAGACATGGACTTCTTTTCACATGTACCAAAGCAAAGACATGGCTGATAAAAACAGTTTCAGACAAATATAACAACGATAAAGATCATGTTTCCTCTGTTTGGAATCTACTTTCACTTGATTTTTGTTAAAATTTGTAATTAATATATTTTTACTATAACATAGTTGTTTTTCGTTTTTAATAAAATTTTTAATATTTCCAACCCCCAAATTAAAAAAATACCCCACACTACAAAAAGGACGGAGGTTTTTTAATTATAGAACTTTCAGGTGTAGAAACACAAGATCAGAACTCAGAAGACAGGACGAAAATGAGGATCAGGATTCAGAAAGACAAGAGCTCAGAGTATAATCAATAAAAGCAAATGAGCTTTAATTGTATCACTTTTTGACGTATACAATCATTAAATTTTACTAGTATAACTTTGGCAATCAATTCAGTGGATATCAGATACGACGTCCTGCATTTGCAAAGCAAGTTTTTAAGTGGACGAGTCAATTATAAATTTATAACACGTTTACCTTTACCAAGTACCAACCAAATTACTTACTTGCAGTTTGTTAAAGCTGGTGGACTAAATGTGTGACAAAGACACATATATATTCTTTTTCTTTTTCTTTTTTCAAACAGACACATATATATTCTTGTGGTCAATGCACGTACACAAATATGTGAACCAAATGAAAACACTAACAAATACTAAAAAAAAAAAATGAAAATTAAATAGAGGCCATATATTAAGAAACTTTTTTCAGTTTTTATCTAATTATTTATTAAAAAATAATTCCCTTTGAAGTTTAAACTTTTTTCTCAGCAACACTGTACCAACTTTCTTTTGTTAGCATACCTGTCCTATCGAAATGTATGAAAAGTAGAAGTCACCGTGATGCAAAACTAGCATTTACTATTTTTAAAATGAATTTTCATTTTGTATATGTTTACTAGAGTGTTACCGTAGTATATTAAATGTTATGAATATGAACGCTATAGTGCAGCGTTATTCACGGGACAATCATTTTAGAATAATAAATTGTCTATGCCGATAAAAACAGTCATTAAAATATTTTGCAAATTAACGAGTTAGTATTCACATGTATGACGTGAAGGCTGAACAAGCCCATCCGAAATGCTACAAAAACTGACCTGAATTTTACTCATTTAGAGTTCACATTTATGACGTCAAATCTCACGTAAGCCCGTCTGGAAACCCGCCAGCCGCAGCCCATCCTTCAGTTTCTCACGTCTTACCCACCTCGAAACGCGCACTTAACGTTCACAATTAACACCAACCAATAATATCTCTCCACGTCATCCACTGCCACTTGTGTCCGGTCAAAGCCCTCTATTTGGTCCAACCGGTTGACAGTGTTACGCTTCTCGGATACTGCCACGTGTTCAAGGTATCTCCCGCCTCGTCAAAATCTTACCGTTAACACCAATTTTCTTTCTCTCTCATTCTCCTCTTCCCCTCATTTTCTTTCTCTCTCTACTGTAAACTCACCCTCCGCCGAACAACACGAAACAAAGAAGAAACCAATAAACAGAAAACAAAGGAGCAAAAATCGCCATTTTACTTTGCATTTTCAATTTATTGGACAGAATGGGTAAGCTGATATGTGATTCTACGACGTCGTCTCCGGTCATTCCATGGAGAGACCCAACATCAACCCCCACCGTCGATCTGCACGAGCAAACAACGCTGCTTCCGCCGCTGCCGGAGACCACCACGTCATCGAGTTGGGATGACGTCTCCGGGTTGGAGGAGCAACAGAAAAGGTACCTGAATAGGCTACAGACAAAAGGGGTTCTTTGGAAACACCCTAAAGATCCGAACCGGTCGCTGGTGTTCCGGCTGAGCCACGGCGGCGAGGTGGATTCCGACGGAAACTGCCTGTTCACGGCTACGAGAAAGGCGATGGGCGGGTATTTGTCGTCGCTGTCGGCGAAGGAATTGAGGAGGAGGACGGTGAGGAGATTCTTGGAGGATCTTGGATCTGCCAGCGATGAGTTAAAGGAGAAGACCGAAACTTTGATTAAACATTTGTACAGCCCAGATCTGAGTGCCGGCTGGGGGGTCCACGTCATTCAGGAGGTCAAGTTGTTGGCCAAGAAAGATGATAGATTGGGCCTTGATTCCTCCATAAACGAGCTACTTCAGCTTGGAATGCAAAGGTTTTTTTTCCCTTATTCCTTTTTGATATTTTTTCCATTAAATTTTGTGGTTTTCATTCCTTGGGCGTTATTTTTTTTCTCATCAAGATCTTTTTTTTTCTTTTCTATTTGATGGGTGCTTTTGTAAAATTTGACTGTTTTTGGATTGCAAGAGGATTGGAAATGTAGGGATTTGCGGAAACGAAATGAAAAGGATTTCCTTTCTTACTTGCCTGAATTATTTACAGTCAATGTACCATGCTTGTTTTCTTGTCTCCACCCCCCCCCCCCTTCTAATTTTGTGGCTTCCCGGTTGTGACCGATTGGGTTGAGAATGAAGGATTAATGTCCGCCAATAAATTTTACTTCAATAAAGTATTATTCATCCCTTGTTGAATCGTTTAGTTCATTTCTCTCTGAAGTGTCAGGTTCCACAATGAGACTTACCGTGCTACATCTTTGCTACGCGTTCGTTAATGACAATATGTAACAGTATCTGGTTGTTGGTTGGATAAATGGCTAGAATGGTTTGTTGTAGTTATTGGCATGATGAATAGACTAGCCAAATGACTAATGATATACTTGCCTGTCAAGCTTGCTTGTTGAACTGGTTTATAAAGTGTTTGCTATTTGTAAGGTGAAGGTGTGACTAATACGAATGTATTTTGGTTCAGGATTTTTATGTTGCGTTTCTTTGAATTGTTGCAGAGAATCTGCCGCCGAGTCAATCTACAAGGAGAGATGTGTAGCTGTAGATGACGGTCCAAGCTGGGCCAAGTACATGTCGATCTCTGGTTCCCCAGATGACGAACATGACATCATCACTTTGCAGTACACTGAGGAGGGGTTGTTAACTGTAGATGAGAATAGGGATGGCCGTGCTGCTGCCTTTGGAGATGATATTGCTATTGAGTGTCTTGCAACAGAGTTTAAAAGAGAAATTTTTGTGGTAAGTTGGTTTTTTAAGTGTGATAAATTGCCTTTTTATGTCTTCTCTCTGCGGCTGTACTATCTTTTAGGATTGATTCTCCCTGATTGCTTGAGCATTTAATCCAGCTTAGTTTCAAACCTGGTCTGGGCCATTTTATGTAAGGAATGTTTTTGCTTAGGTGTTATATTGTATTACTCGTTAAGGTGTTACCCCTCTTACTGTGTTTTTATCCTTCCTATCCTCCTATATCCATTGAAATTGTTGGAATGAACATATGTGCCATTGCCTTCTGTCAGCCCCAGTACTTATTTACTTTGGTGATTGGGTAAGATTGATAAAGGAAGTTTTGATGAAACAAACGGATATTATAATGGAGTTAAGGAATGGAATCATCTAAGACTCGGGAACAAAATGATATATTGCTACAGTGCTTAAATAAATAACATATTCACTAAAGGAGCAACTTATTGGTGCGTATCTAGCCATCCTAATGGAACTGCTGGTCGGCATTCAGAACTGATTTATCTAATCCATTTGTGTAGTATTGTAATATGTTGATTGGCTAAGTTGAGATATTGTCTCGTTTTACAGGTTCAAGCACATGGATCAGATGCTATGGTTGATGAGGATAATTGTGTTTTCTTCTTGCCACATGTACCAAGCAGCGAAATATGTGAACCTCCATTGTTTCTTTTCATGAAAGGAACAGGTATGATGCCATGATATTTAACGGATCTGTTAACTGGGAATTTTGAATCCCAACAATCGCAATAGTCTAACTAACACTATTTGTTGGTGGAATACTGGTTTTATCTGATCAGCTTTCTTAATCTTAAATCCTTGGTGTTGTTACAGGATGGTGCAGTGCTGGTGCTGACCATTATGAGCCACTTATTGCTCATGCGTCCTCATTTGTCTCCCAGGAGAAGGTTGCTCTGGTTCTTTAGGCTGTTAGTTTTCTCATAAGAAGTTTTGTTTCTCAAGAGAATGAGTTTAGAATTAGAGATTTTGAAGAATGTTTCCTGATGAAGGCAGCTGAAGGCTGTTTTTCTTCTTGCTGTTGTTGTTTTTGTTGTTGTAATTGATTCTTTACTATGGAACAACGATAGGGATAGGGATGATGACGAATGTCCATTGCACGGCTTGAATAGCACGTTGACAGTTTAATAGTCTCAGAGATTGGAGGGATTCAATTTTTTCATTCTTGCAACAACTTTCAGAAGTCGGAAATTCTCAGAGTGGAGCCCGACAAAAGCAGATGTTGTTGCATCTATATCTCCATTGGAGAAACTTTTGGTAGTCATTCGGCATTTTTTGTTGTTATTATGAGATGTTGCAGGTGAGTCTTTTGAGAGTAGCAGTAGTTGATAGTAGTAGGATTTGGGACGAGGAGGTGCCCTTGTGTTTTCCTAGGCGGAAAACTCAAAATTGTACCTTTATGTTGTATTGGATGCACCAATTATTTTTTGTACCTTGAATTGAAGAAATGAATTTGTAGGAGCATTCATTACGAAGACCATTATAACTTCTGTCTTTGATTAAGTCATTGCTCATTGCTCAGCATTTCTAATTCCTAAAAGAACATGTAAATGGGACAAAAGATTACCGGGAGAATATATGCGGAAGCAAAGCTGCTGATAAATTGTGAAGATGAGCAGAGGGGTGCAGATTGCAGAATGGAATTTGGCTTCTTGGTCTTGGATATTCTCTCAGTATAAGAGTAATCTGCTCAAAAGGTCTTTTACATTTGGTAAAAAACTAATTTGATCTTTTACATTAAAGACTCACTCATTTGGCCTATTACATTTGTCTTTTCAACTAATTTGGTCATTTTTATTTTTTTGGCCCTTTAGTCATTTTTATTTTTTTTGGCCCTTTACATTTGTGGGTTCTTGAACTGACCAATTCTTGGTCAACTCAACAGGGACATTTTCGGTAACTTATAAATATCAGATGTTCAAAAAATGTTTAAAATAAAAGATGTATTAAATAATACTAAATATATTATATTAATTTATAATTTATTATTAAATAAGGAAAAAATTCAAAAAATCAAAATTCAAATATAATATTATTAAAAAATTAAAAAATTAAAAAATAAAAAATCCAAAATCTAATTTATTTTTTTTACCTGTCGGCCCCAATCAAAATTTTTTACACTTGAATTATTCTGTTTTTATCATGTGGGGCCTGAATAAGGTAAATTAAAAAATTAGATGGGCCCCACATGATAAATCATATTTTAAATCAAATCTCAAACTCAAACCAAAAACTAAATCAAAAATTTAAATAAACCATTGTCCATATAAGCCCTCTATTTTTATCATGTGGGGACCACATCTAATTTTTTTCTTTATCCTTATTCAGTATTTTGTTTCATTATAACATAATAACTCACAAAAAAGAAATAATGAATAAGGGAAAAGAAAAAAAATTAGATGTGGACCTCACTTGATAAAAACAGAATAATTCAAAGGTAAAAAATTTCGATTGGACCGACGGGTTAAAAAATATAAATCAAATTTTGGATTTTTTTAATAATATTATATTTGAAATTTTTAATTTTTTTCTTATTTAATAAGAAATTATAAATTAATATAATATGTTTAGTATTATAAATTAATTTTTTCTTAATATTTTTACACCACCATCGGGTCACCTTCACCGTCGTTGCCGTCGCCGGACCACCTACCAACGTCGCCGGTCGACGGCCGGATTCCGGCCAAATTCCAGCCAACTTGCAAAAATCCGGCCAGAATCTGGCCGGCCAGTCGGCGGTGGTCCAACGGCGGCAGTGGACAGTTCGGCAGCGGCGGAGGTGGTCCGGTGGTGGTGGATAAAAATTAGGTAAAAATAAAGTTTCGATTGAGGCTAAGGAGGATTTTGATTTTTTTTATTTTTTAATTTTTTGATTTTTTAATAATATTATTTTTGAATTTTGAATTTCTAAATTTTTTTAATAATAAGTTATAAATTAATATAATATGTTTAGTATTATTTTAGTACATTTTTTATTTTTAACATATTTTAAAAATCTGAGATTTATAAATTACCGAAAATGTCCCTGTTGAGTTAACCAAGAATTGGTCAGCCCAAGAACCCACAAATGTAAAGAGCTAAAAAAAAGAAGAAGATCAAATTAGTTGAAAAGACAAATGTAATAGATCAAATGAGTGAGTTTTTAATGTAAAGGACTAAATTAAGTTTTCTACAAAATGTAAAGGATTTTTTGAACAGATTATTCCGTGTATAATAAACATTTGGATGAATTTTTGTCTAAAGAAAACCAGTATAATAAGAAAGATTCTCTAAGTTGGGAAGCTCACATGTTGCCAGGAAAGCATACATCTGGCAGAATCTCATAGACTATTCTTCAAAAGAAATCACAATCACTTAATCGGAAATTTGGAATATGCTTTTGTTGGAGGACTACAATTGACATTTGGACTTGTTTTATTAAGATTCTGAGAACTGAAAACTGAAAAGGGTTGCAGTCCAATTTCAATGAAGCTTCAATGCTTATATTACCACTAATTCTGGTTTCTTCTGGACCAATGCTGTGCCTTTTTAGCTCATTCCTAAGCTTAATAAATTCTCTTCCTATGGATCTGTGGGCTGAGTGGAGAAGCTTGAGTGCTAGTATGAAGTAACTACGGCCACTTTTTTCCGCCAACAGATTGTTTGAATCTTTTAAAAAGTTCTTTATGAGGGTTTGGCCCAAGCATAGTTTTTAGGAGCAGCTTAGTGAAACTTAATTGTCTTGAGGTTCATTTAATACGTACTCCTTCCGGTTAATTTGTCTTATATTTATCCTAAACTTCACATAAAATATCTTTTTAATTAAAATAAAAATCTTAAAAATATTTTATAATATTTTTTTTTGAGTTGAAGAGAATTTTATTAATTTTGCTGGGAAACCGCCCAACACACGGAAAGAGTTATAAAATCAGGAATGATGTCCCAATATTTCTCAAAATCCTTTTTGAATTTTGCAAATTGTGCTAAAGTATGAGAAAATACATTAAATCTATGATTGATCCATTTGCAGCTGAATTTTATAAGGTCTTGGAACCGAGTTTTGGTGTCCGCAATAACAAGTCCTCAATCTGATAAGTCATTCTCCGCAATAACATTTTATAATAATTAGGAAAACAAGACGAATGTAAAAAAATATTTTTAAGGTTTTTTTTTCAAATTAAAAATATATCTTATGTGAAATCTAAGACAAAATTAAAATAACTTATAATAAGTATCGGAGAGAGTGTTTTGTTGGAGGCAGGAACCAGAAGTTGGAAGCTGGAATGAATGTGGCCCGAACCTAAACGTATCATTTTAGAATAACATCCTTGTTTTCGTTTGCTAAAGGTTGCAAACTAATTAGGAGTTTTTTTTTTTGAAATGGAAATAATTAGGAGTTCAACATTTTCTTCAACTTGGATACTGCTCTTTTTTTCTTATTTTCCTTCTCCTTCCTATATTCCAAAAAACTAGTGCATTTTATTGAATTTAAGTAATACTCCCTCCGGTCTTTATTATAAGGTATTTTAATTTGGTCATAGGTTAAGCTAGAATGTCTTTTTAATTGAAAAAAAATCTTAAAAATATATTTTCGCATTCGTTGTGTTATCTTAAGTATTATGAAATATTTTTAAAGTTTTTATTCCAATTAAAAAGACATCTTAGGTGAAATTTAGGACGAAATCAAAATGTCTTATAATAAGGACCGGAAGGAATATAATAAAGCAACTTTTTTTTTCTGAACTAGAAAGAGTATTATGTATCACATTAAATGCATTAATAGTAATATCATTACAAATGTATCATACATGCATCAATGATACTGTATTCAGATTGATTTATTGTTTAGTACTTAAGGGTAATATATGAGTAGGATCTTTGAATTTCATATCCAATGTCTGAAGTAATTAGTCCGAATAACTAAGATCCGAAATAAGATGGTCGTTTCAAAAAGTAACTATCCTTGCAAGTGAAGAATTTCTGGAGTTACTGAAACGTGTTTACGATTGTCAATGTGAGAAGACTGAAAATTGGTTAACCGGCCGTCAGGTTGAACTTGGAGCGGAAAAATGTTAGTGATATGTTGTGAGTTAAGACATGTCCCTCGAAGAAGGTAAGAAAAAGATTGGAATTATAGTTCATCTTAGTTACATATTAGTTTGTTTGTTTATGCATGACATACATTTCATCGTAGTTGACTAGCTGTCTTCTTGAAGATGCACCTTAATATGATTATTATCTTTTCAAAAAAAAAAAAAGTATCCTTTCAAGTTGATTTTTATTTCATATAATATATAATTTTCTGAATTCTATTTTAAGGTATAAAATTAATTTTTTTTAATGCCCAAATAGTGACAACCATCTTGTGTACACTAAGTACATGCACATAAAAAGATTGGCTTTAAGCCACCTTTTATAGGAGTGGTCTTCTTTTTGCTACCCAATGAACTGAAGCTTCCTTTTGTTGGTGTGCCTAATAGTCACGCAGTTAGTATCATAGTACTTACGAGTATGGATAATGCTTGTAACAATCGACCACATACATACTGAACTTCATGAAATTGTGTAAATTGGCGAATTACATACCAATATGATGGATATAATCCATAAAATACTCGAATCACTTTATCCTAAAATAATATTAGTTCAATTTAAATTTTAATTTTTGATTAATTAGTTATCTTGAGACAGAGAAAATTCGAATTGAATTGACATGCAAAATCTTACTCCCTCCATTCTAATTCAATAGTTCCATTTTGAGATACACGGAGATTAAGAAAAAGTGAGTAATGTAGTTTATGTGGTTAATTTTAAATGAAATTCCTACTACACCCCTATTAATGACTAGTAAGTTATTGGTTGATATGAGAGAGTAATTGTTAAAATTAATAAATGTTCTTGATTTCAGTAAAAGTAGAAAGGGTATATTAGAGAGTTTATAATAAAACTTAATTAATTGTCTGAAATGGGACTAAGTTTTGAAATATCCCAAAAAGGGAAGTGAGCATATTGAATTAGAATGGAGAGAGTAATATGGAAATCAAAGGTTATATAAGAGAGTATAGTAGCTATTGACTCCGCGATTTAATTGCTTCACGAATGACGCATATTGTTGGCTTCCGAACAGAATTAGGGTTATTACATTGATACAATTGCACTCTCCTCCACGCATATTGACTGATTCAATAATCTCACAGTAATCAGAAATTAAGGTACAAAATCCTGCGCCGCCCGAACAATGTAGGAAAAAAAAAAACGAAAAACGAAAAGCAAATGTATATGTAATTACCCATGAGGAAACTAAAGCAAATTCTGGAGAAAAATTAGGTAGCCCACCATGAAATCTTTTTTTCAACAAAGTATCCAACTTTAAGATCTCAATTATTATTATTTGATGAAGAGCATATATGACTTAAAAATCCACACAAACTTTTTGAACCTATTGCTGCCACAGAGCCACTGCATGGAGGAAAACAGTACAAGTCTCCTTCTCGTTGCTATATTACTGTTCATTTCTTTAGTCCGTTTTGTCAAACTAAAACGTTAGAGTGAAATATTAATTGATAATATTTTATTTTTTTCCAAATTATTGTCCAGTCTAAATTTTTATTTTTAGTTCAAATTGTAATAAATCTAAAATTTTAAACTGGACAATAATTTTTAAGACGGAGAGAGTAATTTTTTGAGCATGTGAAACATAAAAAGAAAATCCCACTATTGTAGACAGTATATCTTTTGTTCCTTTACACCAAAGCAACCGAGTACCCCCCATAAACCCCAACACCACCCCTCCTTTCATCCCCAAAACTACTATATAAACGCCTGTCTTCCACTTGCTCTATGTTCCTTCAATTCTTTGGGGAATCACTGAAGCTTAGATAAATATTCATTCACATATATATTTCTCTAAGCTTTCTTCTCACCCCAGAAAAATTACTGAAAAAAAAAATGGATTCAATCCAAGCACAAAAGCTCGAAGCCATGAAAAGCTACAAGAGGGCTCAGTTAGTGTACAACCTAATTGTCTACTCTCTCACAGCCTTCCTTTCTTGTTTGTTTTATTTGTATCTGTTCTGGTTCCCTTCTCTCTCCATGAACCAACTTCTATCCGTTTTGCTTCCCAATATATATGCCCTAATTAGCCCTAATAAGCTGTTGTTTGTATTGGGAAACCTCATAGTCCTCTTCCTCATAGTATCATCCGGTTCACACCATTCGTCGTCGGCTTCCTCGCCGGCTGACGAAATCTACAATGAGTATGTACGAAGAAGCCGAAGTATGAATAAGGAGATGCACAAGAAAAATAATGGGATTATTCATAGGAAAAAGAGTGTTAAAATGGATCATTATCATGCCGCTGCCCGTGTGGATTCGATTAAGAAGGTAACATTGGAGAAAAAAGAGAAGGAAATAGAAGTTGATAACAAACATATTGGTGGGGAGGTTGAAGTTGTTCATGATCATATTGTGGGAGAAAATCATGATCATGATGAAGTTGTGACTAATGAGGTGGAAAAGCTAATTAGCGGTAGAGTACCAGAAGAGATCAGGCAAGATGCACTAGCTGTTGTAGTTAGGGATGAAGATCAGTTGAAGAGAAGAGTTGAAGATTTCATTGCTAGGGTTAACAGACAAAGGATGCTTGAAGAAAGCCGAAGTCGCTGATTGATATCCCTAGCCAAAAAAATGGAATTCTAAAAAAAAAAAAAAAAGGAAACATAAATTGATGAAGAAATAAACAAGAAATTAATTTCCTACATGTACGTACTGACGAGAGTTAGTTATGTGGATAATCAAATTAATGAAAGGATGACTGTACATAAATATGAATCTAATAATATTGCTTATTTTAACACGATATCTGTGATTTTTAGAGCAATCTCAAAATATCAGTGGAAAGAGGAAACTTCCTTAGGGAGCATGCACTAAAAAATTGAAAGGTCATGATCTAAGACTGGAACTTGCACGAAGTTGAATCGGATTTTGAAGTGTTAAAGGATATGATGAATTCGGAAATGGTATATTATGCAGCTTATGCTCGATCACGCTTATGAAGAAACCAAAATATACTTCGTGGATCCAAAATGCAAACAATGTGTAGTGTTGTTAGCTGGATTATCTTGTGTTTCACTTCGATGAGCTAAAAAGCTTTTTTGGGAATTATAAGTCGATGAAATTAAGAAAAAAAGAGTATTTCTTCCTTGCTTCCGGACTAATTCATGGAACCCATGTTGTTCTTGGCATCACCTCAAACTCGAAACATCTGATATAGTTTTGGGACAAGTAAATATTTAATGCACATATTGTTAACCTCAAAAACCCGATATAATTTTGGGAGCTGATTTTAGAGGGAGTGAATGAGCATTCTACAAGAAGATCGCAGTTGTCTCATAACGTAATTGGGATGGCTTCTTTCTTAGTAAATCATACCCCCTCCGTCTCACAAAAATAGTTCAGTTTAACAAAAAATCTTATTCCAAAAAAAAGTTCACTTTCAAAAAAATCAAAATTAAAAGACATAAAATGACTTAACTATCCTTTTTGATAAGGGGCTACGGGAAAACGAAGGGAGAGGGCATCGGCGGAGGAACTTTGTTCTTCCAGATCTACTAAGGAGAGGCGGCAATTTCATCGGAAACCATGTGAAGATTCATTTCCAGATCCACTAAGTGCTTGTCCAAAGGATGTTGTGGGTGGCACGATTGGCACACCATATTTATCCATTTCTTCCAGTCGTAAGCTTCGTCGGAAAAAGAACTTAGATCCATCATATATTTAAGGATAACCGGTAAAATCCTCACCGGTCTGCCTTGGCTTGACTCCTTTTCGGTATTATGAGATGGGTAGAGGATTCAATTGAACTAACCTTCAATTCTAACGATAACGGTGCCAATCGACGATGAATTCTTAAGTCAAGAATTTTCCGGTGACGGTTCTTTTTTTAAAAAAAATTATATTTAGTATGGCCTAAATTAATTTTCGATCAAGGGTAAAAATGGAAGTTAGAAGGAAAAAATGAGTTGTACTTTTGTATGGTTGATTAAATTAAAAAAATTGTACATTTTGAAACTGGACTATTTTTGTGGGACGGAAGGAGTAATAAATTTTTTTTTGGTAAAAGAAAAACTAAACTGGAATTTGCAGGAAACTTCCTATAAAGGGAAATAAAGAAGGCTTTTTGGTTTAAAATTACTATCCAAAAAACAAGGTGGGAACTGGGAAGTGTGCTTTTAGGTATGTGGGTGCTTTTGCTTGCCAGTGCTAATTAGTGCTCAGCTCAATCACTTCAAATTTGTGTTCGAACTTTTTTGAAAAAAGGTCGGAAAAGGAAGAAATATTTTTGGACAAACTAATTTTAAGCATGTCTTTTTTTGACATTGTAAAGGTAAGGTTTCAACCAATGGCTGATGATCGTTCCATTTCCTTAGCTCATAAGGGAAATTAGTAGTAGTCCAACACACATTCCCACTTAAGCTCCTATAGGTGCGCATATACTACGTACGTACGAGGTAAAAGTGAAATACATCTAAAGATCAAATAAATGTTTGAATATTTCTAGTTGGGATATATATTGTTGGAAAATGTTCGTTGTTTTAATATAAGGGGGGCGAAAAAAAGAACACCCAACATCAAATACACTCTAGAAAGGTTTTCTTTTGAGAATTAATCATGTGTCCTCCATGAAAGCAGTTGCCTGTTTAAAATGATTTCAATGATGATGTGATCGATTTTTTCTCACTAAAAAACGTAAATGATTTAAGTTTTACTTTTTTTTAATGTACCTAATTAAAAGGGAACACAAAGTTTGAATAGCAAAATTTATTTCAAAAAAGGGGTTATAGTGGTGTAATTTCTCTTTTATATTTACACAATTTAATTATCTAAGTCATAAGTGAATACTGCTATTACGAGAGCAATGATATAAACACTAACACGTTATTTTTGCATTAAAATATCAAATAATCAATTTTATTTCTTATAAAAGTGAAATGACATAAAGGATTTGAAATTTATAAATGGTATATACATGTAATTAGTCTAATTAACTGAATGTTTATACTGTTTTTTATATTATTACTCCATTTATCTCGAAATGATTATATGATAGCGTTGAATTTTCACTCTTCTCATTTTGTTATATTTGTGTGGGTCTTTGCTTGGGAAGCTTAATGGGGTCATGTTTACAAACAAACTGAGATCGGCCCATGGAGAGAACGTTTTGTGAGCATGGGATGGATACTAGTTGGGCTTAGTTTGTTGTTCGTAAACTTTCTTCTATCTGGTACCTATTAGTTATGGACTTTGGAGTTTTGAGTCTTGTCAAATACCCCAATGTCACCTTCCCAAATCTCACCTACCTGGGCGGACGTTATATAGAGACTAGAGAGATATTCCAAGATGCCAAATTTGGCATATCTGGTAAGAGTATGACCGCCAATCCATGATGCTTTGTCTAATTGTCCCTTTCTTAAGTTCCTTCCAAAAATTCCAACATTATTCTACTCTTACAAAAAAAAAAAAAAACAAATAAAAGGTGTTTACAGTCTACAACAGTAATGAATTCCGCAAAGCTAAAATTTTATGTAACTTGATGGGTGAACCCATTTTCCATATTCTTTGAGCCAATTATAATCTTTAAGATGTTACTATGTCACTTTGATAAGAAAAACGAGCTTCAGTCTCATTTTATAGTTGTAACTTGTAACTGCGTGCGTCACGAGTAGCTATTTGTTTAAAGCCTCCCACAACCCTAAAAACTGTCCCCAGATCCAACCTCCAATCACAACCAGAACACACCCTCAATTTGTCAATTTGTAGTTTTTGCTTTGTCACCAGTATTTCAATGTTTTATCATTAGCACTAAGTACTAGCACACCCGAATTTCGATTTGTTTTGCCATTCAAAGTTTGCAAACTCTATTAGTGCAAATTTATTAAGATTGTATATTAATTATCCAGTTTCAGATTTCACTTTTAATACAATTTGAACTAAAAATAAAAACTCAAACTAGACAATAATTATGAGACGGGGATAGTATTAGTCTTCGCATTATTGTACTCCTTCTTACTAGTGCTTAAAACCCATGATCCAATTCTTCAACCATTTTTATTTCACTCCTTTCACTTATTTAATTAATATACAATCTTAATAAATTCAATACAGGTTACAAGTTACACAATATATATGTATGTAAAAAATTCAATGTATGCCCTTTCCCCCAATCGCCATAAACTGCAAGAAGGAATCAGAAATCACTAATCCAATCAATTACTGTCATAACATTTTTAGTGTCATCATGGGTTTTTTTTTTTTTTTTTTGTTAAAATTCAATCAGTTATTATTATTATTTTCTTGAGGAAGTCATTGGGTTGAATACTAGCATAACAATTGTAGAAGTAATTAAAAAAGATATAAAGCATAGGGGCGAGCCTGGCTGCTCTCACCCTGTTCTTGATTGCTTAAAATATACAAATAATAAATGACAGTATTATTGATTCAGTATAAAAAAAATTAAGATGAGTCAAGCTTAAACACAACAGAGAAAAGACGAGCAGCCTTTCGGAGATCTCAAGAGACTAATCCCTCGACGCTTCCGAACGTTATTCTTCCTTAATCTCATCATCATCATCATATTCAAACCTACAAACTGACCCCTTGTTTTTGTAGTTCTTTCTCGCTGTAAAGTGTGAAACCCCCATTACATTTGTTCTTTTGGGTTATTGAATCCATTTTCTATTCAAAGGCGGAGGCGTTAATCACAGAGCGCCATAGCATTCACTAAAGTCAAACCAAAACACACAAAACAACAACAATGGCTGCTGCGCTTTCTTCTTCATCGCCTCACTGTTCATCTTCATCTTCTTCATCAATTGGGTTTTCCCATCACAGAGTTAGAGGCGGCGGAGGAAAAGGGGTGATTGTTTCTGCCGTATTTCCTAAAAAATTTGCTGCTGGAAGATGTCCCTTGCAATCAAAGCCGAATCTTCATTCCTCCAATTCCCAAGTCCTCTGCATGCAAGATGGTTTGTTCCCTCTTCCCTTTTCTCAATGCAGTTTTTCCATTAACATTCATCTGCTGCAAGAATTTGGCATCATGTATAAAGTATATATTTTCGTTCATCACTGTAAATTCGCCCGTGTACTAGTGTGTTTCTTTTCCCCCCAGTTTTTTTTGGCTCGATGTTGAGATTACCTGTATTCTTAGATTGGGAGTTTTCGTATGATTTTGATTTTGATTTTTTTGGGGAAAAAAAGGGTCAAGGAGGTGCTTGAAAGATTGGATTTTTAGCTGCTTCTCTGAAGTTTGTTTTTTCCTTAAAGGTTGTTGCTTTATCAATCACTATACTTAAGAGTTCTGCATGCTGGCTTTTGTTTCATTGGTTTAATCTTGTTTAATGCCTCGTTTTTTTACAGGTGCTGCCGCAGCTACTATAGCACCAGTTGAAAAGGATACTCCTTTGAAGAAGAAGCAGCTCAATGAGGGGTTGTTGTCTGTTCCATCCCCAGAGGACCGCATATCCCTGACTCCTACTGATGGAAATAAAGGTGAATCCACTGTCAGTATTACTGTAGTAGGTGCCTCAGGAGACTTAGCCAAGAAGAAGATTTTCCCTGCTCTCTTTGCACTTTTTTATGAGGGTTATCTTCCAGAGGTATGCATTTTATCTGATTTCTCATTGGTTCAAAAGATAATGTGCTCGATTGTTCATTCAATTTGATACAGTTCAGTTTCTAGATGGTTTATTAAAATGTTTCAATTGCCTTTTTTTTTTCCATTTTGTTTCTGGTGTAGCATTTCACCATCTTTGGGTATGCTCGGAGTAAGATGACTGATGCTGAACTTCGACTTATGGTTAGCAAGACTCTTACTTGCAGGATTGACCAGAGGTGATCTATGCCCTCTTTCCATTTATTATGTTGTGCCTACTTCTTATTTTTCCATTTTCTTTCGTGGATAATGTAGTTGTTATTCGCCGTGTTTGGTTGTGTAGATGTCTTTTTTTGGTTGCCTTACAATGTATCTCACTCTTACAGGGAAAACTGTGGTGCGAAGATGGAGCAGTTCTTAGAAAGGTGTTTTTACCATAGTGGTCAATATGATTCCCAAGATCACTTTAGTGACCTTGATAAGAAACTGAAGGAACATGAGGTAATTAGTTTGCATCTTGGACTTAATTTAAAATTTCGTTAGTGCAACTTTTTGCAAGCTCTTTCCTTTTGCAAACACTTGTCTCGAGAAGAGTTGAAACAGTTAATTATGCCAAATTGAATATGCATGAGGTGTGAGCTATTTTAGAACCAGCTGGATGATGTATAATTTATTTAAATAATCTTGTTGAAGTATCTTGCGTGCATTCATCAAATTTATTGATGACTACAATTACGCAGTTGAATACAGCTTGCATTGCCGTGTTTTGGTATTGAATTGGTAATCATTAGAATGTCATCTTTATCACCGTAAAAAGTTACATGAGATGTCCATGTGCTATGTAGTTCAGGCCTGATTGGTTGTCTGATTCTTTGACAATTTAGTTTTAAGAAACTTTTCCCATTCTGTAAATGCCATTGATTCTTTCTTGTCAATAACTACCAATGAAGATTTTCTTGATGGAAATGCATAGAATTAGTTGCAATTACATGGTGGACTTTCTGCCGTATTCCCTGTGCTCTCTCTCTCTCTCTCTCTTATTCATTATTTTTACCGCTCAGAACTTGGCTGAGAATCCTGCCCTCCTGTTGTCATTTATTCAATTTTTTACAATGCTTATCAGTTTGCAGTGTTTTGAAGTATCAGAACAAAGTCTATACTTCATTCTCATTTCTGACAGTTTATGATTTTTTGTAGGCTGGGAGGGTATCTAATCGACTTTTCTACTTATCAATACCACCAAATATCTTTATAGATGCTGTAAAATGTGCAAGCCTCTCTGCATCTGCTGCAAATGGCTGGACAAGGGTCATAGTTGAGAAACCCTTTGGCCGAGATTCTGAATCTTCTGCGGCTTTAACAAGAGCTTTGAAAAATTATCTGGAAGAGGATCAGATTTTCAGGTGATTTTTACATTTGATGTTATTGTAATATTTGTGAGAACCACAAATAATATGTTTCCTTGAATTGATAGTTTCTTACATTTTTGGTGATTCCTCATGATAAACAGAATTGATCATTATCTTGGAAAGGAGCTCGTGGAGAATCTATCTGTCCTTCGCTTTTCAAATCTCATTTTTGAACCGTTGTGGTCTAGGCAATATATAAGAAACGTTCAACTGATATTCTCTGAAGATTTTGGTACTGAAGGACGCGGCGGGTAAATATCCTTTCCTAATGACGCCTTAGGCTCATTTAAGGTCAAATCGGTTTTTTTTTTTTTTTTGAAAAGGAAGTTAAAATCGTGACTTTCTGGTCCATTATTGTTGTTCTAGGTATTTCGACAATTATGGAATCATAAGGGACATCATGCAGAACCATCTGCTTCAAATACTCGCGCTCTTTGCCATGGAAACCCCCGTCAGTTGTGATGCGGAAGATATTAGAAATGAAAAGGTGTTTACCATTCTTTTACCCTAATGCGTGTTATTTGTTGGATATACATTTGGCATTAGTTTGTCACTCATGGGATCTCATTTTTGGTTCATTACAGGTTAAAGTCTTGCGTTCCATGAGGCCTTTGAAGCTTGATGACGTGGTGATAGGACAATATAAAAGTCACACTAGAGGAGGGGTTAATTACCCCGGATATACCGATGACAAGACTGTACCCAAAGACAGCCGGACCCCTACATTTGCTGCAGCTGCTCTTTTCATTGACAATTCTAGATGGGACGGGGTGCCTTTTCTGATGAAAGCTGGGAAAGCTCTGCATAATAGGAGGTTAGTGTCTTTCTGAAATGCATACTGATGGCCAACTTCCTGTACTTTCAACAAGGGTCCTGATTTTTGGGGCTTGTATTTGTTTTCTTTGCAGGGCTGAGATAAGAGTGCAGTTTAGGCATGTGCCCGGTAACTTGTATAACAAAAACTTTGGTACTGATCTTGATCAGGCCACAAATGAGCTCGTCATTAGGGTTCAGCCAGATGAAGCGATTTATCTGAAGATTAATAACAAAGTCCCAGGTTTAGGAATGAGACTGGACCGCAGCAATCTTAATCTTCTCTATGCAGCGAGGTATAATTTCATTGTTACGGTCTTGTTTGTCCAGGATTAGAAAGCAAGGGACTCGTTTCTGAACCGCTATTATATATGCAGGTATGCAAAGGAGATTCCTGATGCATATGAGAGACTTCTTCTGGACGCTATAGAAGGAGAAAGAAGGCTATTCATACGAAGTGATGAACTGGACGCTGCGTGGTCCCTGTTCACACCAGTTTTGAAAGAAATCGAGGAGAATAAAATCATTCCTGAGTATTATCCATATGGAAGCCGTGGTCCCGTTGGTGCTCATTACCTTGCTGCTAGGTACAATGTACGGTGGGGTGATCTAGGACTTGATGACCAATAAAGTTGGACTGGATAAGCGGGCGTTATTTCTTGATGAGAGATTCTCTGGTAAAAATTCTGTGTGCCACTTTATGTTCCTACTGCCCAAAGTTATGTCAGTTTTGATACTACTTGCAAATAGCAGATGTGAATCAATATCTGCAAGTGTTATTAAAAATGACATTGTAGTGGTGGTGTGGTTCAGAAATGGCACATGACAACCCGCAAGAGAATCTTGTCTATTCTGCACCTTGTTAGTAGCATTCTTTCTTGGTGGAAGCTCTACTAATATATACACACAAAGGTAGTCAGATAAAGAAGAGGGTTGGGGGCTCAATTGTTGTATTTTCAGGCAGTTTGTTTACATGAGTATGCCTTGATCTTGTGTCCTTTTTCCTTGTATTTTGTAAGCTGTAGAAGCAAGCAACTAGAAAAATCATTCATCTTCACAAACTAGGCTTGAGGCTGAATTCTGAGTTGTAAGTTTTATTAGTTTCCCAACCTTCCCATATGTTAAAGAGGCTTGGGCCCCCGATACAATAAGGGGAGTTAAAGTTTAAAGGAAACTTTTGGGCCTTATTTCATTTCGTCTGTTAGAATTAAACGAGCTAACTAGATTTTGATGGAACTTGGGTTAATTATAAGTATCTAATTATTTAAATATAAAAAAACGAAATAAATAATATAATAATGTAATAATAACTCCAAACTGCCTCCAAGTAACTGACCCAACCGTAACCATGAAAAAGGGGTCGTTTGATTGACACTGTTTGATAGCACAATCTTGTAACAATCTAATTGAATGAGAACTTAACTAATTAAGAACTTAAATTTTAAATGTGTTTGATAACTCAAATTAGGATATCTTAATAAATTAAGTGCGTCTGAAATACTAGTACAAATGTGTGTCTTAAAATAAGTGATACGCCTATCACTTATATCTGAGTTGAATTCTTGAAACTATAGTTTTCCCTATTTATTTACTTTTATGTTTATACTTTTGATGTTTTATCTCGAAACATTTTTTTTAATCTTGATGTTTAGTTATAAATTAAAATTTATACAAATTATTTTTTATTTACTAAATATTTATTTTTTAATAAAAATAATTAAAATACGTCAAAATTCCATGATAATTATATATTTACCATAAAGATATGATTCTTTTTTCTTGATAATGATAAAGACATGATATTATTATTAACTAAAAAAATAATTTCAGAATAAAAGTTATATATTTTTATTGCATGGTTTTATGATAATACAATTATTTTTATTATCATATTTTCACGTACATCAAATTTTTTTGGATAAAATTAATAAAGTCAAGATATTTTAAATTTCAGTGTTCAGAGTTCAGATTTCCGACATTTTATTCAATCTTCAGATTTTGACTTTCATCAAACAAGACAAACTTAAGCAGTTCAGTACTTATGATTCAGTACTCAGATTTTAGACTTCAAACCCAAATTAAGTTTTATCAAACGGCCTAAGTTCTAACTTCTAAGATAGATTGGTGTTTTCTTTCACTTTGACACTTCAAAGAATCGGTCAGCGAGCTTAAAATTTGGGTATTGACTTTTCACAAAATTTAATAAACCTGTCAATTGTCATATAATTTTCTTTCCCCCTTCTTTGGTACAAAGAAAAAGGCAACTAACTACTCTATACATGGGTGGATAATACTATCTCATTACGTCGGGTTCCAATTACGATTCTATTTCCAATGGTGAAAAATACATTCTCTGAAAATTGTTAGGCCTCGAGATGTTAAAATATCAAAAGAATCCGTCACAGAATTTGACTCACTACGGATATGTCTCAGTTCCACATTTCAGTATTTCACAGCTAGCCCAGAAGCTCCTTAATTGCACGGACAAAGCGCCTTGTACTCCCATGGATATCATCTTGGAATAAACCCGGAAAAACAACACTCTTCTATCCGATGAATTTTTATAGCTCTACTAGTAAGACTCCATCAAGTCGCCAACCGATGAGTCCGACAAGTTTAAAAATATTCAGAAATCGGAATCGGCATGATCATTTGCTCCCCTCCCCCAAAAAAAAAAAAAAAAAGAGGAAGAAGAAGATGGAAATAGTCAATTCTTTCATGTACTCCCTCCGTCCTATAATTATTATCCAATTTGAATTTTCATTTTTAGTTCAAATTATACTAAAAGTGAAATCTCAAATTGGATAATAATTTTGGGACAGAGGAGTATTTATCAGCGTTGCCTTCAATTCTCAAACTCATAGCTAAAGTCTTAAACAACATAAAATATAACATCCATGACGCTTTGAACTTATAAAGCCGTGATAATAACAGTCTTCCCCCTTACCATTTCATTTGACCTAATTTCTTTACGAACAAATTTGCACATATTTTAATGCTATTGGGGGAAAACAAAACTGAACAGTAAGTTTATTGTTTGTCAATGAAATTCCGAAGATATCAAATGACTACATCTTAAAAGGTTAACCACTAATTTGATATGTTATTAATAGTTCTTCATTATTGACCACATTTCCGTATGCAATCTGGTAAACGGTTGGGGGAAATAATTTTTTGGCTTGAAGATGAAGTTTAATTGATAAATTAGTGCAACACGTCAAGAGCTAGCTTTGAAAAAAGATCGTCCCCATATGTCTCCGGAACGCCAAGCAACTTTGACAAAACGATCATACTAAAGATGTGAAAACCCAAACAAACGAAACACCTAAAAAAATTTTCATCTTGCGGAAAACCTCTGGACCAATAATTATCAAACAAGAGCTAAGGAGAGTCTTTTATTGACATTCACGTCAAACTTTTGAGCATAATTTCTCAAAGGCCAAGTGCCTGCGTAATTATGTCATAAATGTGGAACCATATATACTATTAACTCTAGTTTGTTTTGTTGCTATCCAACGTGAATAGCGGAGATGACAACATTGAATTGGTCAATTGTTGTTTGCTTGCTTCCACTACACCTGGACTTGAGGAGTGTAATCCATGTTGATTACTTTGTGACTCGAGTAGGGTTTACTGACTTACTATGTGAACGTCGTGGTAAATGTAAAAAATTGTAACCTAGCTAGCTACATGGATTTAAACTCGGTTGGTAATTTGAAACCTTAAACGAAAGTAATATTTATCATATAGAAATGCATCTGAAGTTTGAAGCTCTTTTTATAGTGTGTGTGTGTGTGTGTGTGTGAAAATCATTTACAGTGCTAGGGTTTAACTTTGGAATAAGCAGACTTGTTGCAGCAGGAACTGCAAGAATGATTGATGGTATAATATGTTGGGTGGGGGAATCATAAGACCAAAAAGCTACTATATGGATTATTAAATCACGACCAATTAATTATAAACAACAATATATACTCAATACTTCATGCTTCAACAGACACTAATTATAAAATGCCTTTTAAAACAATTGGTTACTTTACCCGGAAGTTTTTTTGATGTTGTACTCAAGTAGAACAAAGTAGAAGATAATTTACAAAAATCACTGCTTCTCTAGGAAGATATCTTTGTGTAAACATTAAAGAGAAAAAGTAATTAATTGGCTTAGCTTTAATTATAATTTTTAGGTAGATATTTTGCAGTGGTGGAAATTTGTGACACAAACACGCACACATTGCGTGAACATGCTATGAAAAAAAATTACACTTTGATATTACATATTACAATCTATACCAACGCGATATATGTTTGGAATCTTTAAGTTAACTAACATCTGGATCTTTAATTTGAAGTACCACCTGATTTTGTTAAAAGCTCAATGGGATTCATTTTTCTTTGAGTTCTACTGCTTTTTGGATTGGCTATTACCATGCTTTTTAATAATTACTCCCTCCGTCCCATAATTATTATCCAATTTGAGTTTTCATTTTTAGTTCAAATTGTACTAAAAGTGAAATCTCAAACTGGACAATAATTTTGGGAGAGAGAGGGTATATTATTCCCTCCATTCTAAAATAAGTGTCGTTTTAGCAAAATAGAGAAATTTCAAAATAAGTGTCGTTTTTGGATTCCAATGCATTTTTTGTCAAAAATTTCCAAACATACCTTCAAAAGAAATAATATTATTGGTGAGCATTTATTTTAATGGGGTTTGTTGAGGATATTCTAATAATTTAGTTACCCTATTTAATGTTTTCTTAAACTGTATGCAAACTCTAGAGTGACACTTATTTTGGAACGGAAGGAGTATTTCAATATCTAAAGCAGCCATAAGAATTGAGCCATGTCACCCAAGTCAATCATCAAAAATAAAGTAGTGTCACTTCTCGATCAAAGGTTTCTTGGATCTAACACGCATTATTGACTACTAGGATTGTAACAGCAGCTTTAAAGTACATGTACTAATTGGAGGGGTAATGATGATAATTCAAAGTGAATATGACTAATTGAGTCTGGGTAAATATATACTCTCACAGTATCAAAAGAAATAAATTAACTTAACAAAATAGAGTATTTTTCTGGAATAGAGAAATACAATTTTATTTAGGGTAAACCACATTTTACCCCCGAGTTTTGACTCAATTTATCATAAATCTCCCGAATTTTAGTAATACTACCATATACCCCCTTGATTCCTAGTCAACCTACCAAATCCCCCCTTCATCATACTAACATTATCATCAACTTTGAGCAAACGGTCAAAAATACCCTTTACTTTTATTTTTTAAATTATACAATTTAAATATTTTTTAAAAAATAAAAAATAAATTAAGTTAAAAAATACTCCACATTAATTCTTTTATGTATGTTAATGCACATAATAATAAATTCTCAAACTTAACTATATCATGTATTCTAAAATAAAATAATCTTCATTAATTAATTTTTTATAAAACATAATTAATTTAATATTATTAATCATGAATTAAATTTTATTTATTAACTTGTTGTAATTAGAAGTAAAATATCAAATTTTAATTAATTTTCATTTTTAATGGTCAAAAAATCAAAAAAAATAAAATAAACCAAAAAAATAGAAGGAAATAGATTGCACGTAAACCATGGACATTTTAGTCATTTTCATGTTTGACCTTGCTCATGGGGTAAATGGTAGTATTACCAAAACTCAGGGAGTTTATGGTAGAAGGGACTAAAACTCGGGGGTAACTTGTAGTTCGCCCTTTAATTTACTACTATTATTTGGTTAATCAACCTGGCCGGGAAAGTAAGAGCATTCCTTAAAGGACACATGAAGATAGCAAAATTTATTGTGACAGTAATTATGTCGACAATTTCTACTGCAGACCCGTGCGTGTAAGTTTTATGCACTGTAATTGTAAACTTTGTTTATCAGTATATTTTTATAAAATTAGAAGCTTTTATGTACTGCTCTAGTTCTCCAAAAAAAAAAAAAAAAAAAAAAAGAAGAAGAAGAAGAAGAAGAAGAAGTAGAAGAAGAAAAGAATAGAAAACTAAGTACCGTTCGTTAGTTAGATATTTATAATGTGCATGTATATATTTTATTGCTTTTAGGTGAAAGAATACAAAGACTAGTAGTTAAGTTTTCACTCAGTCGATCGTTAAAATTCATCACATGATATGCTAGGGTTTGTTAAAGTCTACCATACTTGCAGTTTCCGTGGAAAACAAGAATGGTAGAGACGACACCATATGC